AAGGGTCTGCTGAGAAGGGAGGCCAGGAAGGAAGGTTTCGTGTCAGAAATCACGAGCACCGGCCTGGCAACTGACATACCTGCTCCGATTGGTTCAGGCAGTGCATGCCAAGCTTGACGTCTTCGTGGATGGCACCGAAGCGGACAAGGTTTTCGTCTCCCGTGCCTCGTCCAGCCAACTGCTTTGCAGGGAACCTGCGGCACGTCTACCAAATAGGTTGAACAGCTATTGGACACACTGAACTTGAGGCAGTGGATCGGCAACGTACTGGAGCGTCTTGCTGGACAACAGACCCTCGAGTTGCACTCAAGCTGGCGAATCCCTGCGCGACATTGCGACAGCGAGTCTTACGAGTTTTGTCTCGTCTCGTTCGCTGAATGTAACGGAGAAGGATTCTCTCTCAATCCGCGGCGCCAAGTAGCGGGTCTTCATGTATCATGCTTTGGGTGCTGTTTGAAGTCACTGCTTCGTGCCAAGATCACAAACCTTTGACGGGAGAGGGGCACTGGCTGCACCTTGGATGCAGAGCTGTGTTGGTACTTTTAAGGACTGCTGAGCGAGGCCAGCTACTGGTCACAGGAAGCTACGCTCAATAGGGCTGTGAGGTGCGAGCTTGCTCTGTGGGCCAGATGGAGCCATCGGGGGCAACTGGTGGCAGACACCACCGTTCGCTGCCCGACTGACATTGGAGCCAGAACCAGGGCTTTCGCAGAGCGCTGGAGGGCCGGTTTGGAACTTCCCGATTTCGTCTTTGGCATGCTTCAGCACCTCGCTTTGACATGTGGTTAGCAGACCAAGCGGAGGCTTCCTGACGCTGAAGCCACAGAGCTTTGCAACGGTGGCCGCAAGCGAAGGAGGCAGGGTAGATAACAGGATGGACCGATGGAGATGGTGACATCGGCGTCGTTTGCCGGCGTGAGAGTCTCTGATGACCGCAGGAAGTTTCTTTGCATACCTGCGCTCGCTTGGCTTACTGCTGATCGGCTACGCTGAGGTTGTGGAGGACTTGATTGTGGGCTTGTGTTACGTCCAGGGTTGATTTTTGATTGTCCCATCTTCTGGCACACCGCAGTCGGGGCATTCCTGAACTGAATCGCTTTCCGGTCTTGACCTTGGAAAACGCGTAGTCTTTTGGACCTTTGAATCATGCATTCAGGACAGCTTCTAGTGTAAATCTGGATGTTGCGGTGGGTGCCGGTGGCGTGGACTTCCCTGGACGCCTCAACCGTAACCGCTCCATTCGTACTTAGGCGGGTCGGACTGCGAACTGTGTAGTGCAGCCTATCGAAACTGCTTCGAAGAGAGTATCGGCGTAGCATGATTTGTCCATACTTGTGCTATCATCTCCCGCCAGGAGAACAATATGCGAATCACGGATCTCACCCTTGGCGAAATCCTGATTCGTGCGTTTGCCAAGAGGCAGGCAAGTCAAACTAATTAGCCATGTGCAAGAAGATCCGAACTGATGTTCACCCGAGCTTTTCGTGCGTCACAGTGGTGCTAAGGTCTCCGGAACCATAATAATCTTGCCATGATCCTGTGGATAGTAGTTCTGTGCTTGCACAGATTACATGTCCAATCTAGGCGCCAGGTGTCCCTTTCGACTTCCTCCGCTTGCCTCAGGCCCAAGCCAGATAGCGGTGCTTGGAATTTTAAACCCACCAATTCCCTCGCCAGGGGTGCAGAGCCTCCAAAGCCTAAGGGAGATGCTTGTCGTCATCTGCTCGCTTCTCTACACCTCCCACGCTGCATCTGCATTGCCCGGTCACAGCCTGCGAGGAGCACCGGAGGATGTGAGAAAACTGCAGAGTGCAGCCTTGCTAGACCCAACCCCCCGTTTTGGGGTACCGCAATGTGGTCCGGGCTATGTGGACACCACTGCGGGGAATGCGTTCTATCCTTGGTCTTGTGCTGGTTCTTGCGCCGGTGGGATCTTCTGGGCAACGAGAGATTGCAATTGTGCTTGCGAGAGGCAGGCGCGTCCGCCGAGTCCGCCGAGTCCGCCAAGCGGAGTCGGTTCCGGCAGCTCCGACCCGGTCGAACCGGTCACTACTCAGCGCCCGCGAACGACACCGCGCTACATTCCGGTGCAGGAAGACCCGCCCAGCTACATCGTCCCGTCACCAAGCACCACCGAAGCCCCCGCAGCCAAGGAGGCATCAGGGGCTAATGAAGGGGGCCCGGTGGGAAGCGGTGCCGTCGTGGCTGCAACCGTGGTGTCGGTCGGTCTGCTCGTGTGTGGAGTCGCCGCGTGCATCTGGGTAAGCACGGTGCCTCAGAAGTCAATGCCGCACCTGCACGTTGCTGAAGTTCCGGCTGTAACAGTCCATGCGCCGGCCGAGCATTGCCCCCAACCAACTGATGCAGGGAAGCCGCCACGGCCACGTACAAGCAGCAAGATGTCGACTGATTCACAGGTGTCAGACCGATCCTTGATCTCCGGATCCCGGATCAGCAGCCGCACAAGCTGCCCTTCGGAGCAAGGTTCGCAACACTCGAGTCAGTTCACGAAGGCTTGGGAGGGACCAACTGCAAGCACCACCTCCAGTGCACTGCGACCTACGATCGCGAACGCGACGCTTTGGGCTCACCGCGTAGACGCAGACATCGGAGGGCGTCAGTTGGCAGCTGAGGGCTCGCGAGGCTCTTCCAAGCTGTCAAGAGTTGAGCCGGAGAACGGCTCCAGCTCTCGACGCTCGAGCAAGAGCCAGTCGAGACAGTCGAGCAAGGCCTCAGCGATTGCCCCGATTCGGAGCTCGAGCTGAGAGAAACTGATCTAAGTTTTGTAAGATTTTCCCAGCCTGGGTGTGTGCGGGCTGGCGCTTGCCAAGCTCCTGCAGAGGCCTGAAGGCAGTGCTACAAGCACGAAGGCAGCAGCTTCAGTAGCAACAGCTTGTCTTTGCAGGACGTTTTCTCGTTCAGCCCCCTGCAGTGGAGCTCTCGCGCGCCCGTGACTCACCAAAGGCTGAAGGCGGAGTCAACTGGGGGAATCTACCCAGTGACAGCCACCTGCAAGTGACGGCCACTTCGAAGCCGGTCACTGCAGTTTTCAGTTTTGACAGAAACAGCGAGGCCCACCGATAAGCCAACAAGGTGCCTATTTGGGGCCGCCTGTTTTCGGGCCCGAGGCCGTGGTTGCAGGCCCGAGCTGGACGTGCACCGGTAGGAAGTCAACGGGCAGTTTTGAGTCTGCCGGTCACCAGAGCAACGGAGGTAGCAAAGATTGTAGGAACGGTGTCATAGCTCCATGTGTTCGGGCCCACGGATTTCCACGGCACTGGCCCCATGTGCTTTCGCGATCCACGTGGTCGGAAGATTTTGTGTGTTGTGCAAACTGGACCCTTTCCGTGTGGCAACAAGGCATGGCAGCTTTAAAACAAGATGCAGAGCTGTGCCTGTCCTTCTGCTTTCCAGCCCATCGGCTTATGCAACTTGAAGACAGGAGCCTGTTTCCCTCCGGTTCTGCTGTTCGTTTGTTTGGTGGAGCTGCGTTCTGACAGCTCAGATGTAGAGAGGGCGACAAGACCTCGTCCATAGCGTTCCAGTGTTGTGGCATGGGGGCTCCGGAACAACATGAGGGAGGGATCGACTTGCTGATACTTGGATTCTGGAAGCAGGCTGAGCGGAAATTAGCTTATAACTTATGACGGTCTTGAAACAATCAGAGCATGCAGTGGCTTCTTTGTTTCATTCCTGTGCCTGCTGATCCTGTGCCAAACCCGCTTCGATTTGTAAGGCCCTGCCTTGGGATCTGTTCCCCCTTTCAGATGGCAGGGCGGTTGGCTTTGCCAACCTGAACAATGCCGACGGGAACAAGTCCATAAGGCCAGAGCGATGCGCATGCTAAGCAGGCCCATATTACATGACATGGACTTTCATCTTTCAGGCGGTGCGTGAAGTTTGAGAGACTTGAAACCTGTAATGAGGGTTGCCAAACACGCCAAGTGGGAGCCCAACAATAACATGGGTTTCAATATTGGAAGAGTCTCAGGGGTCCGGGTGATCGAACTCCAGGGACACCCAAGAAGTACACCAGGTTTCCTCTTGACCCGACCTGCCGCGCAGGATCACAAGCCTCTCCAGCCTCTCTCCGGATGTGGCTCGGAAGGGCAACAACTCACGACCGGCCATCAGAAAGGTAGAAATGGTGAAAACGGCAAGCAGCTCGAGCTGAGTACGAACCATTATGGAGAGGTGAGTGATAGTGAGTGTATGGAGACGCGGCATGTCATGCTGTGGCTGAGAAGGCACCAGCGTGCGAAATTGCATGTTGGAAAGCTAACATGCTTTTAAATCAGGTGCGTAATGTTGAGAAAGAGTCCTTGCTGGCTCTTGTGTAAGCTCTATTTGCCAAGCGGACAATGATTTTTGGTGCTGGACAGCTCGACGATCGAACACTGCTCCGGCACACCATGCTTGGCAGATGCACTGACGGCCCTGGGCCTGGCCTGCCAAGGCAGGACATCATGATATAATGTGCACGATGGCAACTTAGGCCATCTGAAAATCTGAGAGGGTACTCGAGGAATCTGGCAGGCTGTGCACAGGCTCTCTCCGCAAAACGTGCCCTTTGGTTGCCAAAGGCATCGATGGGAGCACACCCGAAAACGTAAGTAGTCACGGCCTGCCTTCGTACAGCAGCTCAGCCACTCACGGCAGAACACTATGGCTGCGTAATCGAGCCCACTCTGTTGTGCGAAGACACCTGCGAAAAACTCTAGAGACTTCTGTCCGCGACATCAGGGGCAGAAGGCCAAACCTTCCCGCCAATGTTTGCTACACATGATCGAGGGAGGCTGTGTCTGCCCTTCTGCGCTGTCAGTTTTCCTTGAGCCACTGGGAAGAAACCCCTGGGAAGGGAGGGCGATGCTGCCCAGACTTCCCGGTCATTTTTGAAGGACGCCCACTGCTTGTGGCGAATGTCAAAGAAGTTATGGCTTTGCTGTGTGGTTACAGCTGATGCTGCTGAACAGGCCCAGGGCCTAGGGCCATCTGTGCAGGTGATGCAGAGACGCAACATTCGACAATACTACGTTCTCGGAGGCTGGCAGGGGTGCCGATGGGGCCATGGCAAAGCGCAGTCCCTTGTCTCACAAGCGTCTGCTCACCAGCTTGGCCTTTGCAGGCGACGGGACACACAAGGGCGTCGATCTCCCAGATGCAGCACTTGTGTGGAAGTCTCCGGGGGGCATGCGCTAAAAGCAGTCACGGAGCAGAAATTGAGGCCATGCAGTCCTTCAAGTCAATGACAGAGATCGGCCATGAGTCCACAGCCCGGAGTGATTGATGTTGTTCTTAGAGCTGTGGTGATGGTCCTGCGGTCTGCAGCACGCCTCCATGATTTGAGTTGATCGGGAAGTATTTCTCCCACTGCAGGATCCGAGCTTGTCTCGTGATTTGCAGGTGTGCCGTTGTCGGTGTGCCGAAGACTATCGACAACGACATCACCCTTGTGGACCGTAGTGCAGTTGTGCTGCATGCAGCGGCCAGCTTGCTTGAGTTTGCCATCTTGCGAAGAGAGGATCGCACCTTCGGTTTCGACACAGCCTGCACGGAGGCAGCAGCTCCCCTCGACACAGTACCTCCCTGCATTTGCCTCGTGAGCATAGAGTTTGGAGGCAGCGGTTGCCAATGTCACTTGCGCAGGCTCGCAAAGCAATCGATTCTGCTTATATTGAAGCGACCACCAATGCGAACTGCATTGGCCTGGTGAAGCTCATGGGTTGTTGCCCAAGCTTTGCCAACTGCAAGAAGCGGCTTTGCCTATTTTGGAAGTGCCAATTCGACCTTGAACTGCCAAGGTCGTCACTGTGGCTGGATTGCCTCCACCGCCACCATTGCTGCGCCGGCACACCGAGTTTCTTTTCACACGCGAAAGTGGTCCTATCAGAGGGTGCAGGATCAGCGGCAAGATGAAACCATTATAAACCTGCGTGTCTTCGCTTGGTAAGCCGTGCAAAAAATGCAAGGCGAAACGTGGACATCTGCCTTATCCCGGAGATGAACATCTCCCTGCCGAAGGTGATGGACTATGTTGCGGAGGCTCTTCCACTTCCGTGCACGTGTGAGTTTCAACCTTTCGTAGTCAGAGAAGATGGAGTGATATAGAGTGTTTTTGCTTGGGAACCGCAGCAGTCTGCAGGTGATGCGGCGTCAGAAGTATGCGGTCATTGTCGTGGCAGAAGGTAGAGAGCCGAGATATTCGTATTTCTTGTCCTTGTGGAAGCCGGGCTTTCTCCATTCCAATTTCGTAGCATGGATATTCCAGTTTCTGCAAAAAATGGCAGTCATGGGCGGCGCAACTGAATACCCTTGCGGAGGTTGTGGCGACACGCTTATCACGAGTGATGGTGGGAAGGATGCCGGCGGTAACAAGGTCCTCGCAGACATAGGCCCTGGATTTTGCTTCAGCCCAAAGACCTGTGCCGGGCACGTCTGCCCATGTCGCAGGTCCTTTCTTGAAGGACGCCATTACCAAACACCTGAAGAGCATTGACATACCAGTCAGCATAAAGCCCCTGAGCTGCAATGGGATCATGCACTGTTGATTCGGCGATCACTTTCTGACTACCTAAAGCATGTAGTTTGAAGCAAGTCGGACCATAGCAGTTGAATACCAGACATGGAGAAGCCACAGTAGTGCAAGTCTGGGAGGTACATCGACCCGACGTACATGATTCGTGCGGTGCCAGCGAATGCCTTCGACAGTATCTATTGTTCAGTTTTGGCGCAGATGGCGGTGCATGCAGCAATGGCACCTTGACGGCAGGGCGAGTAGCGGGCCGCGACTCAGCGGTCCTTCATCGTATGCTAGCTAGCTCATGACATATGACAAGTATGATTGTGACTCATTGTGATGCTGCAAATTATGCACTCTCATTTTGGTGTATTTCCTAAGGCCGGCTACACCGGCATCAGCGTGGGCAAAGTGGATGAACGATACGTGATGCTCCCGATCCACTCAATCGTCGACAAAGGAGCGCGAAAGGCAGGCACAGAGACGACGGGACATCGTTGGACAAGCAAGAGTGCGAAGCCAAGTCCTGCATGAAGGTGGACCTGCAAAGCAGATTCTTCGAGCGCATGTTGGACACCACTGGACAGCCTAGCTTGGCACCATGAGGCTCGCTTGATGCAGTCTTAGCCACCATGGTGTGCAATTGTGTTGAAAATTCAGTTTGCTGCGTGTTCGCAACTGCCGGGGCGACGAAGGTGCACCAGAGCTGCGGCACCAGCACACCCGAGTTCTCAGACGGCTTGTATCGGTAAGTGCAACCAAGTCTGGCTACCCGAATGGTCTAGCACATTCGAACACACGTCTGCGGTTCTTCCAAGCCCGAGAGACGTGTAATTCGATTCCGGGCAGTCAACCTGCACGGAAGAGTGCATGGAGGTGTCACCGCAGCCGGACGGCCAGATGGCCATCGATTTCGGAATACCGCGCGCTCCAAGAGCTGCGTCTTATGCGGTGTGAAGCGGAGCTGGACCAAGACCACATCAAGGCCTTCGACTCTTCACATCGCAGCTTAGCCTAGTTTAAATCGCCCATGCAACCAAGCATCAAACGATGCGTGCATTTGCATTTGCGCACCGGTTTAGCAACCCGAATGTAGAACGGTGCTGTTGCTGATGTCAGCCAGCATCATCCAATGGTGCTGAGGATCAAGAGCAGTTCCTCTCACTTGTGCCTCAGTTCACAGCGAAAAAGTTGATCAAGCAAACACTTCAGAGGAATGCATGTGCCGTTCGCTCAGAGATGGGACGGCAGATTGAGTTGGGTAATGCCAGAATGCCTAGCAGGGGCGGTATGTTGTTCGTCAGCCACGGAGCATTACGAACACAAGCACCCCGGCACGTGTAGTTGCGCAGGAGGTTACCACCAGAGAGATGGCTGTGCGGGCTCCAGGAAGCGCGGAGATGGGCCGCGACAAGCGGGTGCTGGGGTTAGGGGTCGGGCTTGGATATTGCACGGCTTACAAGATTCTTGAGAGGCGCCCCCAAGACCGACCATTCCTACCACACCACGGGTTACACCCAAACTGGGCCTTCACAAGATGCTACGAGCATTGTCACAGTGGCAGGCACATCACTACAGGCTGAAGAGGATTGCTTTTTGGAGAAATTGAGGGTCTGCGCCATGGGACGCTTCGGCAGTGCATGCCTCCTGCTTGCCACGAGTGCAGTGTGTGCAGAGGTGCCCTGGAAGGTGGGAGACGCAAAATCTCGGGTTGAAATCCCGTAAACATCTCCGATCTGGAATCCGAGGCCTGGCTGCAGAGCTTCGGCCATGACTCCTTCAGGCGAGGATGAGCAGCATGCCATGCAGACTGTTCTAATGGCAGTTGGAGGTATCCAGCCTGGATCAAGGAGCAGAAGGAGGTCCTGGAGATCTACCCGTGTCAGTGGTGCAGAAATCTGGCTGTCTCCGAGGCATGTCACTGCCGGATTCATGATCGCCTGCACGTGCAGTGCTGGGGCAAAGAGGACCGAGCTCCTCAGCTGTTGCTAGGTGCAGCCCGTCCTGCATGCAAGTCTCGCAGGGCAATGCCATGATGTGGCAGACGGCCCGAGAGCTGGACTGGTGTGTGGCAAGGTGCTTCACTTTGTAGCGGCTAGACCTAGCATGTTCCCTCGTGACCTGTGCGGGATGAAACCTTGCTGGATCCTGTGAGAATTGTCCAAAGTACCGAGTGAGACTGCAGGCGGGACCTGCAAGCGTATAGAACCCATATATGGATGCCATAGACCGGGGGATCGGGGCGGGGGGGAGGACGCTGAGTCGGAGTCTCACAACAACAACACCGCAAGGTCCCGGCCAAGGAGTTCGCAACAGAGTTCTCCGGGTGCTAGCTATCACGAAAGCTTCCTGAAGAAGACATGCCGAGACAAGCACAGAGTTCAGATGCGAGGCAGCAACACAGATAGAATAGTTCGAAGGGCGTCGGGTCATTGAGCCTTGCCACAAGAGTCCGACCTACTCTGTCGAGGCAGTTCCTCCTGAGCCACATGCCTGAGTTTGACTTGCACTTCCTCCCAGGCCGCAGACTTTCGATGCAACACCCGCACACCAAAAGCTCACACCAAAAGGGACCGGGGAGAAAAGGCTTTAGGCTTGGCCTACTGTGAACCTAATTCCTTCCTGGCCGGCTTCGGATTTCACGGTTCCGTTGCCTCCGACACAGATTTTGCCGTGCCCCAGGCATCGGTCACGCTTAGTTTCTGTCGGTTACGAAGCTTCAATTGGTACGCTCTTTTTGCCGTTTGTGTCGTAGACGGCTGCGATCAGCTGTCCACTCGAAGCAGTGGGTGACAGGCTCCGTGTCCGTGGACGGCGAGTCCATGCTGGATGACAACATTGCTTTTGCCCTGATGGTCAGAGCTCGAGTTGCAAGGGGTGCACCTGATGCAAAAAGGGTTGTCATTCAACGTCATTCGCAGTCTTGATGGCAAAAACAGTCTTGATGTAACGGCGGGGCTGTTCAGCTCGCACCCCGTTGCACTCACCGGCCACTAGTTGGGCTCTGCCAGTAATCCTTGTTGGACTTCGGGAGATCAGTGCTTCCCGACTGGTATCACTTAGGCCTGGAACGCCTCGAATCTGAACCCGAGGCGCGGCTTTGTTTTTAAGGTTGAATGGGCCCGTCGCAACTGTCGGTTGCATGCGAAGGCCTCCTATGGCTGTGGTTCTTCCATACTTACTCCCATATGCCAGCTACCACGAAGCTCGCCGGAGGCCCAGGCAAAGCAGGATGCCACACATTGCTAGGGCGCTGGGCGCTCTTGGGCCGAGCCGGCAAAGCATTGGCCCTCAGGGTCCAACTGGCGTCCGCTGTTCTTCGCGAAGTACTTTGAAGCAGCTGCTGAGCTTCAGAGCAGCCAGCGGCCTCAGAGATCCTCAACTGAGAGTGTTTCCGGTTGTCATTGAGAGAAGATTGCCGAATGCACGGCACGTTAAACTATATGGTGTCAGCGTGCTCGAACAAAGAAGGGCACGCTCCAGCAAAGATGCAACATGTCTTAGCGACGGTGCCTGCTGCTGAGGCCAAGCGGTTGTCCGGCGCTGAATGCACGCACGGCAGACGGGACTGCAGAATATAAAAACCTGGTGCTTGTCGGATGAAGCACATGTGCCCAGGTCGATGCATTGATCGCCGATGGAGTTCGGTTAATGAACTGGACGTCTTTCAAGTGCCTGGCGTTGGCTTGCATCGCTCGCCATGCTCTGGAAGTGTGCATTCTGGGCGAATCTAGCCTGTGCTGTGAAGGTGGGCGGACTTCCCTGGAAAGTCTGAGAGCAACATGTATGCTCAGGCCTCAGTGTCGTTTGGTCTTGGAGGATCTTGGAGGTGAGCGTAGGGCCCCGAATAACATGGAATGCTTGCGTGGCACCCGCGCGTCCACGCAGGAGCTGGGCCCATTCGCATCCGGGTCGACCCCTCCAGTGGCGGGGTGAGTTCTCTGTGCTAGGCTGCTAGGCGCTTGTGCTGTTTTGCATGTGGACACACAGGTTGCCCCGGCGGACTTCCTGCTTTATGGCTACGGCAGCTGCACGGCCTGCCGGCAAGTCCGATCAGCCAAGCGGCCTCCAGCTCTGCGGCTCTGTGCAGGCCTGGGCAAAGTTCCTCTCTTCAGCGCTGCGAGCGGTCGCATCCTCGGGCCGAGAGCCTCCAGCGGCGAAGCCGACCTGCACTGTGCAGGTCGGAGTGCCAGCCAGGGAGGTCGGGTCGTCGGTGCCCGAGAGCGGGTGGTGCCCTTGGCCCTTGGCGGCAGAAAGTTCCTCCGGAGCAGGCCCTGCTGGAATACCGGCATCTTCACAGGTCCGGACCCTTTGTGAGAGTACTGCATCCGACTAGCGGACAATGGCCGGAGGCCTAGCAGAGTCCAACGTCAATGCAAGGACCTTGGGCAACAGACTTCTGGCAGTTTGTTTTCCTGGCCCTTCGCCACGGGGCTTGCGGAGAGAATGAGGGATGCGCGGTGCATAGCCACAAAGGCCTCTGTTTGGCCATAGATGAGGGGTGATGATGTGTAAGTTGGCGTAAGACCCTCCCAATCGTACCAGCCTGGGCACGCGTAGTTCAGCATCTCAGCATGTCCGTCGGTGATTATCCGTCGACTCCGTGTATGACCAATCCAAGGTCTCCTTGTGTTGGCAGGGCGGAGTTTCTGGTGGACCAGTCGGTGGGAAGTGCCCCAGTACTTGACTGCCCCCTGCTGCCAAGCCAATGGAACCGGAGCTTTCAACATGCAGTGTTTCCCTTCTTAGCGTGGGAAGGTATCTCAACAACCACAACTGGCCGCAGACTCAAATCGCTCCATTTCTACAGCATCTGGAGCAAGAATCGGCTGACGAATCTTTCTAAAAGCACGTCTTCGACCGTGAGATGCTTTTTAGCGCCCCTCGGAGCCGCTGCCTCCCAGGGTGGAGTACTGGGATAACACGGCGCACACTTGGCCAGCTCCTTAGTGGATTGATGTGGCTCTCCTCTCATCACCACTCGCGGGCCCTTCTTTTCACAAAGGCGCTTCCTGGATGTAGCCACAAGCTCTTCTTCCGAGACCACTTGGTTTTGTGATGGCCCGAGCAATGAGCAATGTCATGTTGCTGGCTCTGACCCAGGAGATCCATGTGATGCTCATCCTTGCACTCACATGATATCCACACTTGCGCGGTCAGGTGGCAAGTTCCAGGATGGATGCAGCTGCACTAGCAATGCCGGACTTGCGATGCAGGAGGGCACAGTTGACTTGAAGCTATCACTTGTTCGGCTTCACATGTTTGTGCTAGGGTCCCATTGGGGCAATTTCTGAAGGTCCACTCAGCATTAGCAGCCAACAGCGTTCTACGGCTCAGCAGCAAATCGAGAAATGCTGCAATCGTTCGATGCCAAGTGCGTTGGATTGAAGGACATGCACCCTGCGATAGTTACGTCTGGCAACCAGATTATCCTTTCTAGGCCATACATGGCACTTGCAAACCGTCCCTTCCAGCCATATGCTGCACAGTCGTTGGCTTCCGGCCCGTCCCTGGCCCTTGCCAGACGGGACAATCGCGAAGCGAGCTCTTTGCAACTAGGCTGCGGGCGCAGGGGGCAAGCGGCCCTGCACCTGTGTTTGGCAGGCTCGGGATGCCGTGCAAAAGCTGACTTGCAGTTTCCAGCAGTCTGGTGCAGGGGTTGGATGGCAAAGAGCTGGTGGGAAAGTGGGTTTGCGGCCACGTGCCTCAAAGCTCTCGTGCAAAGCTCATCTGATTGCATTTGTAACTGAACCTGTGCCATTGCCAAATGAAATACCGGGTGGATCCAGGCCGCACGGATGCCCACGTAAGGCCTCGGCCGCGCCGGCCATGGAGGTCGATGGGCCGCTGGGCAAGACAGTTGATGGCAGTTGATGCACAGTCTGAAGTCAGTGCATCCGAGTCTCAGGCACATAGTTTCGCCGTTGACAGGGAGCCCACATCTCTACACGTTGATCTACCTGCATGGCCTCGGAGGCCTTGAGGAAGAGAGAAGGGGAGAGTGCTACTGAAAAAGAGCTCTCCCTGGCACTGGTGTGAGATGGATGTCGTAGCTTGGCGAGAGTGATAACATCTGCGACAGTGTCGAAGACATTCGTGCTGTTCGAGTGAAATGAGAGAGGGTGCGAGATGGCCTGGCTCTGTGCAGCGATACGATTCGTGTGCATGTGGCTCTTTGAGGGGTGTGTGTCGAAGGCTGGTTTTGCAGTCGAAAGCTGGGTGGGGCGTCTGGTGCGAGAGACTGCAAGAATCGATGATCGGAACTTGCACATTGCTCGTGTGGCTGCGGCAAGCTACTGGTAATTTGTGGCGTGAGTGCCAAAAATTGCAGACGTACAGCTCTCGATGCTGGCGGCATGAATCCCTTTTTAATGTAGCCCTTGGCATTGCTCTGCTTGGCTTCGTGGGTGGCACGTCCTGCTTTCGGAGCTTTGCGTCGCAGCACACGTGGCAGGAACTGGCGGTAGCTACGTCTCTGCAGACAGCGAGCTGGAGCTGCCCTGGCGATTAGGCACATGGAGGGGCGCAGAGTGGAGCTTGCAGCTGCAATAATCTGAACGCCTTCGAGGCGAGTCTTATGCACCTGGACTCCGTGCCTAGGCTTTCGCGACAGAGTGGGGGGTGCATGGCTTCGGCTTGGGCTGAATGTTACGGGAAAATCTTCAGGCGTCGCAGTCAAGTATCAGGCTGCCCCTTTGGTGCCTTCCTCTGCATTGTGGAGCTTTGTCAGGTGCCGTGCTACCGAGCGCACCACACATGGAGCAGCCATGGGGTGAGGAGTTGGCTTCGTGGCAGCTTCGCCTTATTAGCAGTGAGTCTTGCCAGGAGGAGCATGGTCGCCTCGTCTGCCTTGCACTCATCCCCTGTCAAGGTACGTTTACCGAGCCGTGACCAGCAACGAGGCTGCCCGGACGTTATTTGCGCGTTTGGCGTGTTGTTTTCCAAGAGGTGGCAGATGCCGAGAGCTTGGCATCTGTTCGGCGGGCCTTGGATGAGGTGTGCTACCCTGCCTTAGTTGCAGACCTTTCTGGTTTGGTGATGCAGCACGTCGTGTGGCCAGGTCATCCGGAACGAAGTTCGCCGTCTTGACGGGGATGACGCTGGGAAGGATTCAGAATGGTCAGCCAGGACAGTCAGGATGGTGCAGACGCGAGAGCCCAGAAGCAGAAGCACAGCCAAGGGCCGGCGTGTTTTCCTTGGCGGCATCTCCCAGGGATGCAACATAGCGCAGCTTGGTGGCTAAGACTATGCAAGTCAGGCGATCGCGAAGTCGTTTACGAGTATCACTGGCTTGTATAGTTTTACATGAAGGCGGCAATGACCTAAACGGGCAGTAGACCTGTCACCAGCCGCAGCAGGCTCGATGCATACCTGCGGCGGCCTGGATGCACCAGCCATGACACGCTGAACTGATGATGGAGCTGGGGTCGCCATGCTCTGCCAGAGTGTCAGATGAGGCTAGCGTCCACCTTAAACCTTGGTGGCTTTGCTGGCAGTGTGCGCTACTCGGGCCGGGGCATTTACTAATTTACTACCAGGATAGTTGCTAGATGGACATTGTCCATGCTTGGTCACGGCAATTTCTGCACGAGGTCGGTTTCCTGCCCAGCGATCGACAAGGCTTTCCTGGCTCCGATATGGCGCTGAGGACCTGCGCTTCACCACTTCACAGTTGTGTCCAGCGAAGCAAACATGCTACAGGACTCTGCTCGAAGACAATCGTCAGGCATGTGCCTCTGTTCACCCGGATGAGCTCAGGGATGCCCAAGGACTGCTATACACAGTTTGGGAACACCACAATGGCAGGCGCTTCAGCCAGTGTGGCTACAAAGCGCGCCCGGGGACATGGATGAAGTGCCATACGACCTTGCTGGGGGCCCAGACATCGGCAAAGCAATCAAGCAAGCTTGGTGGGGCTGGGGGATGCTAGGGAACAGTGGCGAGGTGCAGTCGTCGCTACTGCGGGCACGCAGTGGATGGGCAGGTTTGCATCTGCAGAACATCGAAGGCATCATGAAAAGCACCAGGGTTCCAGGGTTTTGGTCTTCTGCTTCTGCGCTCCCAGGGGTGGGCCACGACATCGGCCAGTTCGAGGCGAGCTTCCTGAACGAGTTCTTGCGGCAGCATGCCAGTGACGCCTACTTCGAGGTAGAGGGCCTGGAGTGGGATGAATTCGAGATCGAAATAGATGTGGGGCCGCCCATTCCCGGCATCAATGCATGACATCCCAACACATCCCAGCATCCCAGCTGCATGTACATAACGTGGCACTGAAAGCCCTGGTGCCCACATCGCTTCGCCAGAGAGACAAAAATACCGTAAGCCTCGTGCGCGCGCGCGCTCTGGCTGCACGGCACGAAGCTTTCTGTGGGCGGATGCCCGGCTGCCTGGCTGCAGGACCACGAGATCCTCGCTCCAACCTGGAGCGCGGTGCCGACCTTAAATCTTCACAAAGGATCAAGTAGCTTAGTACAGTAGCTGGCAGGGGCGATTGCTGCCCAAGCATGCAGTATAGGAAGTCCAAAGCTTGGTGCAGGTTGGCGATGATCCAGAAGTACACGGCGGCCCCATTCTCGCATCTCGGCTCTGTCATGGAAGCAGGCTCGTGACTTGTGACATGGTGACCATCTTTGCGAGGATGTCGCCAAAGATCTCGTCCTCAGCTTCCTGGTTGCATCGGTGGGCTACGCAAGCACCCGCGCGCCGCTGGCTGTCGGAGACAGCAAGATGTTGGCGAGTGCGGCAGATGATCAGGATGATCACAGGCCGGGGGTCAGTATGCGGCCTGCAGGTTCAGGGGAGGCTGTGTCGCCCTTGGTTTGGTTGGAGCCTCAGAGATCCACAATTTTGCACAAGCTGTGGTCTGGTCGAGCAGGAACCTTGCAGGGCTGTACCTAGTCTGGCCTTTGTGCTTTCCAGCTCAAGTCGCCCCCCGCATGGCATAGCCTCGGAGACTGGCTCCGTGCCCGGAGAAGCTTGGTCACTTGTGAGCTCAGCGTCTCACCGATATTCTTTTCCTTTCAATGTTGAAATAACCGCCAAACAACCACGATGCATTGCATGTCGTTTTGCAACCTTACCCGCGCAACTTGCTCTTCCTTGCAAGTGAAAGCAAGATCCAGGATCACGAGTATGTCGGCCCTTTTTGACTTCCAGGGCCTGTTGGTCGTTATGCTGCTCAGCATCTGCACATGCTCCTATTTGAGACCCCGCTTCGGGAACTTCCTACAGCCGAAGGTGCTGCGGTTTGCATGGAAGCGCTTGGTGACACAAGTCCATGACAGGGTTGTCTTGCTCGAAGCGCATGCTTCAATCGGGGTTTCTACCGGCTACCTGCTGCATGAAGGTTTTATTCTATCCGTGTATCTAGTAGGATCGGGCAGCGAAACCTTTCTTTAAAACATCCCACAACCAGGCACCTGGTTTCCTGGGCATGTTTGGCCGATTCGCAGTGATCGGAGACCGCCTCAGCCCCTTCGTCAGCGTAGCGTGCATGATAATGGCGTCGCTTGGCCGAAATGTGTTCGTGTTGACGGTTCCCGTGTCGTCAGACGTGTTTCAGCAATGCTGCCAGCCGAGGATATCGACTCTGTTTGTCAGATGACGGTAGCTACTTGGCAGTGAGCCAATGCTTTCACCGGAGATGGACCCGCCACGCTTTGCTTTCATGCAGCCTTGGGGCGATGCAGACGGTCGAGCGCAAGCCAGACTTTATCTTGTCTGGACAGCGAGGGCAGCCCATGCCGCCAGAAGAAAAGTGATTGTAGCGGACCGCATGTAGCATGATGTTCTGCCAGCTTGTTCTCGACGCATCGTGGTTTCGCAATCTGGTTCAAGACATGGTCGGGATCCTGTGATAACATGTGCTCAGCCTGAAACATGAAGAAGGTGTATTGAGCGGTTCTGACACTTTCGGCCTGCAGGCAGTGGAGTGTTGAGCTACAGCAGAATTCTGTCTAGAACACACATCGTCACCTCGCCAGTTCACTGGGCTGCGGAATGGTTGCCTCGGAGCTCGATGTCTCCAACTTCCACATCAAGGAGGCCGGCTGGTGGCCATTCAGCGACTGCGGCTGGTTCTTTGCATCTCCCCGCGCCTGCTTGGAGGCAGGGCCCTGGCATGCTACGTCCTGACCCCTCCTGACTGCCCACCTCCTGCCTTAGATCTCTTGATATCTCTTGCCCTGGAACGCACCCGGAGGACATCGTCAAAGACGCGCGCGATGCAGCACATTTCACGGCGCATGTGGCCGGTATGATCCACACCAGGTCGGCCAAAGCTTGGGCAGAACAGGCGGCCAGCCGCAGCGCAGAAGCTCTGGATCAGTCGCAAAATGCCCTGCACGAAATCACGCGCGTGGAGGCTTGGCAGAATTCTGCAGGACCCTGCGCGGGGCTTCTTCTCATGATGCCAGTGAGGGATAGGGTGACAGACGTGCCCCTGCGCCGCATGCCGGACTTTCTATGACGGCACCAAAAGTCCGCTGCGTCAAGCATCCGACTAGACGGCCTTGGCCAAGGAGAACTGCAGCAGCCCAAGCCCTTTTCAGGTCGCCACGGCTCACCTCGCCGCTGGGAATTCCCATGAAGAATGTCGGACTGAGAGCCAGCAGCTGAGATGCCACAGCTCCGCTCTCTCGGCCGTGTGCAGAGCAGAGAGCCGCCGCCCGGTTTGCTCGTTGCGGCGGTAGACGTGCACAAGCACATGCACTCGACAGTCATGAGGGCCACTGTCTCATGATAGGAGCAAGACAGCACTACTCTTGATGATGGCGCGGCAGAGAGAGAGAAAGACAGGACTAGTCCCAACGGGCGCTGCCTTTGCTTCGCCATGGTGACAACTCAGCAGAATGCGCAGCAAGAAGTTCTGCGCTTCAGCGAGTTCGAAGCTCAAGAGGGGGATTGCACGGGGGAGTCATAATCAATGGTGGGAAAAGAGGGGTGAACGACAAGCTGAAGGTGGTTGTCGTTCTTATGCCGTGCGAGCCAGCAAGGTTTTACAAGCTCCGCGATGCGGATTTCAGACCAAATCCCGTCACACACCTGAGACCTTGGGATTGGAAGGTGTGGCATGCAAGGCAGACATCTTTCAGCGATTCTGTGCAGCGGCTCCATCATGCCGGCAGCGTCGCGATCCGAGGATATGACAGCCTGACCATCAACTTCACCAATGCGGGCTCTCTAACCCGTGCCATCCGGCGCGGAAAGCATGTGGAGCCGTTATGCAAAATCCTGCCTTCCTGTCGAATGGTGCCTGTGAAGGCAGGAGCCTCTTTCCAGGCGTAAGGCGTAAGGCTGTATGATGATGTTAGATGAGTAGACGGCGTGCACAGCTGACAATTTCTGTCCAGGCTGGGCTGCCCGATGCCATGATGCGCCCCCGATATCCGTCCGAGCCCAGTCTCGGATTGGATGGCGGCAGGGCTCACGCGGCTCAAATCCAGGACTCCTTGAAGAGGAGGACCCTTGCCGAAAACTCAGGCCCGACGAAAAGCTGCACAGAGTCGCAGAATGCCAAAAGAGGACCTCCGACTCCGAGCTGTCGCAGATCTCACGTGCATCATCCCAGGCTCACGAAGCCACGGCTGGGGCCCTAACAGCCAATGGCGGCCAGTACTCGTAGCTGCTGTAGCACCTCTCGCTAAACGAATGCTATCCGCGATTGCTCTGTGCACTTCGTGGCGAGGCGCCTCTTCACTGGCCATGTGCAGCGCCCTTTGATCGGCCGAGTCGCAGCAGAAGCTTGGCGAACGCTGGCTCGAACGCTGGCCACGATCCCTGGGAGTGGTGGTGGTGGCGGTGGTCATTGTCGTAGTAGGAGTTGGAGTAGGAGAAGGATCAGGAGAAGTAGTGGTGCTGGTCGTAGTCGCAGCAGTCGTAGTAGTAGCAGCAGTCGTCGTCGTAGTAGTGGTAGTAGCAGGAGCAGCAGCAGCGGCGGTGGTAGTGGTAGAAGTGGAATAAGTGGAAGGAGAGGTGTAACAGCAGCAGCAGCAGTAGCAGCAGTAGCGGTAGCAGTGGCAGTAGAGTGGCAATAGCAGTAGCGGTCGTCGCAGTCGCTGTCGTGTTGGTGGTGGTCGTGGTCGCGGTCGCGGTCGTCGTCGTCGTCGTTGTGGTCGTCGTGGTAGCAGTCGAAGTAGCAGTAGCAGACAGCAGCAGTAGTGGAGACAGCTTTATTGTCACGAAAAGGAGCATGCCATGAGCATGCCGCAGAGTCGTTGTCACAGTTGCGCAGTTTTCAACTGGAGATTGGGATCGTGAGCTCATCCGCATCCCCAGGACGCAGTAAAGGTGCACGAAGACACCGCCGACTTGCGAGGGCCATGGAAGCGGCAACCTTCAAGACCCTTCCCAAGTTTCTACAGCTCAGGGCGCGTGATGTCGGATTGTTCCAGGCTCGTTTTTCGGTTTGGGCCGAGGCTGCCAGCTTCGCAGGAGGTGGGCTGCCACGAGCCCCGAGCGCCGATCCGCAAGGGCAACGAACTGGGAGCTCCGAGCCGCACCAGTGGTGGGACCTGGTGGGACCATGGACATGGGACTGCGAGCTTTGGGTTTCGATCGCAGCCAAGGACCGTACCTGAACCCATTCTTGACTCTCGGTGGCCAGTGTTTAGTTGCTGAGCCGGCTCCCGGGCACGTCCAAAAGTCGCCATGCAGACTCATGTAAGCGACCCCTTCACAGCTAAGCCAGGAGGCATACTTGGCATTGCCCGCGTTTCCTGAGAAATGCTTCTGGTGTGAGCTTTGTTTCGTGACGTGATGGTTCGCTTCACGAGTTCGCAAAGGACTCGCTTCCACGACCGCCGTCCTGGGGGTGGCTTCTTTGCCGGCAGCGGCTTAGCCGCTGGCAAAGTGACCGCCACGGGCTTACATATCTCTGCTGGCCGCTCCCCGCTCCAGCATGTCAGAAACCGTCAAAATCTTTTCTTGCGGAGGCCATGCCTCCAGCAGCTTCACGGTGAGGAGAGAGTCGGGAATAGGCTAGTGACGAGAAAATTCAGATGGTTCGGAGATGATGCGAAGATCCAAAAGCTTGCGAAATCAGATATCTCGACTCTTGACGTAGGGCAGTTTCACCCGGAGGCTTCAGCTACATGCTGAAACTGTAGGCACGGCCGAGCGTGAACAGAATTTCGACCGGATGACTCAGCTGTCCCTGGCTTCGCGTTCAGCTGCTTGCGTCATGCGCGCAAGCTGTGCGTCCATCTTTTTCAGGTGGTCAACCGGACCAACTTCTACCGCTGCCGCAAGTTGCCCAACTGGACGGTCAATTGCTCAGAACAGTGTGGCCTCCGGTGGAAACAGCCTCTGACCTGGCCTGGCCCGTCTTCTTGGGGCCTTAGACAGTCTGCAGATGCTGCTCTGGCAGAAGGGCTTCTGAGCGGATCCGCCGTTTAGCACTGCCTGTCAACTCGGACAGGGACAAGAGCCGCAGTTCAGACTTCCGCCAGTGAGCCTTGACGTAGGAGCTGCCCGGTTATACGTTTTTGGGATGCCAGTACAATGTATGCATGTGTGCAGGTCTGGCGGATTTTCTTGATACCGTGTGCCAGGTATGTAAAGGAAGGTGTCATGTGAGCTTTGGCCGAAGTCGTGTTTGTTGTCGGAAGATCAGGAGATGCCGTCTGCAAGCTTTGCATTGCACGACACGTCGTTGTCCTGAGGTCTGATCTCCATGCTCCGACGATGTTTGCGATTGCAAGTTATGCCGAGACATTGCCACATGTGTCCGTGTAGCATTCAGCAGGAAACGGAAGAGCGGGCTGGGCAAAAGAAGGGTTTTGCTTCGCACGTTCGCATTGATAGGAAACCTAGAAACCTTTGAAGCAGCCGACAGCTCTTTATCCTGTCCCTGTTGCAGCTCAAATCTCACACACACACACACCCTTGGATGAGGTACAGCAATCGATAGCAATCATTCACAGACATGCAGTACTCGGGCACTAGTCACCAGCAACCCTCTCTGTTAAACCAGCCGTGCCCGCATCGTGCGGGTGAGCGAGTCGAAAGAGAACAGGTATATGATATATGTAAGCAAGCAAGTAAGTCAGTCAGTATGTAAGTAGCGTCTATTTAGCAAGCCAGCAAGTAAGTAAAAGCAAGTCAGTCATTAAGCGGGTGCGTAAAGTAAGCAAACAAAGCGATGACAAGTAGTACGTCACAGATGCCTAGTTATTTGGCAAGAGGTCAAGGGTATCCTAAAATATTTCCGTGCCGCGTGCACGACAGCACAGCCATGGATTGGCCAGACTCTATCAGCGCGCCACCGAGCCAGAATATCGTCAGGGAAGACTTGTTGCTGGTTCGAGCCGGTCAGGGTGGCCTTCTCCCCTATTCTTCGATCCACTTTCGCTTTCTCTTTTGGCTCTAGTTCGTGCGAAGATCCTAGCTGTCGGAAGGATGTGCCAGCTATGGACTCAGGCGATTCCAGCCGTGGCTTCGCTTGCGGTTGCGGGGCTTGTGTTGACGGGCCTGTGCATCAGGGCCCGGAGCCGTCATGGCATTCAGATCGCCGTCGATGTAATAGTACTTGCCCAATGCAACATGCTGGCCAGCAACACTGCGGCAATCGTAGATGCATATGACGTCTCACGTACCGTGGACAGGTCAGCGGCCTTCTCAGGTCTTCTAATCGGTATTTTCATGGCTGCGAACCTGACGGGGGCCGCCTTCTCGACTGTTCTCCAGTGTTTCTGCCCTCATCTCTGGAGCAGCCACGCCAGACGCGCAATGTTCTGGCCCTTGCTTCTTTGCTCTTGCGGCCCTCTGCTCTACTGCCTCCCGACGGGTCTAATTTATGTTGGCCGTGGCCAAGAATGGCAGGAGGGCCTGGCTGCACTGCTTCTCTTGAGTCGGATCCTTTCTGGCCTGGGGGCCGGGGCTGCGTCGCAGGTCGGCCTGGTGTGTATCGCCAAGGGTAGCCATGCCACAGAGAAGTCCAAGCACATGGTCCGGTTTCTGTTTGCCAACATGCTCGGCTGTGGACTCGGACCCCTGCTGGCAGCATTCTACCACACAGTTTGTCCCTGCCGTGGGGAGTTCGGCCCCCAGTTCTGGCAACTCGGTGTGATGAAGGTGATCTTCACCTTGGGATCCGCGCTGGCGGTCGCCCTCTGCTTCCCCGAGAGGCTGCAGCCGCCTGAGCCGCCTGAGCCGCCAGGGCCGGCAGCGCAAGAAGCGCAAGAAGCGCAAGGCCCCGGAGCCGCAAGCGGAAACGGTTCCGACTTGGAGTCCTCGTCCTCGGAGTCTCCCACATCGCAGCACCAAGCCGAGCTTGCTCGGCTGGCGAGACAAAGGAAGGTGGTGGTCGGATGTTTGGCCATGACAGGTCTCCGTGGCTACTTAATAACCGCGCTGGAAGGAGCGACGGCTCTTTTTCTCCAGAAGCTTTGGAAGATTGAAGAATCAAATTTCATGTAGCTATTCTAGACGGTTTTCGAAAGGCATGCAGGGCACGTGCAGAATGCTTCTGCAGATTCTGTGCGTTCAAGGCAGAACTACGGATGGGAGCTTCACACCATTGGCTTCTTCGTTGCGCTGACTTTCCTCATGTGCATCCCCGGCAAGTTGATCCAAGGCCGCCTATCCAAGTGCTTGTCCGAGAAGGCCATGATCCGGCTCTTTTCGATGGTTGCCATTCTTGGTGCCGTGTTGAACCTTGGAACGAGAGAAGACCCTGTCAATGGTGTGTGCTGCACAGGTGGTGAACCAAGTGTCCTCTGTTTGGCAGCAAGACGGATTGGACTAAGGATTTGCCTCCAAGACGGCTGGATGCTTCTGGTGGCCGACTCCTTGCTCTTTCCATGTATCTACCTTTCGGATGCCATTGGCCGAGGAGTCATGACGCGACACCTCTTGCCTCAAGGTTTCTTCAGACTCGCTTCGTCACAAGGTTTCTATGCTAAGGCATGTAATGTTCCGTGGAAGACAGGGAGCATCTTTAGTGTCCTTTTTTCAGCCTGATTACGCAAGGTTCTTGGCTCGACTCCAATCGCGCGTCCTTCTGGACGCTGCTGTTGGGTGGTGTGGGGCAGACCGCAGGGCCCTGGCTGACACGATGGTTCTTGCAGACATCCACACAGACTGCCTATGCAGCACAGCAAGCGGCTGCTTGTCCTGATGTGTTCGTAGCGAAAGGAAGTTCCGTCATTTAATCTACAGGCCAGGCCAGTCACGCAAATTCTGTTTGGTTTCCAGGCTGGATCTGCAGTGTTCCTGATCCTGTTCGAGCTGATCGTCAGACCCAACATTCTGGATGCTGTGGCGCAGCCTCAGGTCAAGATGTGTAAGGAGGGTTCCGGACTTGGGAACGGTCGGAACACAGTCAAAAACGAAGTTTCACCACAGAGTGCTTGAGGAGGTATTGTGGCCTAGATAAGGTTGTTCACTGGGCAGGTTCTCTTTCGTTGGAAGAAACCGAATCGTCATGCAACAAACACCATGCACCCACAAGGCGCATCGGGGTTGACTGGACGAATAGTCGAGTCGGCCACGCGACTAGCGACTAGCTAGCAGCGAGCTAGTTTTGAGAAGTTCACAGGTCCGGCTTGCCTTGCCAACCTGAATGGACTGCACCGGTGACCGCCCGGGCCTGCGCAGTCTCTGTTCGTTTATGCCTTTGCCCGAGAGCTGCGATGTGGTTGGCTGGTCGGGTGGCGATGTACAGGATGTAAAGACACCAAGCCCGGTGATGAGAGTTGTATAGGGTTGCGATGGCTTGAGGGGCAACAGCTGCAAAGGCTGGTCGTGCCATGCAGACGAGAAAAGCTCGTTGGCTTGCGCCTTGAGTCTTAGTGCGAACTTGAGTCTGAGATCACTCGCAGGTGTCGAGACGCTTCATCAAGAAGCGGACAACATCAGGAGGTGGCTAGACTCTCGACCATCGCCAGGTGGGACAAAGCAAAGGCGCGCGGAGCGGCCCACCGCTGCTCAGTAGAGCGCAGCAGGTCCGGAGACGAAGCGCTTCGGTACGAGCTCGCGAGAGGACTTGGCAGGCTGTTCGGGAGTTCTCGCGATGATCGAGGGATATGAGGGGTCAGGGAGCAATGTGCACTGCAGCCGTTCCGCAAACTAAACCTACATACTAGATATACAGGTGAGACATTCCTTGCTCGATGCGTTCTGAAAGCCTGGTGGGCTCCATGGGAGCAAGACGACTTGCCGCCCCTAGCCTTTGTCTTTGCCTCATCGATTGCGGGAGCTCCATAATGCCATACCCACAGCCCACAAGGGAGTTGAGTCCCTTAAGCTGGCGGCCTTGGCAGACGAATGCACTTGGTGCGACCGGCGATGCGAGGCACGCTCGCGAGCCTGGAGAGCCAGATCTCGCAGCTGAGGCAGCAGCTGGCAAGCGAGGCGCCAGGGTTCACCGCGAGGGGACGGCTCGGACTCGTCGTGAACTCGCATTGAAGCTTTCGGGAGGTGCAGGGCCCTGGCCCTGGCCCTCTCCCTCTTCTCAGTGAGCCGAGCTCGGTCAGTAAGGTCGGGCCTGAGGGGGTGCCTCGTCGTTTTCTTCCGTTTTTGCTTTCTTTGCAGAGGCCCTCTTTGCTCCCACACGGCTGCCCACGACAGCCGAAACGCGTGCACAGCAGGCTCTTGCTCCCGCGGAAGGTTCCCGAATCGTTCAAGAGCAATGGCAATGACTGAGGACATCTTGCAGCTGCTGCAAGCCACGGCCATGCACTTTCAGGACCTCGGCCTTCCTGAGTCCATCTCCCCATCTGGAAATAACGATTTCGCTCCGAGGATCGCAGCTACGAGGCCGACGAGGCACGAAAGTGCACGCCCGCGCCTGCGCAACCGCGGGTGTGTGGCTGGTCTTGTCCTTTATGCTTCCTGTCGTGTTCTTTGGATGTACGTGGTGTTAAACAAATGCGCAACTATAATAGATAATAATTACTGTATAGTGTGGTTAGTCCGATCGGGTAGGTTATGGTAAGTTGACCTGCAAAGTCATTCCTTACGAATGTGTCGGGCCACGCTGGGGGCGTCCTGATTGCTCCGAGCCCGCGCGAGCTGCAGGTGGTCATCGAGGCGTCTCTGGCCAAGCTCTCACAAAGGCTTCGGGACCTGCGAGCTCGCTACCAGGCCCCTCCCAAATAAGGATTCCTGCTATTCCTTCTCTAGAACTGCATGTGAAGCGTTGACATGAGGACATGCGCAGTCGCTGCGAAGCCCTGGGTCATCATCTGCAGGAGGCGAGGGCACAAGAGGCTGGTCTGTGCAAGGCTTCGAGCCTGAGCTGTCACTTAGACTTTCACTCTTAGATTTGTCCTACTACAGCTTATGACTAGTCTTGGCGAAGACAGCAACAGGCACAGCAGCTCCTGGTCGAGCAAGGCGCCGCGGGACACTTTATGCCGCATGTCAGACCCTGCGCCCTGCATGAGATACCCGCCGCAATAATGCTGTAAGACAAAAGGCAAGAATTGGCCCCTTCGCATGCATCTACATTGAACCGTTTCAGAGCTCGCTTCCGCAGTTCCCATTTCTCCCCTTCTTTCAGACTGCGACTGGCTTCAGCAGGGCTTCAGGGATCAGAGCTGAGTCAACGTGTCAGGTGAGGCCGAGCTCGCACAGTTGCGAGAGGAGGTCAGGGCCCCGAATCGGAGGTAAGTATGCAAGAACCGGAGGTGGCTGCTTTCGTATTGGCTGGTTCTGATGAGCAATGCGCAGAAAAGCATGATGCTCTGTGTAAGTATAGGGAGTGTCTCCGCTGTAAATCAGCTCGGGGGCGTGCAGTCCACGTTCCAGGTCCACGAGGCGCAGCGCCGCCGTTCCGAGGCGGAGCGCGAGGAGCGTCGTTTCCAAAAGCTCTGGACTCTGGACACCATCATTTGCTTTTCGGTGCCCACAAAGGAGCGAAGGCTGGCCGCAGCCGCGAGGCCTGTGGTGAAGCCTTTTCACGAAGTGCATCAGGCCTGTTTGGTTAGAACGGTCCTAGGTCCTACTGTACGCTGTACGGTCTGAAAAGCCGTAAGCTCCAGACTCTGGCTTTGGAAAACGCAGTCTGACGCGATGACCGTGCTTGGCAAGTTGGTTGAAGAATGTTGGACACGTGGTGGAACGACCTGAGAGCACAGAACAACAACTCATTGTCATTCATTCCAAACACAGGCCACGTCCCGGCAAACGGACTCTAGATGCTAGCTGGCATCCGTTGAAGTGCAGCAGTGCAGGAGTTCCTTGCTGCCGATTCTTGCATCGGGCACGACACAGTCCTTCCTGTGATGATAGTGATTCGTCACCTTTTGGATCAAGGCCTCAGGGTGACGCAGAGCAGCTTTTCCCAATACTGCCTCGCACCGGAGCCGGAAGGCATGGCCTTCTCAGGCTCCCCGTTTCATCATCACTTGAAGGGCCTCACGACCGAGTATGAGAGACTCGTGGCCGAGAACGCCGAGTTGCGAAAAGAGCTACACAAGGACGGCGGTTGCTTGAGAGAGCATGCGAGAAGTATTGTTGCTGAAGCTTCTCTGAGGACGAGTGAGCGGACACATGATCAGCACGTTGCCTGAAGGACCCTTTGCGAGCACTCGCCAAAGACGGCGAAGCCGTCAAGCCAGTGAATTTGGCCGTGGTCGCGCCTCTGAAGCCTGCTTGCTTGGAGTTGCCGCTTGCACCTGATCAGTGTGTGGAATCGTTCAACAAACATTTGAGACCTTGCCGCGGCAACACGCAGATTGAGAAGTCCAGGTGTGATTCTTGCATCATGTCGTCGTTCGTCTTCGTGGCAGCTATTCTAAATCAGGCCGGGGTCTGTGCCGACCGACACAGATTCGGCACCGCCAGGCCCGGGCCTCTTAGCTGCAACAACACCCTAACTGGACAGTGAGAGAAGCTGGTGAAATGAACGGGTGCAGGCAGGACCCAAGCTTAGTCATGCAATGCTGCAACCAAGGTGATCCTCCACCGTCGCTGGACGAGAGAAGGAAGTCCCAGTCCCTCACCACCCCAATAACCCCAAGAAGTTCCAAATCCTCCCTTCATACTCCACGTGGCGGGAAGGCCCGTCTACACGAAGCGCCACTCGGCGTTGAGCATGCGGCTAGCTTTGGTGTTTAGGCCGTCACGAGAGCCAGGGGAAGGCGAGAGAGGCGAATGTTTGGCCCGGAGCAGAGAGTTTGGCTCATGAAGCGGGATTGTGCTAAGGTCTCGAGTGTCAAGTCGGCACGTTCTGAGCTAAGGAGTCCGGAAGACAATTCAACTTTCCTGCTGCTGTTGGACATCGTTCCCGCTTGTGTCATCTTGGTAAATGCTGCAGTAGCAGGCGACCTGGGCATGCAATGAATGGCCTCTGAACGCCGTGTCCAAGACGATGCAGCATTGAATCTCCTGTCGTGAGGCATTAGCGCGGACATGGATCCAGACAATCCAATGTGGCAGGCGGTTTTGTGAAGGTAGAGTCGCTACGTGCAAGCGTGCAAGTTGGCACTGTATCTTCGATGATGTATGAGCATGGAGTCCAGAGGTTTTGGCCATTGGGCGATGGAATTAGCACAAGAGTGCGCGGCTAGTCGCGAGTCCCAGAGGTGCTCGAAATTTGCTTCACCATCTTCTTCATTGCGGAGATCATAGTGAAACTCAAGATATTTAGCCCTCGAGAGTATCTCTTCGGCGCGAGTCCTACTCGTAGGTGTCGTAGGTGGGAGCCTTCGTCGAGCCTTTGGTCGCCAGCGCTGGTTCTCAGGCCCGGACTGGTATTGGTCCTGGTTTGACATTCTTTGTGTGGTCCTTGCCCTGGTGGACCTGACCTTGACAATCTCCGCCGAGACGGACGTCCAATTCACGACGACAACTGCTGTGCCTGCAAGTCTCTTGCTATCCACAGTGAAATATATAGGTGTACATCCGCTGTTCTAGAACGTAATGCTTTGCCGCAATTGCCATACCGATTTTATGCCTCCTGAGATGCAACGCCATGCGCGCCCGATGCACTGATGACGACCACTGGCGAGGGGAACGGTGACGCCAGTGTGGCATCAAGCCTGAAAATGTTGAAGCTGGCCCGCCTTGGCCGCATCATCCGATTACTGAAATTCAAGCGCCCCGAAAGCAGGGATCGCGCAATGTGAAAAGTCAAAGATTACAATCAAAGGCTTGTTACGTAAGCATGTTAAGCATGTCGGCCTGAGGATCTTCACAGAGCTCAAGCTGATGATCCAAGGGGTCGCTGCGGCCTTGACTTATGCAGCCATGTGCAGATCAACCACGGCTTACTAGTACCGGGTGAAGCAGTGTGCAGATCTCCCATGCGTGTTATTAATACATATGGGCAAGATTGACTAGGCAGTTTTGAACTCCCCACCCTCTGCACTAGCCATCCGAGAGGCTATGCTTGTCCTGGTGCCCCTGCGTGCAAATGCTACCATTCGTTGTTGTTGACTTGAACAGGTTTTCACCGGACTGCGCGTGTTGTTCTGGGCGGTTGTGTTGCTGCTCCTCTGCATGTACCTGCTGGGGGTGGTGACCAAGACCCTTTTCTCGAAATATGCTGCTCGGCGGATCCAAGCCTCGCTAGTCTATCGTGGTCCACATGATGCGGTTTTGTGCCCTTCTGATAATGGACGATGACTCCATGACAATCGAGGAGGAGTTTGAGTATGTCCCAGATGCCATGTTCACGAACTTCCGATGCTTCACGGATGGTTGTGCGGCTCTGCTCGATGTGTTCGGTGTTACAGGGGTGGAGACAGAGAGAGAGGACTCTACAGTTACTATGTAGTACGCCATACTATGCATTCGTAACGAGTATGGTATAGTTCGTGTCTACGTCATCTCCAAACTACGGATGTTGGGGCTTTTGCGCTTTTTGCACGGCCACTTGGGGTGAGACAGAAGTGACTTTGCAAGTCAATCCTGTTACCTTCCACGGACCTGCCATTGGTCCGTGGAAGATCCGTTCAGTCAGAAAGGCTTGGAGAGCGTGTAGCTGACGGTACTGGTTGCGAACTAACTATAGAGCCACCCCTAGAGCAGTAAGAACGATCCGTCAAGAAGCTGCAGGAGGAAGGAGACGAGAGGTGATTGAAGCAGTGGTTTCCCGCAGCCGTCCTTTACCCAGCTCCACGTCCCAATGCCGCCTCCTTCTACACGAGCGGATGCATGCAGAAAGACGGGGACATAGGGCGAGCATGAGCGAGCCGTGCATGCAAGCACAAGAAAGCAAGCCACACTTTTCCTTCCTGTGTTTGTGCCCACCTGGCCTTCAGACGAGGCAGCTCTGGATGGCACTCCACTGCAAGAGCGTCTGCGACGAGAAGAAGGCTACGGTATCTTCATGCACCTCGGCCAATAGGAGCGTTGCCGCCGTTGCGAGAAGTACAGAGGTCTGGGCTGGATGCACTCATGCGACAGCCAGTGTTTCGGAGGTTTGCCTACATTCTTCTGTATCTCTTCGTGACGATTGGCATCTTCAACCTGATCATGGCAGCATCTCACCTGCAGTGCTAGTGACCAACACTCGCATTCAGATAGTTTTTTAAAACATCGTCTTGGTCCAGGGGCACGTTGCCGGCACGGGTCCTTGTTGACCGTCTCTTCCCGCACTTTGCAACTGTTGGGACAGTGGGACGAGTTTACGAGTTTGGAAGCCAACCTAACACCGCCCTGGGTGAGGTCTTCATCGACAACGTTGCAGACGGCAGTACGAAAAAGAGGCAGCGCGAGCTGGGTGAGAACGCCCCGAGAACCGACACTTGACCTGCAGCACGTCACACAAAGAGCTTTCCTTGACTGCGACTGCATGTCAGAAAGGAGATTCGTGAGATTTGGTGACTGTGGTGTAGAAAAGACCGAAGAGGATGAGTCTTTTCTGCCCAAGGAATGGGTCTTGGCAACATCTCTCAGGCACCTGATCCTCACGAATATCTTCCACAAAGAGACAAAAGATATGAGTCACATCAGCGAGGAGGAGCGAAAGAGAATCCTCAACGAAAAGTTGGAGAAGATTAGAGAGATGTATGGCTACATGCCGCATACGGCTCAGGTGCCTGGGCTTGCATATTGTCACAGCACGCGCGCACTATGCTCCATGGCGACTTCGCCTAATGCCTTAAGTTGAGCCAGGTGACAGTCGATAAATTTGATACAAGCTCCGTTTTGTTCCGTTTTATTCCCAGGCTTCCTTTAGCACATCTTCGCTTTGCCTTGGAACGAATCTGACAGTCGCATATTCGCTTATGCCAGCAGTTTCTTCTGTCAAAACTTCGCACATAGGTGTCAGATGAAGCTTTAGGAGGAACATCCATCTTGTCCGAGCTATGTCAAGCTCTCAAGGAGTACGAGGCTTTGGCCGACGACATCCGTACGGACATGACTGATCGCAAGGTGGTAGTTACCCAGGATCAGTTCAACAGGCTTGGAGTCTGTTCGTGGCCTTCGTTGTTGACTCATGACTGCCCGAGTTTTGAAACTCCACTTTGCTCTTGCAGGTGGCTCTGCACGGAAAAGGATTTGATCAGCAAGCTTGAAGATGCTGAGATCGATCTCTCATGCAAGTCAGATCTCTTCGACACTTGGTCTTGCTTAGATCCGTTGCACACTTGTGTCAGCTGGGGCCGTCGAATCCTTGCATATTGGGTGTGAGGAGCCTCTCTAGGCCGATTCGCGCCTGCAAACTGCCCAGGAAGTTCTTGACGCTGACCTCAGTGTGCCTCCCAGGCTTAGCATCTGCAGCGATGGCGCATCTCAGCTTGCCGTCTCCGTGCTGCGAGTTCGATGGCCAGAGAGCCATCTTGTTCCTGTCAGTCTTCAATAGTCTTCACCTGCGCTCATCTCTTCCTCTCCTGTCCTCTCCTGTGCTCTCCTCCCTCGTGCTTCCTTGCTCTTCCTGCTCCTTGCATTTCCAGTTCGGGGCAGATCTGTCCTTTTCGTAGAGGCTCAGAGGGCGAAGTGGTCGGGTTATGCACGCCTGAGGCGGGGAGCTCGAGTTCGACGAGATGATCGATGGGCTGTTGAAGTGCCGCGGTCCCGTGTCGAAGACGGATATCATCTCTATCAGGCTGAAGACGGTGGGGACCCCGGCTGTGAGCAGCCTCTGGGCCCACGCAGAGCTGAAAAGCTCCGCACTCCGCATGCAGAGCCGCAGGGCTTGTTGTAAAGCCATACGGCCTGATCCGCAAGCGAAAACTCCGAGGCCTTGCTTGTGAAGATGATGTCCCAGGTTTGTGAGAAGCTGGGAATTGATAGCGACGATTAATCCCTACACCAAAGGTGCTGAGGTGGTAGTAGAAGTGCCCACACGAACGGTGCATCCCAACTGGAACAACAACAGCTCGAGGCAGAATGCTTGAATGGGTGCGTCAGAGGATTGAACGTTGGGATGCACTGCCGCACTTCTGCTCTCGGTGGTTTCATCGTCGGTCTCAGAAGAGGCGGAAGTACTCCCCGGAGCAGTGTACACACGGATTTGGATATCTGCGCTGGAGCTGCTTCTGCCACTGTCGTAAGAGCTAGTGCCGACTGCATTTCGTGTCCAGGTAGCTGGAGATTGGGTGCAGGGCAATCGCAGATTTGTTTGAGAAATGATGCTGCCCGCAACACCTTGCGGCAACCTGTCGTGGCTGTACCGCCGAGAAAGTTGAAGAAGCCCCACCACAGCCCCGTGCCCCAGGCAGGACCAGGTGATGCTCGAGCAATCCCGGCTCGCATTGCGCAGGCTTCAAGCAAGGCCGGAGACGCGACTTCGATTCTTGCATGTTCTAGCCAATGCAGCTCATGATGTGTCAGCATACAGCGCGGCCTGGCAGGAATGCCGAGTTGGAGCAGGAAGTGGATATGTTACACATGCTGAAAACAGCATCAGCATTTGCCCATCATGACTGCCAGCTGTTGTTGTGGCTGCGTTCGAAAGCAAGTGCAGGGAAGAAGAGCTTTCTTCTTCAACGGTCGCCATATCACTTCGAAGGAAACGCTTTTGCCGTGAGCGTTTGCAGTTCACAGATCGAGCAAATATCGAGTTGCCAAATACAGACTTTTCTGTCTCGGTTTTCTCCGACGGTAGATGATGTGGCCTGAGTGTCCGAGAGCAAGCTGATGTTCCATGTGGCATACCAGAAGCCGTGCCGCTGGCATCTGGAATCTAGAATCACCCCATCCTCGCTAGCTCTGCAATCCGTAATTTCTTCGGACTGAGCCGACCAGCTGACCAACACGATGGCGCATGCGTTGGCCGCATGGAAGCGCTTCCGCACTGCCGGGAAGGAGCCCACCCGCCAGCCGTCGACTTTGCCCTCACTAAGTCACTCTAAGTCAGTGACTCATATTTGAGAGCTCGGGCGGGATTGCTCGCTAGACCGACAGGCGCTGGCCGTGGCCTGGGTGCTGTCAGCTGCGGTGAATTTCGCGGCACCTGGCGGCGCCGACGACAGGAAGGGTGTCACACATGAAGCACACGCGCGCGCGGGTACGTGTCTGTGTGGGTGTGAGTGCACTTTGCCATTTCGCTTTCGGGAAAGTCGGTTTGGCACTTGAAGCATCATATCCTGCCTCAATGTGTGCGGGGTATGGGAGCCCCGAGTTTACTGCGAGTCTCTGCAGCGCTGCCAGAAGCCAGAGGTATTTATGGAAGTTTAGGGAAGGTTGCTGACTGCCATGGCTGCAAAAATATGCGACAAGAGGATGTGCTGAACTCGCATCTTGGGAGGATTCCTTTGGAGAGCCTCAAGGTTGGAACGGAGGTGGATGCCCAGATCCTGTCCAAACATAGATTCAGCGGCTGGCTCCTTGCTCACGGCTGTCCCTGCAGTAGAGAGTTTTTCCTCGTGCCTCTTTCGGAGTTTCGTGAAGAATTCGGCTTCATCCGCTGCTCAGGTTTGTCAACATTGGCACAGACAGGTCAGCCTTTCTTGAGTTCGAGGAAGCTTGCGATGGGTTCCCTACCGAGGGCATGAACACGTGGTGTCGCCTGCCTTCGATCTTGGGAAATGTGAGTAGTTGGTAAGACTTCTGCAAGGCCCTATAGTGCTTGACTGCATTATGTCCGTCTCATCCGAGTTCGTGGATCGACGCTGACAGCCCGTGTGCTGGCACCATGGCCTGTGGAAGTTGCAGAGACGGGGGTTGATGGACCTTGAAGCTTGCGAGAGAGATAGAGTATGATAGAGTCATAGAGTTCATGGCCGGGTGGTCGCAGAGTTGGGGGGAGTCATGTTTGGGAGAAGGCCAGGAGCAGGGGAGCGCCGCCTGGGGATAGGCGCAAAGGGGCCCACTCGTGCTTTGTGAACCTGATAGGGGGGGGGGCAGTGACAGGGCAAATGAGACTGCTCTGGTGCTTGATGTGGCATATGTGGGGGAGAGAAAGTTAGTGCCATAGCGGCAAGAGAGATAAAGTTTCTTCGAGGTCCCGGATAGGTGTGTTTGTTTCTCGAAGCAGGCTGTTCTTACACCGTATTTCCGCTCTTCGTCAACATCCTTCGTTCCACTCCAAAACGGGGTGCGCGCTCGCGCAGGAGGGGCGGGTGACCTCCCCTCTCGCCCTTCAGAAAGAAAGACGAAGGAGAGTGCAAGAAGAGACTTGCATGATGCTGCATGTAAGATTTGCGGGCGAAATGCTTGCGCAGACCCCGGCGATTGGACTTAAGCGTCGCCAGTGCGTTGCATGTAGATATCGGCGGGCAAGGAGCACATGTCGAAGGGCGTGTAGTGCGGGGAGCGCAGGTGTTAGAACCCATGAGTCCGGTTTTACCAGATGCGAACTCTTGGTGGGTGGGAAGTCTTTTAAGAATTTCCCCCCGATCCCTTTCTGGACTCCTGGCTATGAGTGACTTCTCTAACAGGACCATGCCCCAGCCATTGAGTTGATGCCTTGAAACCTCGTCGACCTTAAGAAGACCCACCATGGTCTGAGGAAAACGATGGCGAGAAGATTTGGCTGACGACCCGCAGTGGTAGCTTGGAGCGTCCGAAGCGCATCTCAGCCCCAACAAATGGTTTTCGTGAGTTCTGTCCAGTGTGATGCAGCCTGTCTCAACGGGAAGGCTTGATACCAGGAGTGGCCCAGCCGGGCAGGTCATGAGAGTTGAAATTCAAGATCCAAGGCTTTCGGACACCTCCAGAGGAAAGCCAAATAGCAGAATTCAGCTATTGGGCGGCAGTCAGCGAGTCTCGTTGACCCACTCGAAGCGGTTCTGTTCTGCTCTGTTGCGCAGACCGCTGCTGAGAAAACCCTGGCCTGAGGTGGAATTTCGTCGGAAGAGCCTTCACTGCAACCAGTAGCAAACTGTCCACCACCTTCACTTGCATCGAGCTCTGCCCACTGAACAACTGAACAGCACAACTCCACGTAGTTTGGGGTGTCAGTGTCACTGCATTCGTCTTGCCAGTGCTCGGTCTCTCTGCAGTTAGCGGGATCAAGTTTTAGATGGAGAGTTTCCGCATGCCATGCCTCGGGACTGGGTGCGGAAGGCTCGCATTCAGGGCGTGATGGTCTCGTGCCATCTTGTACCATGACTGCTCGTTCCGTGCTGTTGCTTGGGAGGCACCACGAACAGGATGGTCACCTTGGCATGGTTCTGCCGCCGCTTGGCCTTGAGGATGCAGTCGCCTAATGTCGGCCAGCAGGAGGTATGCGCACCGCAGTGAAAACACAACCTTTGATGACTTTGCGCAGGCAATGGGCGATTTCGCGAGAAAGGAGGAGGTGAGGCCTCTGGAATCTGTCGAAGCCCCTTGGCACGTCAGGGCTCATCCGGAGCAAAGTGCGAAGCTGCGGCTCAGACGCGCAAGGCTGCAGAAGAGGCGGAGGAGGAGATGGAGACAAGATGGAACTCTCTGGAGGCAGAAGCGACTGAGGTGAAGCTTGAAAGCCGTGCTGAGCAGGCCGGACGCTTCAGTCAAGCTGTTGAAAGCATTCAGCCGGCCCTTGAGCTGAGGAGCTGGGAAATTGTGAAACAGAGGAATGGGGCATGCCGCCCGGGTTCGCATTCAGTGCGCCACCGTGGGAGTGGTCGGGAGCCGGCAATTGGCTCCTCGCAGCAACTTCCTCTACCTTTTCAGTTTGTTGCCGTAGATTCCTTCTAGCCTTGCCACCACGTCCGAGCTATCGAGCTGCAAGGCTTGCCGAGGACAGCGCAGAAACAGGTTTGCGGGATGATGTTCCACTCAATATGTGGCTGCCTAGCTGTTTCAGCTGGTGCGCTTGCTTGACCAAGTTGGAAGTGACGACGACAGGGTTTGAACACGTTTTCACGAGCCTAGTACAAGAGCACTGTGCCGCCAAGGTATGGGGAAGATGGCGAATGGTATGGGGACAACTTCTTTGGCCCAGCGCCTTGATCTGCCTGGACCTACAGTAGATGTCTGGAGCAGGCGTTTAAAAGATGCCACCAACCTTTAGGCCTTGAACACGTGGTTGACTTGTGTTGAGCTGGGGTCATGTGATGCGTCGCCTACAGTGCAACAGATAGCCATCCAGCATTGGCATAGCGGATATGTGGATGTATGTGGCATGGTCACGAACGAGTCTGCAGGCACAGGCTCTTGTGTGGATGCGTAGCAAGAAAGTCAAGACCGGATCGGTGCAGAGCACCACCCAGGCTATGTGGGGAACCTACGAGGAAGGTGCTGACGGCTTCATTGGACGTCGCCATGGGCAGGTGCGGTGCAGGACGAAAAACTCGGAAGCTTTTCATACTCTTACCGACACATGTGAAGAGTGACACACCAGGACCAGGTCCCTTGATCTGGAGTCCTGGCGACCGGTTGATGCTGCACTGTGGTTGCCTCTGACTAGGTGCCGAAGCGCGCAAACCTGAAGGAGCAGTTTGAGAAAGAGCAGTTCGAGAAAGGCTCGTTAGACCCAGGGACAGATCAACAAGAATCAAACAATGACAAGGATGAACAAAAATCAGTGTTTGCCCGTAAACACTCACAAAATGGTATGTCTCTCTCAAAGGGAAGGAAAGGAACGAAGGAAATGCTACTAATTGCTTACTAGTGCTACTTGTGCTGCCATTACTGCGACGTCGATTGCTACTGCTGCTACTTCTGACTAGGAACTAACACTAAAGACTACTAGTTACTTGTACTGCTGTCTACTGCCTACTGTCTACTACAACTGCTGCTGCTATTGCTGCTACTGCTGTTGCGGTACCAGTTCTACTAGTACTAGCACTAGTCCTGGTGCTACTGTTGCTGCTCCTGCTCCAGATCCCGCTCCTGCTTCCTGGTCCTCCGAAGGTGAGGCAGCAAAGAAGGTCACCACACTCATGCTGCGAAATGTCCCCAACGCGTACGAAGCTTGGTTTGGCAATCGGAATTTTTCGAAGCCCCAAAGTGCCGAGGGCCATGTGGTGCTCGAGCCAATATTTCGTACCAAGTTGCTTCCGGAGTCTTGCCCTTTTGGATGAAGGGTGTGGCCAAGGATCGCGAAGCGCTAATGGCGGAATTGGCCAACCTCGGTTTCGAGGGAGCCTTGTCCTGGCACTTCCTGCGCCGTAACGGTGGCATGCTGTCTGTCGATGGAGAGACAGCCCCAGACTAGAGGGTTTCCGTCACCCCAACGTCCAGGGACAGCATGTTGCAGGCGGATGCGACTGAGTGTCTCTGTGCAACTGTGGCTGGAGAGTTCTGTGCAAAGGATCCTTCGACTTCCTGTATTTGCCCATTGACACGTCCACGAAAAACAATGTCGGTTATGCCTTCGTAAATTTCTGCGACGAAGAGGCATGCATGAAGTGCCTATTCCTCAGACTCTGAAGACAGCCCGTACCGTCGCCCTGTGAGATCTTGGCTGCTGAGTGAACTCTGCCTTCTTTGCATGTTTGACAGTCGTACATGCGTAAAGGGCGCGGGTGTGGCTGCGGCTGTTGTTAGTCTGAGCAAGAGCTCAGGTATGAATGCTCTGCGTGGCTACTTCTTCAAAGGGTGGCCTGTCCAGGAGGGTTTTGATGCGACAACTGGGTTTTAGCATTCCTTTGGCAGACACTCTGTCTGTGTGTCTTCTGGCGCCATGGTATGATCATATCAGCCTCACGCTCCGTGTTCCTTTGCCATGAGGCAGCCCTACAACCGGCGCAGACCCGCAATCGTTTCAGTCGCACATCTTCAGGGTTTGGATCCTTGGATGCAATGCAGTAGAGATTCGACATTCATCATCATGGCCTTCACTTTCAATTGCTGTGTCAGCCTGCAAAGCCACATGGCTCTCCGACATGTGGCAAGAGTCTGCGTGACTTGAGAGGGCGCTTCTGGACGATATTCAGATCTTGCGGTCTGTCCCATGTTCGACACCAAACGTCTGCAGACTCTAGCCGCTCCTGTAGTCCGACGAAAGCTTCCAAGAGCAACCAATGAACTCAGCCTCGGCCACGAGAGGAAGCCAACCTCCAGCACTACAGTACCTGGGCTTCGTTTGGGCTTGGGAGGAGACGGGTTGACAGCCTCGTGCTGCCCGAGAGTGTGGTAACCCTGTCGTGACCCGATGCTCCCAGGTCGCACCCAGGTCTTCAACGCACGGCTGCCCTGTCAGCGTCCGTGGGTGGCGCGGGAGGCGGCCACAGCCCTTGCCCTAGCAGACTGCCAGTGGGCCCCAGGCAAGGAATTGGGGCATCAGGGGCTGGTGAGAACTAACGGAAGCTTCAAAGCCCCTGCTCGGCCCTGGCAGGCGGATTTGCCAAGTTGATGGAGGATGCTGCTGCCAGACCAGGTCCGGCGTATGAGCGTGCAGCGGATCGTATTCCCGCAAGTCCCTTTCGGGTTGTACGCTCGCTTAATCAACGGTGAACTGGATCGCACGAGTCATTGTGGAAGGCACGCAGCCAGACACACAGTCCCTCATCCACCGACGGCGCGCGCGCGAACGATGGATGCCCTTCAGCAGCAGACTCCCTGAGATCCAGCATGGCGCAGGGTTTGATTGCAAGACCATTCAATGACGTAATGACATCTGAGGTTCCACAACTATGGCCTGGCAGCCCCTTGAAAGCATAAAGTATGGGAAGATCGGCGTGCGTGACGTGTGACTGTATTGCTAACCGACTGCGTGTGCGAAGTTCATTGATGTGTGTCGTTGTTCCCTCCATGATCTCCTGCGTAAACTTCACAACTGATTCACAACACAATGCCCCGACATTTCACCAAGGCTTATGACATGATGCCTGATGGGGGATTTGGTCCGGGAGATCAGCCATTGTACAGTAATGATACTCCGCGATACCACAATCCAGGCCGGTTCCTGTCTGCCTGCTCACATGTGTGGGTGCTCTTGCTGCGGGTGAAAGACCCGTCAGGACAGGTTGTTCATGAAGGGATGAACGCCGACATGAATGCCCAAGCTCTGAAACAGGTTGAGGACAAAGAGTGACTTTGCGGTATTAAAGGAGTGCAGATCTGCAGAATTTTCGGCTGAACAGCTTCGGGTAGTGGCATCATCGCATCTGGAGGGTAGGACTTCTGCGCGAAAGTGGCAGCACAGGAAGAGCTTGCGCAGACTGGCAGATGCTTGTCAAAGCTTAGGTCGCAACTTGCCAACACTGACAAGCCAAGTGGTCCAGATCAAAACCGCACTGCCGTCTCTGCAGCTGGGCATTTAGAGAATCAGCGCAACCTCTTTCCGCCCTTCATATCTCCCCTGTATGAGGTGTGCAGAACCCTGTAGTGTAGCGTCATTCGGGTTAGGGTTGGGGCCAGTGCTCTGTGTGCTGGATGTGTTCCTGTCCACGGAGCCAGTTTCAAACAGAAACTGAAGCTCCCTCGGTTTTTTCTTGGCTTGGATCGTGAACAATGTGCAGATGGACTTATCAAGCATTTCAGTTTTGGACGATGTTCAGTTACCGCACCCGATTACCAAGTATACGGTGCATCATGTTGGATCTGCCATGGCGAGGTACTTTCTCGCATGTTGCGGGGCGAGTCGGTGGACCACCATGACTTGCCCGAGGAAGATGAGGAAATGGACTCACATGGCAGCTCAGACGAACATTTGTTCGCAGGCATCGCCTTGCCTGCTGGTGCTCTCGCGCTATCTTTCCAAGGACTGGATCTCCTTGTCCCTGAGATCATGCCGGTGATGTGCCGGGCTAAAGCACTGCCTTAAACTTAAAATCAGAGTGCCCCCCTCCGGAAGAAGTCCTTCTTGCCAGGCCAGGGGCTGCAAGTTTCGATGAGTGGTACGGCCCCTGGGCTGAACTGCATCCAGAGTCGTTGTCGTGTTTCCAGCTGATAAGCCGAAACCAGTGCATCTCCACCTCAAGCATCGGCTGCACCACCCTTTTTTGTTCGAGATGGTCTCTCGAGACTGCGTAGCTGGCGAAAGCTTTGTTACAGCTTGGTTTCATGACCGCTCTACGAAACCGACTCTTTTAACCTTGTGCTGCTAGGGCTTTGTCGAAAAGCAAAGGAGAACGGCCCGAAGTCCTCTTTTGGCCTTCTTGATTCCTGGGCCCACCCTCCCAGGATGGCCCAACATGATGTACAACTACGAATACGCTATGCCGGGGCCTCCAGGGCCGCCAGGGCCGCCAGCGCTGCAGGACCGTGCAAGAGTCTGACACATCAGTCGCTTCCGTCGTGTCTCTTGAGGCATTTTTCGTGCGTGTTCGAAAACCGGCGGTTCTTGAAAAATGTTACTTTATGTTGTTTTGCAGGGGTGAGGATGTTTGCGATATTTGGTTGCGGGTGGCCGCCTTTTGGGTTTTGTTTGAGTTTTCAGCACTGGCCAACTTGTTACTCAACTCTGCAAAACAAGCTTCCGAAAACGCAGCATGCAGACAGTATGAAACCTGCCCGTGCTTTGGCCGGAGCACCAACTTTGTCCGAAATTACTAGTAGTATTTAGCTTTGGGCTGCATGAAACGCACGGCTTGTAAGCTGACTCTGTAAAAAGTGCCCTCGAAAACCCGAAATGCTGAGAACTTGAAACTTTCAATCTTCAGGACCCCCCCACAAAAGACACAACACATCCGAACAGCCTTCGAATGAACATGCTTTTCGACTAGAAGTTTGCCTGGACGTCTAGTGTTTCGGGCACCCGCGAAAGCTGCTCGCCGATGCAAAAAGTGCATTTCGCTCGGGTTTTGGCCACGCGACCGTGGCGCATCGACAAACCAAAACGTGTCCAAACACGCACGGGCCCTCTCCGGCGCCTTGTTTTTGAGAGCTAAATTAGGCCGCTGTCTAGATCCTCTGTCAGTCCAGCAACTAGTAATTGAGCAACTAGTAGCGGTAGCTCGCAGGAAGTGCCCGGAAAAGATGAAGCAGACACGGAGAAAACGACAGTGGCCGCTCGTCAGCACTGCTCAGTTCAGCCACACGAGAAGCTTCAGCGGCATCATGCATGTATTTGGAGAAGCTTTCCAAACCTCCCAAGCTCTCTGGAATCTGTGAATGCCTGGATGTCTGGAATGCCTGGCAAAGGTGCTTACCAATGTCCCCCGCGGATTTTCAGCCCAGAACGTGTTCGACGTGTTGAAGCGCTTGGAGGTCTACGTTCCTCAGCTGTCCGCCGGTCCATTTCCAATCGTTTCGCATGCTGCGGTATCACAATCCGTGCTGTTGCTGTTGCCTCTTATCAAGAAGTTTCCATGGCCCAAACATAGCTAAGGAGTCTTGCAGAGCCGCTTGTTCTGGTCCATTTTGAAAAGCAACCACTTTCTCGGCTACTTCTTTTGGTGCTGGTCATGTTCTGTGGAAACATCGAGCTAAGGGCCTGTGCTTCCTAGACGCCGAAACAGGATATGCAGGCCAACGGACCTCGGTGCTCCAGTTCAACTCCGTCGAGCAGGCGGAGATCGCAAAAAAGTCACTTGTGGACACTCGGCGAAGGCTTAGATCCGGCTGTCGCCCAGAGGCAGAGAGTCCGAGGGGTGCCAGTAGGTCAAGGCTCAGTTTCTGAGATGGCACTCCAACGGCCGGATGTACTCAGGAGTCCACTTGGGGTGGAGAGAGGAAAGGAGAGAATGCCAAGATCCAGGTGGAGGATGGGACGACTTCACGTAAAAGCTATCTGAGAACATGCTTGTAGGTTGTTCCATCATGCAAGATAGTTGACATGCTCATATGGAGAGTTTCGCGTCTTGTCAACACATCATCCTTATGGAGAACCGTGCCTTTGTGCATTCTGTCGCTTGTCTTTTGTATTGCCTGTGCTGGCAGCAGCCAAACTTGCCGGCGATTTATGCTTGGCTCCATCCTTTGCCCGGCCGGCGTGTTTCCTCAAAGAGCTTGCAGAGGGGTTCGAGAAACTGCGAAGGCTCTCCCAGTGATCGGGAATCCCAACAGAAAAGCTTTGAAGCCCAGCCCGAAGCTTGAGCTCTCAGCTTCGGGAAGCTGGCGTTTGATGCGATCTTGTTTTGAGTCCTCCTAGATGTAGTTCCGTAGGTGTTGCCCGCGGCTATCCGCAGGACCTCCTGACCCACGAGCTGGAGCAGTTTTCAGCAGGCGGCACTCGTGCCGCAAGCTCCTGGGAAGAAGAGGAATTGACGATGCCGGACTACGCGGACCAGTGGGAGCCGCCATCGTGGCTCACTGCCGCCCGAACGCCTGATGACTACGTGCCGCCCAAGACCGGCATGGAATTTCTGGGACAGGAGAGCGACCAGGGCAATGTGATTGGCCACCAGGGCGACAGGGTGCAGGCAGAGGCAGACTGCTTTCCGGACATCCCGGCCGTCCCGACCGGCATGGATGTGGGCTCACCATCAGCTCCCGCAGACGCAGATGACTCTTCCGCTCCAACTGAGACGAACCGACAAGATCAGTTCCTCGAGGACGAGTTTGACACGAGTTGGCCGAAGTTGCCAAGCAAGGCCAAAAAGTCCGCAGATGCTTCCGGCACAGATGCTTTCCCAGTCGCCCGATGCTTTCGCACAGCACATGAAAGCCCCTGCTCACCCTCGCATGTGCGGTCTGCACGCGAGTATACGTGCATGATAATGAACGCAAGGAATGGGTGGACGCCGAGGTTTGTGGCATGTTCCCGAAAGGAGCATGGGTAAGGCAACTTGGTTACACACTTGGTTACATCATGTTGCATCCTACGGATCATCTTTCTGCTCCGGGCGTTCGCTGACTGAAACACGAACACTAAGGATATTTCGCCGCTTGATGTTGCGGAGATGGTAGTGTGAAAACAACCCGAAGCTTTGACGGGCTCTGGAGGAAACCCTGTGCCCAGGATGACCACACCATCGACCAGAACAGACTTCCGCTGTCTGCTGCGCAAAGAGCACTTCACGGACAGCTTGGGGAACTGCAGCTTTCTAATGGGAGTGGTCGTGATCGCCGGTGAGTCGACTTTGAATCACGTTGCATGGGTTTGGGCAGGGCCTGGTTGGATGTGGCCTGTTTTTGAAGGGGTGCTGTTGGGCAGTGCATGTGCATCTGAATTCCAACACAACTTCTCAGCTTTCGAGGATGGCCCTTCATGTTTAAAGGATCTGTCAAGTTTGGCTTCAACGAGCTACGCTCCTATCCGGTCCGGCTCGAGTAGTGGGGATCTCGCTCGGCGCTGGCATGCACCGAATCATGCGCAGTTTCCGCGCCTGCCGTGCGCGCTGGCAAGAGTCGGTTACAATGTGCGAGACATGGCGGGTGAAGTGGGCTCTGTGCCGAACGGACAGTGTCATGACCGGTCATTGAGTCATCCAGCCGCCCCGCCACACCCAGGCCCAATTCTGCACAGCAGTTCGCCTTTCCCAAGGCGAATGTTTCAGAGCTGGATGTATGCAACCGCCTTGTTCCCTGCGCAGCTTGCCAATCGTGGAGGTAGTGGAGCATGTCTGTTTTTCCTGCTTGGCCCTAAGTGAGACCCGACCTGCCGACCAAGAACCTCGTCTGGATGCGTCCCAGTTGCGAGAGCGTAAGTGAGACCGGTCGACAACAGTATTCGACTGCAGCTGGGGAGCAACTTTGCAACAACGCCGGGTGGCCGTCTCTGTGCTCGTTCGTGTCTGTATCTGTGTTTGTGCGTTTGTGTGAGAAAGGGTCAGCGCTAATCATGGAGCTCAAGCGCCCGAGAAGGCAAGCTGTGCAGATTTTGCAAGGAGTCCTTTGTGGAGCAGAGCCATATCGGCATGAAAATCCAGGTGAGGGTGCTGGAGGTAAACCTTGCCCAGAAGCAGCTGTACCTCAGCATGTTCCGTGGCACCCGAAGCAGAGGTTTCGGTCGCAGGCGTAGCCAGATCCCAGCAAACGAAGGCTGAGTATTCGTGTGTATGGTGTAAACAAGGCCGTATTCATGCATACGTGCATGCACTGCACGAGTGCTTGTATAGACAGATAGATAGATTCTCAAGTAGATAGATACGGAGATGGATGCATACACAGGTAGAGTCTATCCTCCCTGCATGAGTGGTTGCGAGTCAAGTTTGATTTTTGCGCTTAATGCTTAAATCCTGGTGATTTTCACTCTATGCATGTGTATAGTATGTATGGAACGTAAGGTAGGGCAATGGTAGTGGTAATGGTCATGGTAATGGTGCTGGTGATTATGATGGTACGGTAGGGTAGGGTAGGTTGCGATATTGTATCGCATTGGATTATGTTGTATGTACATGTTGTGTGTATATGTATATGTATGGGTAGGTGTATGTGTATGTGCACGCGCATGTATGTGTATGTGTTTGTATATAAAGGTGTTTGTATATATGTATATGTATGTGGGTTTCAGGCTGCCTTCAGATTGTCTTCCACGTTGGTTTGACTTGTGGAGTTTGACTTGTTCTGGGGTTTCAGATTTTGGATGATGTTTAGCAGTTGGCTTGGCGTCTCAATTGGCCGCCGTTAATGGTGACCAACAGCAGCAACCAACCAGCTCCACGATCACGCTTCATTAAACGATGCACCCCCCGACCATGTCTACTGCAAGACCAATGTTTTGCAAAACGATCAAATATGACCAGGCCGGTAGTTGGGGGCGTTTGTGGGTAGAACGGATCAGTAGGTCGAGCAGGTGCTCAGCAGATCGTAGGAGGCAAGCATGCACCTATCCGGTCTTTCCGCCAGTCTGTTCTGCCGGTGTGTGCCGTGTGTGCATGATGCTACATCTTGGGCTCATGCTATGTCTGCTATGTGTTTATTCTTCATTCCTTGGTGCAAGGCTCGAGCCACAAGACGTCCCGACTTAGCAATGAGCTTTTGAGGAGGTCGCGGGCAGCGTAGCAATGAGTCTTGGCTAGCGTAGCGACGTGCCACTGGCCATCTCTTATGATTAATTATGCTTCGATAGCTTCGCTTTGAGCTTGCAACGTGCCAGGCTCTTGTTGATGTACAGTCGCTTTGCCTGGAGATGCAGCTAGCGATTTGTGGAGCGCAGCATGCAGGACACGTATTCCAAAGAGATTTGGCAGGCGCTACAGCGCAGCTTCGAATTCAGAAGAGCATTTTTGCTGAAGCATCCAGTCCCGTGTGGCTGTGCGGTAGCTCTGACACTACAGCATCTCTGCCCTTTTGCTCAAGCCACAAGCTCGTGTCCGGCCCCAAGTCGTGCGTTCAACCAATGAGACAAGGGCTTCCCAGCTGAACCGGATCAGAGCCTGGGTTCAAAAAGAGACAAGGGCGCATCATGTCGATTCTTCACAACCGCGTCTCTGCCAAGCTTGCCGCCAGGCTGAGCCAGCAGTCACTAGACTAAGCCACACTGGACGCCGGGTACATAGCCACTATAGCAGTGTGGCACAGCTTCAGCTTCACCACGCACGATGCCGAGCTATGCATCATCCATGGCCTGTTGAGAAAGCATAGAAGGCACTACCTTCGTGCGTTAAATTAGTCGGTCGCCATCTTGAAGCCATGGTGGCCATGTTGGATGGGAGGCGACTCGGCGATGAGTCGCTCTAACGTCATCGTTCCGATTCTTCATGTTGTGCAGATGCTGGCCATTAGCACTCTTTCTAACGTGCTGCGCCGGGCTGCGGCATACCATCATGGAGTGTGGAAGTGTTGCCTGGGAGTGCCGGCTTTCAAGCAAGCATTTTTGTACTTGTCAGTTGTAAGCTGTGTTCTGACCTTGCCATGTTGCAAGTTGGTTTGTGCTTCAGGATGCGCTCTCGCTTAGCCGGGAGCTCTCCAGCAGTTGCGAGCCAGACATGTTCACCCTGGCCTTGTTCATCCACAAGCCTCCAGATGACTGGAGCCGCGTGCGGCGGTACGTCAAACATGGTGGCATTGTCATTGCAGGGCATTTCTCACATGTGGTTTACGCAAACATTTTCCAAACACATGTTCCGAAAGGGGTCTGGCATGGAAGCTGCCATTCAAGAGGCTTTCCGGAGGAACACAAGTTTAACGAAAGTGATCACTTATGGCGCACATTGACAGATCACGGTGATCAGTCTGAGCCGACGGCATCAAAAGCAGGGTGTGGCCCGTCGACATACGAGCGTCTTGGATTGATTCTTCCACAGTTCCACTTGTCCACAGCGGAGAACGATCAAGCTTTGGTAGGGAGTTTGGCAGCTTTGAGGATGGCCCTGCCGGTAAGGTTTCCAGGTGTAGTCGGCCTTGCTGGTTGGACAGCATCTTCCTTCAGCTTATCATATCGCCCCTTGGCAGTGGCATCTGCAATGTAGAGTAATGTAGAGATGTTCACGCCTTGCCTGTGGCTACGACCTAGGTCCTCGGTAGGTCTTATCATTCGACTGCCAGATGAACCGTGTAGCAGGGTTTCTGGGCGTTTGCGCACAGCACATGCTGCTTAAAGCTCCGGAAAGGAGCCTTGTTTGCTCAGCCACAGCAATGTGTTGATTGCTTCAGTGCTTTGCGTTTTGCATGCAAACCGTCAGAGCAGCTTCTGGTGATTCTAGTGCATGCACGTGCTCTTGACGTGTAGCCTGAACGGAGCTTTCTGTGAAGGCAATCAATGTGCAGACCTGTCTAGCTGGTGCGTATACCATGCACGGCAAGCCTCAAGGAATACTTGGCGCTGGCACTGTTTGGTTCGCGACCTGGGGCTGGGAAGTGTCCGCTGACACCAGAACGAGGCAGGTCTTAAAGTATATGCTGCTCGGATCGATCTTGTCAATGTATGTCCTCATCATGGGAGTTGTAATCGCAAGTCAGACTGTTTCTTTGCACTGGCATATCTCTGTCATTGCACGGGCGAGGGGGCAATCTGGTTCAGCTCTCTTGATGGACCGCACTTAGGTTGAAACACAATCGTGCGCTTATGTCAGATGGAAGCGCTGCCTCCTTCGGTGTTTCTCTCGAATCCCTCGATGTGACGCTAAGAGGCAAAGGGCCGTCGCCGTCGCCGTCGCCGTCGCCGTCGCCTTCGCCCTCACCACCACCGGTCACAGTGACTGCCACAACAATAACTATAACCACCTCAACATCGAGCTCCAGCACATCAAACTCCTCCACATCGACGTCTTCCACAACTACTACAATCACCTCCACATTTTCGACGTCCAGCACATCCACCTCCAGCACATCCGCATCCAGCACATCCACATCCAGCACTTCCAGTTCCACTACGTCCACTCTCAGCACGTCCACGACCACCACGTCCACTACTACCACGTCCACTACCACCACGTCCACTACCACCAGTTCCAGCACATCTACTTCCAGCGCAACAACTTCTAGCACATCCACCTCAAGCACATCCACTTCAAGCACGTCGAGCTCCAGCAGGTCCACCTCCAGCACGTCCACCTCCAGCACATCAAACTCGTCCACATCGACAACTTCCGTCACGGCAACAACCACTTCCACCTTCTCGACGTCCAGCACGTCGAGCACCAGCACGTCTACATCTACCACATCGAGCTCCAGCATATCGAGCTCCAGCACCACAACAAGTTCTTCAGCATCCACGACAACTCGCTCGACCTCCACATACGCAGGCAGCGATCCCAATGTTCTTGCGGGTGAGGCAACGAACAGAGAAGAACAAATGTCTGCGCTTCAAGGAGCTGCGATAGACAGTCTGATGAGTGCAGCCAGTAATGTCAACCTTTCAAACGTGGAAGTGGTGGATGGGGTCGCCACACTACTGGAGGAAGAAGTTCAGACTGCACAAGGCATGACCTTGCTGACGAAGGCAATGGTGGTACTAAATGCCAGCAGCGGCTTGCAGGCCACTGTAGGGCGAAGCCGAAGTACCCTGCGGGTGCCAGCAGCAACCCTCGAGCAGCTTAAGAACGGCAGCTCGCACCTTGCCGTGAGCTTTGGGGTGTTTCCCGATACCACGAACGAATACAAGTCCTTCGAAGCAGGCAGCGACGCAATACTGGTGGCCGGCGAGGTCATTAGCATTTTGATTTCAGGTCCCGATGGCAAGGTCTTCAAAGGACCCTTGCCCGAGCCGATAGATATCGAACTGAGTACGAAAGCCTTTCACCGAAGAAACGCATGCGTGTTCTGGGACGAGGATAGGAGTGAATGGTCAACATTCGGTGTGCAAAAGGTTGGTGTGACGAACCAGTCCACGCAATGTCGCACAACGCATTTGTCCGTTTTCACTTTGATCCTCGCGACGCTGACTTGCAGCCAGGCTGCAAGGATCTTTTCTCTGGAAGCTTTGCTCGCTCTTGTGTCTACGCCTTGGGCCTGGCAGCCACCTGCTCTCGTCAACTGGACAACTATCTTGGTGGGGTGCTGGTTGTTGCGACTAGCACACCGATCTGATCAGCAGAACCAAGCCCAGATGAAAAGGCTGCAAACCTGGGCGAGAGAATGCCATGAACGGGCCGGCGTTTTACAAGACGCGGCGGAGATCATAAGAATGATCCGACAGTGTCGACAGCTTGCGCATCATGGTGTAAGGTCAGCCAAGTCGTTTATCTGTTCTAGAGTCGTCAACACCAAGTTGGGTGTCGACAACGCATATCTCGATAATCTGCACAGGAGTATCGGTAAGACTGACGTGCATCGACAAGCACACGACGAGGTGGAAAGCTTTCTTCGCTGGTCCAGGTATCGGCAATTCTGGGTGCTTTTTGCAAGCTCCTGCAAGTGGATAAATATCTTGGCTCCATCGTGGCAGTTGGCGAGCATGGATCGCTGCCTACTGTTGCTCGCCAAGCTCTACAGCACCTGGGCTCTCTCGGCCATTTTCTTCGGCAGCACATCGGTGGCTCCAGACCAGGACCCCGACTGCGAACCGCAGGAAGGCTTCTGGCCTATGCTGGTCCAGAGCGTAACCGTCGCCTTGATTGCGGGCGTGTTTGGAGCTTTGCCTCTTGGCTGTCTGGTTCTTGTCCAGCAGGCATGCCAAGCCCAAGTTTCAACAGCAAGAACCACTTTCCGGAGCTTCGTCTTTGCCTACACCTTCACCTGTTGGCTAACGACATGCCTCTTTCTTGCTGCTTGGAGCAACATCAACTGTTTCGCCTCCGGGGAGCCAGTGAGGGGAGTTGAGGCACAGAGGTCTAGGTTTCGAGGCTTGGCGGTTTAATTGGTCCAAGGATTGTGAGGGTCGTGATACATCAACCGTCGGCTAAGAGAGTCGAAGTGATAATGGGCGGCTTCAGAATCGAATTTGAGCCTTGCGGTGTGATGTTTCACGTGGCCTAGTTCTAAATGCCTTGTCTGTTCGTGCTTGGGCGTGTTTGGGCGAGCAGGGCGATGTAAGCTCATTGCGTTCTCTCTCATCCAGCACAGCAGCGATGTTTCACTTCCCAGTCCCGAGGGTCCCCAAGCTAGGCAGGAAACGCAGAGTGGTCTTAGAGCCGAAATCCGGCCGCAGAAGGCAAGGCCCTGAGTTAGTGAGTCTGGTGCTGGGTTCCGTCCTGAAGAGCGAGGGTTCGCCCCGAATGTCCCTCCCGAAAACGAAGGAGAGATCCTGCCCTCCAGACTTGATTGAGCACACCTGCTGCACCTGAGGCGGTGGTGAGCCCGACCGATGCCGAGAGATGGGTGATTAGCGCAGTGGCCGACGTTTGTAAGTCGGCCGTGATGATTCCCTTCCTTTTGGCCTCCGCATGCGTGCTTTTCTTAGTTTGTCAAGATGTTGAGATCCACATGAGTTGGACACAGCATCTGAAGCGAATGAGCGAGAAGGCGAAGCCGAAGGTATGCCTGCAGTCGGTGGACTTCAAGAAGGACGAGCTCTTGCACTTGGGCTTCGAGCGTGTTTCCTCTGTGACAGTCGATTTCCCGGGCCACGACCGGCCCGCGGTGGACTACGAACCAGGAATGGTCTTGGAGGAGGTGAGTGACGGGCAAACTCTTCTCATGACGGCATTTGCGGAGAAAGCCAACAAGAACAAGCCACATCTGATGGGAACTGCCACCCTGAAAGTCGGATCAGAGGCGAAGTTGTCATTCAAGCGCCATGGCAAGCCATTGGATCTCTCAGCAGAGGTGGCTATGACAGTAATTCACGAGGAGGAGGGCCCCACATGGCACACCCTGCCGCCGACGAGCAGCGATATATCGCTAGATGAGCCCCCTGTGACTCCGAGGGAAGAGGGGGTTCTAAGATCGGCGACTGAACCTGAGGCACCGAATGCACCATCTAGCATGGGAGGCGAAAGCGCAGTCTTGGACGAGCGTACACTGACACTGCAGCCGCCCCTGACGCCGCAGCTGCATGAAGAAGCAGCCTCGGACGAGAATCCGGGTCAAGGCACAGTGCAGCCGGTGCCGAAACTGAAAGTGCCTTTGCACATGCCGGCAAGGATGCAGGTGAGTGTCCCAAGGCAAGACAAAGCCGAGTCGGCACCAGCTCTTTCACGAGAGTTCTCGGATGCAGCCCCATGCCCCGGCCAAAGCGGACCCGTCCAGCCCGTCCAGCTCAGTGTCACAGCGAAGGCCCAAGACCAAGAGCCTCGGGCTGAAGCGAGCGGAAGTGGGACTGCGCTGAAGCAAGATGCGGGCGAAATCATGGTGCCTTGTCCTCAGCCTGCCAGTTCACCGAGACCATTGGGGCAAAGTCCCCGCACTCGCACGCCCAAATCATCACCCAGGGCGGTGCAGAGTGCTCCACGACCACGGGCCGCTCTCTAGGAGTGCCCTGATCAGGTCGTCATGTCCTGCCCCGCGCTTCATGCTCTTCAGCTTGGAAGGGATGTACAGAAGTCGAGCGGTCCGAAACGTCCGAGACTTTCCGCGCATTGCAAGCATGGACGCCGCATGCCACTTTGCATTTTCAAGCTTTTCGCGAGCCTGGCTCCATTTGTGTCCTGCCAGTCCGCTTGCAGACTCCCAGAGCTGTGCATATGCCTCAGCAAGGATATCAAGCCAAAGGGCTGTGTGATCCGTAAGCGACTCCCGCAGCCTTCTGCGGGCTCTAGAAAGACTAAGAGCGCCCATGAAATTCTCAGATTTCCAGAGCAGTGCTGCGGCTGCGGCGGTTGCAGTCCGTTCGTTCTTTGTCCGCATTCCTGCGAAGCAAGGAGAGAGTATTACCTTGACGCACCGAGAACGCGGAAGCAAAATCCCTGCAGGAGGCTTTTGCCATAAGGTGAGAAAGAAAAGCCGGGAGAGAGGGAGAGCCTGTTCCAACTCTGCTGCTCCTGCTTGCATGGGGAGTTGCTAAAGCAATCCCCAGTAGAGCAAAAGTCAACCTGCAAGCAGATTGCCAGCGCAACTCAAAAGGTTGCCTATTCTATGAGTGTTGGGGCCTTGCAGCAGTTGCAGTGGTCGATGCCTTAAGCGCAGAGGTTCATCTATTGTAAGTGTGTATACTTGTCGTGCATCATGTCCGGCTGGCTTGGGGGGCAGGACCCCTACAAGGGGGGCGAGTGGGGCTGCCCATGGCTGCTTTTTGATCCTTAGGCATTCGGAAAGAACCCAGGGGAGAGAGTGAGTGTATGCCCTGCGAAAGAAGTTATTTTCAAATCAATCCTGCTGCTTGTCCACAACAAACTGCTGTGCTGAACCACTGGGAGGGAATCTGCCAGTTTTAGCCTCCTGCTTCCCACACGTGGTGCGGGCTAACAGCTGACATCCTGTATAGCTGGAGCTACAACTTTCATAGCATAGACATCTGAGGACATACGAACCAGCCACAAGACAAGTAATGATAGGACAGACAAATGATGACGACACAACAACAAAAGACAAACGAGGACGGCCAGAATTGCAACATACTTCCGCGAAGACGCTGGCATAGGCGAAGACCTGGCAACAGAGCCATGCCTCTTCACAATTGAGACCAGGGATGCTCTTCAGCTGCTCCAAGATGTAGAGGTTGCACGAACCGCCTAAACTTAATTTACATGGAGGTTGCAGTTTAAGACCCACCACATCCAACTTTCAATTCACAAGCGAGAGTACATCAGATGCCTTCAATGAATGCAGCCTTGGCCCCACTCGGGGAGATGCTTCTCAAAACAGCCGGGCGTGACCGGACCAGGTTGTCTCAGGCCTGCGGTCATTCGTACATGTAACATCCTGGTCCCGAGCCCCTCAGCCTGACGACGTTTAGCAGTTTAGCAATTGCGAGAGAGACGGAGAGGGCATAAACAAGGATTAAGGCAAAGCGCCATGCACAGGTGTTTACCTGGTGTTGTTTCGTTGCCAGGCATATGTCGTGTTCATTGCGGCCATTTGGCTCAAGGCCAGAAGTGCAAACCACGTCGAACCAGCTGCAACGAAATAGCAATAGTTTCGGACTAGTTACTAGTTTCAGACCAAACGAGCGAGGGGCAATGTGGCGCTTTCAGCCCATGGCCCTGCATTATTGGATTTTCGTCAACTTCTTCTTACATCTGGACAGCAAGCCCATTGCAGTCGTTTATGAAGGGTGGCAAGGCTTGCAAGCAATTCTTGTTGGCACAGTGTGCTTTGGCAGTTAATTCCCGAACGTGAGAAGTGTGGCAGATCTCCTCAAGCATTGTTTCAGGTCCGCGGCGTATTTGGCAGATCTGGTGGACAGCGCATCCGGATCCAAGGCTGGGCTGACTGAACACGACAGCAAAAGGTTGGAAAAGCAGCGTGCAGCGTGTTGGAAGACCTGTTGGCGCTGCTTTAGGAATTTTCTTTTGCAGGTGGAGTTCTGGCCATGCACGGCATCTTGCAACCTTCCCTTTGGTCGGAGGCATGCTCACATCCCTCGTTCGGCACCTGCTTGCTGTGCGTGTCCCTGGGATTTGGCTGCCCTGAAGGGACGATGTGATTGCGGCTGTGGGTATGCCGCGGAACTTCTCGAACTTGCACGACTTCCCGAACTTGAAGCTAATCCAGAGTACATCCTACATGCACCTTGGATGTGGTGCAAAGCGACGCAAAGCCCTTGCCCATGACAAACTTTCAGGTATCCGCGTCTGTCGGCGATGCCAGCTGGTCCAGCTGTCGCCAAATACGAAGCGGCTCTGCTGAATTCCGAGTGAGCTTCTCTTCCCGTCCACTTGACACCTAAAAGAACTGCAAGCAGGATTTGGCAAAGAGGTCGGGGCACGTCAAGCATTTCTAGGATACACCAACTTGAAGACACATGTGTTGAACTCAGCTGAAGTGCCAAGAGGCATGCCGAGATAACCGCTAGGATAGGATGGCTCAACATGTTGGTGAGCTCAGTACTAGGCTCGAAGCTCAAAGCTGCTCTTTCACAGCTTCGCCATCGGATGAAGCAGAATCCGTTTTTGCCCAACTCTGCTTCTACCGTAGCTTTGCACTTAACACAGACACGCCCCTGAAATGTACAGCCACAACTTGCGCCAAACATCTTGAGAATCTGGTCTCCGGAAATCAGCGTGTTCAGCTCCGCCAAATTGGATGGGAAATCGTCGAAGCGAAAAAGGCATCCGCACAAAACGAACTGGCAACGTCTAGAGTCTAGACTTACGCATTTGCCCAAATTGTTGAAAGCTGGGCCGGTGCTTTCAATCAGCCCGGGGGGCAGACGCTCGAGTCGGTCGCTGCCTGGACCACACGAAGCAGGACATCGGCCTTGCTTCGGTTTTAGAATACATGCATCACACTTGGCGGCAACCCGGCGACCTCCTGAGGGGCCTCTTTCGCAACCACGTTCGTGTAAACCACAGCTTCTGTACGGCCGGTGCTGGTCAAGTTTTTCGTGATGAGACGCCGTGCCATGTGAAGTGTCGTCACTGACTGGAGCCACTGCCCCTTCCCGTAATTATGCTGATGGCGTGGCATGACTTGCGTGCTGGTCGGATTTTTCCGTTTTGGTTGGGACAAGTTTGACTAGTTCGGTCAAGCCCCAGATCATGCAGCATGTTGCAAGCGTGTGCTAGGCCCCATGGAAAGCCTATGGGGTGGAACCCATCGCCGAATTTGTCATTGCAGCTGCCTTCCAATGGAAACCTGGGCTGGACTGGCATTCAAAGCTTGCACGAGTTGTTGTGCATGCATTGCAGCAGAGCGAGAGTAATTTGAAGACGACGGAGCTTGCTAAGGGCATACAAGCTCGCCGAAGTCTCTTCCAGATTCGCCGCTTGTGGCTTCGGTCCAGGGGCACCCGGTGGCTGTGCTCCGGACAGTGCGCTGACTTCCCATCCGACATTAATGAGCAAGTCGACGCTCGCGAGAATTTTTCATCCGAGATAGCCATGTGGGGTGAATCCAAGTACTGAGAGAGGACGAGAGACGTGTTCTTTCGCACACCCGGTGACGGAGGATTGGCATCATTGGCTATGGCACCATTGGCGAGGCACCCGGCGCTTACATGCACTTATGGTCGACATCTTGTTCCGAGAACTGGTGCATTGTCGTCCACGGGTCTTGACAGGCTGTGGCCAGACGAGCATTTGCATTAGGCCTTCGGGCTAAAGCGGCTATGGCTGTTTGGCTGCCGTTTTGTCAGGTCTCTGTTTTATGCCCATGCTGTAGGACCGTAGGATGATTTTGATGCCCAAACATGTGCGACTGCAGCACTGGTGATGATGTGGAGGTATGCGTGTGCTGGCATCACGACGCCACGGTCCTTTTTCGTGTTGGGCTCAGCCGAGCGTGCAGCACGGCTAGCAAGTTGATTGCGCACCTCTTACACAAAGCACATTGTGCTTGATGATGTTGTGCTGCCGTTCGCGACGACGAGTCGGCTGCCTATTCTTGCTACATGGTGGAGGTCCGAGTGGCGACAACTACCAAGTTTGCATGCCGTTGTCCACTGTGCGTTTCGCTTTGATTGCCTGTACGGATCCTTCCACAGACCTTTGGGGGCCGTATATTATACACAGCGGCCTCGCATGCAGAGCGCAGAAGCAGTCGCTGTAGGCGCATGTGGCTGAAAAGGGGTGGCGACTTGCAGAAAAACCCAGGGGCCCTCAGGGCAGTTCCCATGGTGCTTGCATCTCTCGTCGGACATCCCAGCCTCTGCATTGGCGTGCGATTTCTGTGCCAGCCGCCTCGCTTCGAGCCTGGCCCTGCCAGCAAAGTCCTGTCCCGCAGCGTTGCGGCGACTACGACTGCTTTTCCCGGCTTGTGAGTGGTCCTGTGACTCAAGGTGCCATACATTCGACATTGCATGATTAGTGATTCTCGTACTGAGTACAGCAATTTGGCTGTTTGGGAGCTTGCTGTTAATTAAGTGTTATCGGTCGATGATGGCACTGGCTGCGAGGTCTTGGTTGATCAGCGACAACGACAAAGTCTTAGCCGAGTGCGATTTCATTGCAGTGACTGTTCCAGGCCGGCCGGCCGCGTGCGTGTTTCGGAGATATGGAATTCAAGTCAGCGTTTGAATGACTCTAAGTGATGCCGGCTGATATGTCCATGATTTCAGTTAGTGTGAAGTCCGTCTTATTATTGCAACTGACCAGTTCTGTGTTTTTGCTGGAAGCTCCGCTTGCGAGGTTCTGTCGTGGGGCTGATCAACAAGACGGCATTGGCACTGATGAAGCCTGGTGCAGTGCTGATCCCGGTGTCTGCAAATCCTGTGGATTTCGATGCGCTGTACCATGCCGCTTGTTTCGCACGTTTCAGTTTGGTTTCAGCAACACTTTCAAGCAACATCCGGTGCAGGCGCTGTGAAGTACGTAAGAGTGTAATGGTGCACGCAAGCAGTGACCGCAACGATGTGCGCCGATGTGCCGTTTGCGGCAGCTCGGCCAGTCGTGGTCTCATCATGCAGAAGGGCCGGGGCCATCACAGACGATGCGTTCTGACTCAGCAAGCGACCATGGACACAGCAGCCGGTATGGCTGTGTGGTCCCCGATCGTGTGACAATACCTCCAGCAATATGCACCTAAGCTCAAACCATTCCAGGACGCGGCCAAGATGCTTTTCGGGGTCAGCCCGAAGCACCGCAAGCCCAGGTCAGATTCATTCGAAGGCGCATTCTAGCCGCCCTCATCTTTCCGACCCAATATGCGCACTGATCAGACACCTCGCTGCCAAGAACAAAACCTCCACGTTGAGCCAGCAGAAGCCACAAGAACTCAGTTCCTAGTGGTCCTAGTGGCCTGGTCTTTCGCCTGGATCCCAGGCTTTGCTCACGGGCTCGATCGGTGGGGCCGTCCTTGACGTTTGGCCACAAGGAGTGACGCCTGTCCCGTCGAGTCTGCATGGCTTTGGTGCAGAAACTCGCGCGCAATGTCGCAAGGCTGCTGGCACTACCCAGACTCATTTTGCGGGCCTCCTTACGGGCGCGAGGCCGGATATTTCCTGCAAGCAAAGCTTGAAAGTCTTTGGTGTTCCTGAGAGGCACAACCTTACTTGCAGTCGCATCTGGCGCAGCTTGACAACGTCCTCGTGTTGCCAGGCGTGTTGTTTGTTGTGCGCCGTCCACATGCTGGGGCTGAAAATCAGCACAAAAGTTTTAGGACTCGAGCGCATGTACCTGCAAGACGGCCAGGTTTTCGAGTCGTCGGGAGGTCTTCGTCGTTTTACATTGGACGGAATGCTATGTCGATGTCAAGAGCTCGCCATCTTGTCGATCGGTGTGCTCAAGACCAACGCGACCGGTCGCCTAGACCGCAGACCTGTCACCCGATCTCCCCAGCCTGTGACACTGTGGTGACATGTCGACGTTCGTCACCGGTCGCCTGTGGCGACTCGGCGTCAAACGGCCCGTCGGTTCGTTGCGACAAGTCAACCGCGGCAGTCGTGTGTTGCAGTTCGTGACGCAACTCGTCGCCCTCTCGCCATGGCGGCGAGGTGAGCAGGTTCTAGAAATATTATCATTAATATCTGCACACCGCAAGGTGCTAATTGGCTGTCTTGGTTGAGTTCATGTCAGTGCAGATATACCTGTGCCTGCAGCGAAGCAGACGCAAGTCGAAGCTCTTCGTGTCTGCATATTGACGGATCGATGGTACCTGGTCAAAGACCCGGACGATAGAGAGTCTCGTGCAGTGTGGCTACAGTGTAGCGACAGTGAGCTGGCATAAGGCTCCACTTGCTATCTTTTGTGCCACTTGTCAGGCGTCGCCATGCGTGATGCCAAATTTTGGTCCAACAGCGCTGCATGGGTTAGCGACAACCTGGCGGCTGAGACTGAATGTGGGCACGTGGGTGGAGGGCTCCGACTAGGGCATCCAAGAAATTGTACTTGTGATTGTGACTCTTGCAGAACGGGTCGCATCAAGACAGATCCTAGTCGTGCCTGTATTCAGTAAGGTGGCGCTCATCGATGGCTTGCCGCTCAAAGGTGTGGTCCGAAATGCCACTTTCGACACCAAGACTCAGGCTGATTCTTTGCAGTTCGTGCTCTTTCATCTTCGTCCCATGGTGATGCATTTCCCATGCCGGTGGGTCGGCAACCGGTGTGTTTCGCGTTCCTGCTCAGGAGCCGACACGCCTGATGCAGCTGGTGTGAGAAGCAGGCTCCAATCTGTTTGCTACAGCATCGACCTGGAGATTCGAATTGCCGGCACGGCATGCGCCGAAAAGCAGGCTGGTTGCAGGCAGTTTCAGTGGCTGATCTGGATCGGTACGGACCGTAAAACATTGGCAATTGCGTTTGCTACCACTCGTGCTCTGAGGATCGTAGGATATCGAAAACATGGAAGGCATGGAAGGAGTCTTGGGACCATGAGATCTCATGAGCCATGCGTTGAGCTCGACCCGAAAGTCTCATAACACGGTGCTAGAGGCTACTGCAAGCCCGTATACGCAAATCGTAGGTCGTAAGATGTCGTAAGCAGAAAACGGTGTGTGTGTGTGTGATCACGATTGATACTTCGCGATTTCCGCCTCATGGCAGCGGTGGGCCCACTTTTCGTGGTCACGAAGGATGGCACCGAGATCAAGGGGAGCCCCAGCTGAATTGAAAGGTTCGTTCAACCCTCGATGCCCGATACCCGTCTTTCCTTTGGCATCTTGCCTGCGTGATCGAAGTCTGGCTTGTGAGTCACACTCCTGAAATTGCCCTCCGTTCCCATCTGAGTCCAACCCCGTGCGATCTGGTGAGACATCTTTTTTTTTCTCGACCTAGAAGTATACACCTAGATGCTGCCATGGCAGCGCCCCTACTCACTGGCAGTGCGCCAAGCCGAACCTGCCTGTATTCCGAACCTGTGCATAAGCCTGAGCCACCCGAAGCCTCAATGCGCCATGGCGCCGTCGGCGCCTGCGGACGTTCCGAACTTGCCGGGGCCGGAGCCGGCGCCGTGGCTTCGGAAGTGCTTCTGCTCTGGGACTCTGGGATTTCACGACATGGGTTTCCATGATTCCCTGCAAGGTGCAAACCCTGACTGGGCACGAGTCCGGGGTCCTCGCCCTGCCGCTGGAAAGATTGAGTGTGTAAGTGTCTGAAGTTGGGACAGACCTGAATCAGCATGGCATGTTCAACTTGTTGTTTCCAAGGTCTTGGACGCAGAATGGACAATACATAATGACTGCATCGCAGGACCGTGGCCACGGCCTCTGCGATGCTGAATACTGCTCCATTCACTGCAGTCCGCAAGGACAAGTCGGTTAGACTCTGGAACCCCAGCAGCGGCAAGCACATTAAGAAGTTTGCTGGTTGCCACAATCAGGAAGTCAATGACATTCGGAGCCTTGTCGTGATTGATCCTCTCCGAGGGCTTCTGCTTGCAGAGTTCCCATCGCTGCCGCGAATGTTTCGTGTTCGGTCAAGGATAGCGGCTGACAACAGCAAGTTTGTCTCCTGCGGCTCTGACAAGTTGATCTTCCTCTGGGATGTAACTTCCGCACAGGTGATCCGAAAACTGACTGGTCACGACCGGAAGGTGAACGCACTTGCATTCGGACCAAAGGAGGATGTACTGTTAAGCGCCTCTCACGACAAGACGGTGAAGATATGGGACATGCGTACACGGTCGAGGGCACCAATCCAGACCTTGAGCGACGCTGTGGATTCCATTCTTTGCCTGATAACACACAAGGATGTCCCCTGGCAGCTGTAGTCTATAGTTGCTTTCGTGGGCCTTTCTCGGCAACTGAGTCTCTTTCTGCTGACTTTTACGAGTAAATAGTTACCATCGGTGCACGGAGGCAATCATAACTGGAAGCGTGGATGGAGGCCTTCGACACTATGACCTGCGCAAAGGGCAGATGGTAACGGACCGCAGGGGAAGACCTCAGAGTGCAGTGCGGTCGGTAATGGATGTGATTAGTGTGAAGCTCGTGCTGTGCGATGCCCCCTTCACTTTCCCTCGTCATGCAGATGGCTGTTGGTAGGACCAGCTGTTGCAACCGATCGGCAGCATTGCAGTATCAGAAGATGGCCAGTGCCTGTTGGTCTCTACGCTGGACTGGCCTGGGTTCAAAACCGGATTGAGTGTCTGGCATGCTTGTCATGGCTGTGCGTGTCGCCAACTTGCTTGGACGTCCTGACGTCTGTCCAGGACAGCAATATTCGTCTTCTGGAGCGTGAGGCTGGCACGGGAGTACACTCTATCGGGATTGCGAGCAAGGTTCCTGACACCTCTCGAAGAGTCTTGTTTTGTGCACGTCCACACTCGTCAGTGTCTTGTCGAACTTCCTTCTCCATTCGCGTGCGGAGGACGGGTCAGAGCTCGCCACTTACAGCGGACACAGCAACCGGAACCTTGTTCGGAGTTCAGACGAATCCCTGTTGGAGCGAGCCATTGCGACATCGCACAAAGTGGCAAATGGCATTCAGGAACCCAGGTCCTAAGTCCTAATGGAACCATTTCTGAAAGCATGGACCAGACCCAAAAACTGGCTTCTGTGTTCTGGATGGCGCTCTGATCCTCGATTGTGCTTTCTGACTTGGAGTGCAGTCGCAGCTTTTGAGAGCGGTGTTGCTGAAGGTTTGCAGTGGGTCGCCTTAACCCGCTGTTTGAAATGGCCAGCCTTATGGCGGCGTTCTCGAGATTCTGGATGCCCCCCCAAAGACTCTACAGTATGGACTGTTGTCATGCATGAACTGTGGGTGCCGAGGCGAGTGAAGGTACGCAGTTCCTTGGATCCGTCGGACTCCTTCGTTGCTAGTGGCTCGGAGGACGAGATGAGAGTTCTCAAGCGTCGGTTGCAACAACTGCAAAGAGGACGGCACTCTCCACTTCTGGGAGCTGGTGGAAGCAACGCCCTTGCGTCGGACCAAGTCACACGAGGCCCGTGGCCCACCATCACGGTGTTGCCCCTGTCGCCGGTCACTCGTCACACGATTCTGACGGTCCACTGGCGCCATGCAAGTTCTTCTTCAGGCTGCCTTGCTCTGCCTCGCATTCCACGAAGAGACCCTGGCCGCTTGTCTCTCCTCAAGTGCGGCGAGTAAGATTCCGAATCAAAGCGGAGTCTTGGTTCGGTCCTCTTCCCCCCTCTGCAGGTGACGGCAGCCGCAGACGGCGTCATCAAGGTTTGGATGCTCGGCCGCAAAGACGCCGGCCGCTGACTAAAGCAATCGACTAAGCGGACTGCTCTGGCTTGCTGTTCCGTCTCAGATAGCTTTGCATTGAGCCTGCCAGGCGACCACAGAGGTCATGCTGAGCCCGGGCGTACTGACTGCAGTAGCATCGCCAAAAGGCAGCGAGCCTTCAAAGCTTCGAGAATGGCGTGCTTGTGCAGAACCCTGCGGCCAAAAGTTGTTCGTCTGCCAACCGGGAGCCAGCGCAGAGAGGGAAGAAGAACCGTGTCGCTGGATCTTACGAAAGTGTCGGTGTCGGGCAAACGTAGCGGTAGCAGCAGTCGACAGTTGCGAAAGTCAGTCCCAGAAGTTGAAGACCTCTGAGGAGACAACGGCTGCAGAACACTGCGGCCTTTGACTCGATGCTTGCAGAGCCTCAGCTGCTTACATGGCGATTTGGGCGATCTGTTGGAGACTTTCCTCCACCGCAGTCGTTCGCAGCAACTTTTCAGTGACATGACGCCGAAGCTCATAGTCATAGATCGCGATGTTCGAAGCTCGGAATGTTTCCAAGGATTTGACGACTCGGATGGAGAGCCTCGGATGAGTGGGCTCTCCAAGTCGGGCTCGGAGATTAACTTGGTTGAAGTTGTGAGAGAGACAAACTTCTGCAACCAGTGGAGGAATGTTGACTACGATGTTTAGGTGGTCATGCTGTTGCTGCTTTGTCTTGCAACTGCAGTCCCAGCCGCAGCCACGCTTCTCCTGCCCGTAGAATGGCTGGGGGGACCACGGATGACTCGAGTTGTACGTGAAGGTTTACTATGGTCCGGGCTTAGCAGAGGCGTCCGCCGGAGTCCGGGGTATCCAGAACGTGAAAATCTCCCTCCCCGAAAGGGGCCATGTTGACAGACGGCGGACAGTGGTGGTTAGGCCCTCGGGCCAGGGTGCCCCCATACCCCAGCAAGCCAAGCAAGCTCTTGCTGCTTCTGCTGGCCAAGGCCATGAACGTTTGTTTTCAGACTGAGGGGTCCGGACTTTGGTGACTCGAGGGTCCCCGCAGCAAGCGCCTTTGTTGCAATCTGAGGAAGCATTTCCAGTCCAACCCGGAGTTCGTCATAGCCGATCTGGACGTTTCGCAGAACAAGCTCACGCTCGATCAGCTCCCAGCTGAGACGGTTTGGGAATTTTATCGAGCTTCTGCTTGATTTGTATTTGCATTCGTCGAGGTTTCAGTCTCTTTTCCTCCTCCTGGGCACTGCGGGTGTGCGAGTAATGCGCTTCCGTATGTTTGGTTGTGCAACGCTGACCGATGAAGCGCTCAAAGTGATAAGCGACTTGGTGCTGGTCTTGGACATCAAAAGGTAAGTAAAACGAGCTGTTGCTGCTGGCGCATTGCCTTCATGTGGCATGTAGGCTGGGCTGAGGTGAATATCTGCGCGGCCTGGGCGCTGATTGGGCTCCAAGCGAAATGCATTTATCAGATTGCTTCTAGGCTAAGCCAGCGTCCACACGGTGTGCTTTTTTTCTACTGCGGGGTCCCGGATCCCGTGAACAAACTATGCTCCGTGGAGAATGCTGAGATAGCCGCTTTTTAGTCGAGCTGTGTCCTACATAAGGTGCTATCACTGCGGAGGGTTTTGGAGAATTCTGCAAAGCTCTGGAGGACGCTTGTTTATGCAGCAGGGTGACCGCATGCAGCCATGTGTCGCCGTGTAGCCAGCTGAGGTTGCGTGTGCGTGCGATCAATCGTGAGCTGTTTAGGAAACCAATCTGTTCCCTCGACCCGTGGCTCCATCCGCAACGACGGGCTACCCGCTTTATCTGCGGATGGAGAACAACTACATCGACGAGGCAGTGCACACAAATGTAAGCATTGTTCCCTTCGCAATGAATGCACGCTGACGATGAAGAGGCGGTCATACGAGAGAAGGCATCTCTGCAGCAAGAGGACGCAAGGAAGCAGGACACGGGGATTTGGTAGAGAAGGTGTTCCAAGCGCCGATCACATACGCCAGAAGTCCTGAACCAGAAAACTCGATCCGTGCCCGTGTGGTCTCTCACGAGAGATGCCCTGACTGCTCCAAGCATGAGTGCCGAGATGACGTTGCATGGCCTGGCAAGCGGTTAAGCACGAAGTCCTCCTGTCGGTCATGCCGCTCATCCACGCTTTTGCCTTAGGTTGATGCTGGCCTCATACAGCCGTTTACCAAGGCGGGCTGAGTAGGAGGTGACTATGTGAGCAGAGAACACTGAGGTGTGACGGGATGTTCTGAAGGGCTTCACGGAGAGCTTGTCTCTTCAGCCGGGACTTACGAAGCGAGTCTCCGAAGTGTAACGGTTACAGAGATCAAGTCATGTGGTTTTCCAGGAACGGCAGCGAGGTTTTGCTGATGCCAGTCCGACATGATGTGCCTGGTACTTCTGTTCTGTTCGTCAATGAACCAGTTTCGGCATCCCTGCGTGAGAAGTCTGCCAATGCCTGAGTAGGTTGGAGGTGCCCGGACCGTGTCCATCCAGGGGCCAAAGGTTAACCTCCTGGTGAAGGCAGAGTCCACAGCCCGATCCTTCTGGGCTGTGATGACCCCTCCACTGGCTTCTTAGGTCCTGAACTCAACTTATGGCCAGCGCACCGGCCCGCCTCCAGCTCCAGAGAATGCCCCTCCTCCGAAGCAGGTGGGACTTTCCGTTGTGGCTTCCACAGAGAAAATTTGCCTTGCCTGGACAGGTTTGGGACCAAAACCAGCAGCAGAGCCAGGACTTCGTGGGCTCGAGAGTGGATGCGTGCTTGATTGCAGACATGGCAGGCGTGGAGCCCCCAAGCTGCATGGATGTGGCAGAAGGGCAAAGGCAAGGGATGGGGAGGCGAGGAACGGAGCGATCGAGCGATCCCGTGGTTCAATTCTGCCAAGCCCATGATGGCAAGGCTGTGGCTGGACTCCCGGCATGACAGGACGCGCGCCCTGGATTCCGCAGCCAAGAAAATCAAAGAACCCTCGGTAATCTTGTTGAAGTGTCATCGCCAGTACAAGTTGCTGTTCTTGTTGCAATCTCCATCGCTGCATGGCTGACCACTGAGATGTGAATGCTCTTTGTATGTCAGGAGGACGGCCCCCTCTGGCAGCTGCTCTTGCTGGGATTGCGGCCCTGGCTGCGCCGGCAGGACCCACCTAAAGCGCAGTGTTCCGCTAAATCGCCGAATCAAAAGCAAGCTCTCGCCCAGGGATCGCAAGAATTTCACATTGAACCGGTGCGCAGAGCATCTGATGAGATCCCATTGAAGCTCATGCCTATGAGATTCCATGCCCCTCCTGAGAGGTCAGGTTGGGTAGCGGAAGCGACGAAGCGTAGCTGTAGCAGGACAAAGCCCTGTGCCGATGCCGGCAGCTCCGCTGAGACCGCTCCTTGGCTAGAATCAGCTCCTGCAGAATGCGGTGGAAGCAGGATGGCCACGGTCTGAGGCGGGCGACGATGGTCCAGAGCAGCGCTCCTTCGGCTCAGACCTGGCAACCTGGGCAACGTGGGCAACGTGGGCAAGAGAGCAGCTGGCAAAGCGGCAGCTGGCAAGGCGGTAGCTCGAACAGCAGCAGCAGTTGGAGTGGCAGCGGCAGCTGGAGCAACGGCAGCTGGGGTGGCAATGGCGGCTGGTGGAGCAATGAGGCCAGTGGTTGGAAGGACAACAGCAGCTGGCAGAGTAGCAGCGGCACCGGCAACAGCTGGCAGAAGGAGGAGTGGCCAAAGAAAACCCCACAGCAAGGCGAGTGAGCTGAGTGGATAACTAAATTGTCCCCCTGAGTGCAGCGCCCATGGCAGGGGAACACAAGCCGGTTGCCCGCCAATCAAACGCGATTGCGAGCTCAGACCGATCACGAACGCCAACGGCAAGGATCGCCAAGTATGATGCAAGATGTTGCATCGCAGGTTGCACGATGAGAGCCTGAGCATTCGGCCAGAGCTGAGCCTGCGTGACAACGCTTCTCTGTTGCCCGCAGTCCTCCTACAGGTAACATCCGTAAAGTGTGCAGGTCAGGACCTTCTTTATCGTAACCCTCTGCAGCTTGCATCCGCCGTCTTATTGTCTGGAGGATCATTGCTCCTCCAACCGCCGTCAAGAAAGCCGAGACAGTGCCGCACCCTTGGGAAGTTCACCACTCCAGCGAGTACCAGTAACTCGGTCGCACGTCTGCTTGGGATACTTGAAAGGCATTCGCGAGAGGCCAGTTGTTATATACTTGAATCAAGGACTAGTGGCCGGGCTTTCGAGATATTCTGAACCGACGGATTTGCTAGCGTGCCCCAGGCTCGATTACTACTGGAACTCCGAGACTGGCGAATCGATCTGGGAGAAGCCCGAGAAATGGTGAAGAAGTGCGGAAGAGAAAGGTTTGCATTTGCAGAGGTTCTGTCGAAGTGCAAGCGACATTTTGGCCTCGTGGACGGGGAAGCGGTTCTAATTCTGCAACATTAACAGGAAAGAGCAACATGTCCTGCTAAAGTGAAGGAGAGACAGCAACCGTGCATATTCCTGCTTGTGGCCCAAAGTAAACGCCGGCCGGTGATCTCGCGAAATTGCTTCGCAAGGCGACGCGAGTGACAATTGACAGTCGGGCGCGCAGTCACTGCAGCTGACCAGAGCACGTGCGGGATGCGAATCCGCAGCTGTTTGTACACTTCCAAGCCTGGCGAGTTTGTCCATGTTCTCCGCAGGTTGTAGCCTGGCCCATGGCGCAAATCATGCTGAAGATCAAAGCCGCCGGCGGAATCGATTTTCCTATTGAGGTGGCTGCGATGTCCGAGGGCTCCGCAACAGGGGCGACGGTACAGGATGTGAAGATTGCGGCCACCGCGGGCTGCGACATGGATCCAGAAGTCATGAAGGCCGGCGAAATTTGTTGCATGTCGTGGCGCACCTACAAAGCAATACAGTAACTCTGTAGCAACAGCCGCAGACAGATATAGTTTGCCATAGGCGCAAAGGCGGCAGCTAAGCGAGTATTGTGGTGGTAATCGAATGTCATCGAAGCCAATCCGGCCATGCATGCCATGTCCATAAGAATGCCTGGTCAAGCACGAACGAATGGATGCTGCTTCCAGGTCATCTACAAGGGCAAGGTCCTGAAGGATGATGACACTTTGGTCAGTTGTGGCATTCAAACAGGCGATACTCTGCATGTTGCTAAAGGCATGAGCAGACCTGTCGCCCCAAGTGAGAGCCAGAGCTCCGGATATTCGGCAGCGAGAGGATCTGAATCTGGTAAGGCGAAATTCGAGATCTATTTCAAAGGTCCGAGCGGTGTGGAGGTTCCTTCCGACCAGTTCGGTGAAGCGGACACCGTGGAGCAGCTTCGTCAATTCGCCAGCTCTGCATTTTCCACAAATTCGGACGAAGTGCACCTCCTGCACAAAGGGAAGATTCTTAAAGATGGTGCGTCGCTGGGAAGCTGTGGCGTTGCTGCTGGCTCAGTACTGAGAGTGGCCCGCCGGCACAACGAGAAAGAGGTGGCCAGCAATGATACCGTACAGCCGACCGAGGTCCCTGAGGACGTCAGCTCACCCATGCCCATGGCGTGGGGCGCTAATTCGCAAGGCGACTTGGAGCAAATTCGGGCCATGGCACGGACTCTGGGGCTGCCAATGGAGCCGTTGGAGCAGGTTTTGCGGGAGGTACCCCAGCAGCAGGCAATGACTGCAGCAATGCAGGAGATAGCACGCTTGCGACGAGGGCCACCTGCTGGTGAGACAACTGCAGAAATGCAAGCTAGATGGGATCGTGAAGCTGCTGACATGGCCCGGCAAGTGCGGGCGTATTTGTCTAGACGGGAGGAAGGAGAGGAGCAGGAAGAGGACGGAGATGAAGAGCTGTTGGCTGACATCTCCCGGACACTGGCAGAGGCGCGGGCACGCGGAGCTCCTGTACCGAATGCCGCTGTATTTGTGGATCGTGCAGTCGCAAGGAGGCGCCAAGCTCGAGAGCTCCATGCGCGGATGGCTCGAGAGGCCAGTGGCCTGGACCCCGAAATCGAGGACGCTTTCGCGGCGGCAGAGCAATCCTTGGCTGCCAGTGCCAGGGCACCGCGCCGGTTGGGCGGAGAGCCCCGGCGTAGAGAGTGAGGCCTGTACAGCTCGTTTGGAAAGACGAAAATCACCAGAGGAGCGGCTGCCAGAGATGTCATGCTTCCTGCTGATTGGCTGTTAACGCGAGGCCAGGCATTGTGCTCGAAGCTTATGTCGGTCAGGTGGCGGTGGCGATGGGAGCTGCTGGTGGCTGGCTTGATGTACAATGTACATTGCAGTTGTCGCGGCATCTGCACCAAACCTGCTTCTTGCTTCATAGAGATGGGGAGATACGTACATAAACAAACGAGGAGTAAGCATTTGTTTCGTGGCCGCAGCCCTCTTAGCTGGCTCGTGGCGAAGCCACGTGCCGCACTCCAGGCCTGCGGGGAGTTGCAGATCTTGCAATGTTCGGCATCGCACGGTTCCATCATGAGAGAGTGGCAGGGATTGCTCTCCCGTGAAAATCAAAATACTCGCAGCCCTCGCGGCTGTGGAACGGGCTCGCCCCTGGAGGTCCATGATGGATGCTATGCGAAAGCGTAGCAACACATGGCAGCTCCTTGGCAGCAACCAGATCTGCTAAACCTGCAAACAGCTCGAAAGGCTAACAGATACGTGCCAGAAAAAAAAGCTGGCTGGTCAGGCACGGGGACGCAAGCCTGGACATGGCAGCGTGCGACTGCGGGAAAGGTGCTGCCGCAGGCGGGGGCGGAAGCGAAGCGCAGTTCAATGAAGAACAATTGCCGAGCCCAAAGCTCTTTGGAACAAAAGCCAGTCTTAAAAAAAGGGGCCTCGATGAGCGGCCGCAAGAGCTTTCGGCAGGGCACAGCTGCAGGAATCTCAAGAATTCTCTTGCCGATGCTCTGCACATGCGTGCACTTGCACGCTGACGCAACGTAAGGCCCGGTCGCTGGAGCCCCGTCGCTCGGCGCTTTCAGATGCCCCCGCAGCTCAGCTGCAGTCGGGCTCCCGGTGTTTCTGCTTTATGCTGAGGCCGCAAAGCTGAGGCAATTGAAAAGATGGTCAGGGTAACTATTGGACTCAGCGCAGAATCCACCAAGAGCAACCTGACTTCTCACTGGCTTCACTGTGTTTTTCTCGATGTTTTGCAGCTCCACAGAACCGCTTGATGCGACAACTCGTCAATCGGGGCTGACGATTCGAGAAAGGCATCGTCATCGACACCATCACAACCGTGGCAAAGCTACGGAGGAAGATTCAGGAGCGATGGGGTTCAGGATAAGCCGCCGTCGCAGATGTTTGGTTGCGGCCTGGCGGGCGCACAACCCCCCCACTCCCGATATCTTCGGAGTTTAGTTACCCCTTGGATGCCATTGGGGGCGAAGATGGGGCGGGGAGCGCAGAACGCACAATGCACAACCGTATGAAAATGTGTGTCTGTGTACACACACACAGATGTGTATATATATATATATATATGTTAATATTATAATATGTGCGTATACACACCCGCATGCACAGAGATTGGTCAGACTCATCCCCATGCAGGATGTTTCTGGAGTCTCCCAGCGAGCTCAGATGCTGTCGATTAGTGGCAGGGTTCTGGGTAGCAGCTTGGCTCGCGCTGTAGAGCCATTTGAACCGAGCATCGAAGCCTGCTTCAAAGCCTGCAGCCGCACCAAAGGGCCAAGTGAGTGTTTCAGGCTGTTTTGATCACCAGCTCCTGACACTTGGCCGCAGAAGGGAATCCTTGCACTTTTTCCATATCCCATGGCGTATGGAGTGCATGGCAGACAGCACGCTGCAGGTCCGAGGTGGCACCAGAAGTGTTCTACTGTGATGGTGTCGATGTGACCGTCCTAAGACGGTGTAGCGAGGCCCAGGCGCAACCTGCACGTTCACCGAGACGTTGCTTGCGAAAAGCGGTTTGACCCAGAATGCCCTGTGAGTTTCGCGAGGCCGAATGGCTAGACATGCTAGAGAGGGGCGATGAGTCTGCCCGTGCCGGTCTTTTTTCAGGCACCTCAGCTAAGCTGCCGATGTGACGACTTCAGCGGCTTTGTGCCATGGGCAGCTCAGGAGTTGCCAGAGATCTCCAGGAACTCTGCGACTTCAACCGCCTTTCTCGCTTCAGACATGTGCTCCAAGAGCAGCTCGTCGGAAGTCCAGGCTTCTGCTACTAGTAGTCTTTGCAGGAACGCCAGGCTTCTTCCGAGCTTTGGGCGCCCAGGCACATGATGAACGATGCGCACAGATATGCCTTTCATCGCCCCTCCGCTGGAGCCAGATACGGGCTGCGTCCATCCATGCCATTTCTTAGACAGAAACAGAACTACCAGATGCAGTTGCAAAGCCCGACAGCCCAAGGTTTGCGAGTGCATCTGCTTCACGAACGATGCCCCTTCACTCATCCGGGCGTTTGGCGGAGTGAAGTATGCGACTTGACGAGATGCCAATGGCAGTCTGCAGCTTTGTGGGTGCTGCATGTGGTTGGATCGGCCAACCCGGGCTCAATGCCGCTTGCTAAGGTCAGTGGCTGCAGGAGGCTGTGCTTCTGTGTAATGATGTGTACACGTTTCTTCTGCTGGGCATGCCAACATGAAACGGCCTCGGTGACAGTCAAAGAGCTAAGAGCCCCAAGCAGCCCAAGCAGATATCGCACGGTCCACAGGATGAGACCTTCCTCCTCATGGCCTTAGAGATCAACAATCCCGCCGCCGAAGTGCACACTCCTATCCTGTTGCTGAGCCTGTGAAATCTGGATCTTTTTCCCGAATGCAGCCGCAGCACGTTTCTCCGTCTCTGAGGTTGTATGGAGCCCGGGAGCAGATCCAAAAAAAGCTGGAATTGGCCAAGATGCTGGCAGGCCATGTTCTCGACATTGAGCACGCATCTGTGAGAACGGTTTCAAGCAAGTCTTGCTTGGCAGAAAACCCCCGCGTCGATCCGCTGGTGCTGGCCGACGTTGCACCATGCGCTGCTCGGAGCAGAAACCAAGACTGATTGGAACAATTCGTTCTGTCGTGCGTCGGGTTTGAGTGTGACTTGCTGCCGTCAGGTGCTGCATGACCGTGAGTTCTTGCTCATAGCTGCAAGGAGGCTCTGTCTTCCGTCTTGCAGCCTTTGGCTTCGAATCAGAGTCGGCAGCCCTTGCAGCGCCGCGTAGTGACTACGTGTTTTGCCAGCTTCAAAAATTATGCAGGAGTGGCGCCATTTTGCAGATGGCAGCGCCCGAGCTGCAGCAGGACACAGATAAGATGGCCACCGCTTGGTATACTGCGCTTGTGCACTATGGCATGGGCTTTGGGATGTGGCGCGGTGTGACTAAGCACCTGTGGAAGTTAGGTCTTTAGCGCGCATGACCTCTTCAGAGTCAAGCTGTCTGATGACATGCTGGACTGCTCGATAAGCCCATCAGCCGGCGAGCAGCAGGACTTGGAGTTGGTCAAGGCGTGCGTGATGCAGTCCGGGAGTGCGCTGCGGCCACGAGCCTCAGTTCGCTGTGAGAGGTTCCCCTGCAGCTTCTTTCTTCTTGCAACATGGCTCAAGTCAGGTTCGTGGCTCCTGAGCTGAAAGCTAACAAGGACATTGCGGCTTGGCTGATGAGAGGAGAGAAGGAAGAGCAGGCCGAACTACCGTAGGACGCGACTTGCGGTGCTTTGCAGAGGTGCTGCGGGCTGTTGGGAACAGCGGCCTCGCCCTCGAGCACGCAGCCTGGGAGCTCAGAGACGACGAAGAGGCCCCGGGCCGGGAATCCGGGAATCGGACAAAATGCCACACAAAAAGCACCAAGCGTAGCTGGTTTTTTGTGTCCGACGTCCTTTGTTCAGGTCGTGCAGCTTGCGGTGCGATGCACGGGCCTGGCCCTAGAGTTCGCTTCGGACAGGACCGGTGGGTTGAAGAGGAAGACAAAAAGCAAGGCATGCAGACCAACTTCGTATTCTGTTCCCAGCAGGCTGAAATCGCTTCGTGAGATTGTCATGGAGTCTGTGGGCCAAGACGGTTGTGCAATTATGCTGCTTGGCCACGTCTTTCAAAGCCTTCGATGCTGCCACTACGGCCCAGCAAAGCTGGTGACGGCTTGCGACTCCGTTGCCCGTCGACGTGGTTGAATGTGCTGAGGTTCGCGGCCGAAGCGCTGAAGGACGACATGGACGTAGTCAGCCGAGCGGTTCAGGTGTCAGGCCAGCGACTTCTTGAGCTTGCCTCGGATTTTCCGCAAGTGCATCCTTGGGCAGCCACGATAGCAAGGACTGTGTGAACGCCTTGCAGGCCAAGCTCTCAAGCACGTCTCGGCGCGTCTGCGCAACTCACGAGAGGCCGCACAGACTCGCAGTGAGCACTAGTGGTTCACCATTTGATACCATTTGCCTGGCGACCGGGTTATGATTTTGCGCTGGCTCACTTCGTCTCAGGTGGTCGTACTAGCTGCCCGCCAGCACGCCCAATCGCTGCAGCACGCATCGCTCCTTTCCGGCAAGATTTGCGTAAGCCGTCAATGCTGGTGCTTCCGGCTAAACTTTCGCGTCGCCTGAGTGGACCTCCATGTCCGCCAACAATCTGCTGCAAGGCCAGAGCTTCGTTCAGATCTGGACACTGTAATCGATGCCGTGTCCGCGAGTTTCAAGGCACGTCTTGGACTGCATGGACCCATAGAGTTCTGCTTCCGCGTCAATTCGTTGTCTCGCAGGGCGATTTCTTGATTTGCGCCTCAGGCCTTCGAGTTTGCCAGCCCGGAACTCCGAGCTGAGCCGAAGGCAGACTCAGCAGTGTTCTCATTTTATGCCATCAGGATCAGGTTTGTGTTTCTGTCTGAGTACCGGCCATTTGCGCCACAGTGACACAGTGCACAGCAGGTCATACGGTGTGCAGCCAAGCAGCTACTCTCCACTCATGGCATCATCGTCCGCACTGACGCTGAGCTCCTGGCCTGCATGATCAGCTTGATGCCCTGGCCGCACACATAGCAGCGTAGCAAAACAAATGCAGTCCTGCAGGCTGCCAGAAGCCATCGAGCCTTCGTTGCAGAAAGAGATCTTGAGAGCCTTTCAGTGCTATGTGAAAAAGCTGCGAGATTCCTGTGGCCAGGAAACCAATGTCTTGCTCGTCTCAAAGGAGCCCAAGTTGGCCATGTCATGTACCATCACACAACATCGAACTGCTCTTTTCAGACTGCTAGCGCACAGTGCCCGTCAAGCTTCTCTGCAGGAGTCGGGTCAACATTTATTGGCTGCTCTTCAGACGGGACTTCTCACAACGAGGACGTTTGGCTTGGACCTCAATTCCTCCTCCCGGACTTCTCCCAAGTCAAGACAAAGGGGCTCAAATTGGATTGCCCAGGCTTGGCAGTTGTGCGCCACGATCCTCAGCTGTATCGGCGTCTGGAGGCGGCCTCAAGCTTTGGCCGTCGGCCGTCGCCTTCACTTGGCCGCCAGGAGCATGTCAAGGCAGACAAGGAGGTATCCTTGGAGGCCGTAAAGCGGCTTCCAGACTTGCGGCTTTGCAGCAGGCAGAGGCACAGCAACTGGCAAGATTTGAAGCTAAGTTGGCTCTCTGAAAGGCATGGTGTGTAAGATAAGGTTTCCGGACATGCCCTTCCAGACTCGAAATCAGCTGGACGTCCAGGCTCCTCCAATAGTTTCTGGATTGCAGACTGTCGCACATAGCAGATCTGTTTCGGGAATCACTGGGCCAGGTGGCAGCAGTGATGCAGAAACCTGCGGCTCGGCAAATTCGTGTGATGACTGCGATTTAGCAGTGCATGCTGCAGTGCCCCCTGGTGTGTAGTGCTTGCCGAGGAGATGATCAGCTTTGTTTTGCCGACGGATGCCTTTTGCCTCGACGAGTCTGTAATTACGGCTCTCATGTAGGTAGTTTCGGAACGTCAGGTTTTGCCAGTGGGTGGGGCAGCACGTTGCCCAGGTCACCCGCGTGCAGAGGGCCGTGGCGGCCGTGGCGGCCGTGGCTCAGGACCGGGGCCGGGAGTGGGGTTTACATGGAATGAATGACGGCATCAAGCACATGCAGGCGTACATGCGTGCATGCTGCCGTACATGCGTACGTACACACATGCATGCAGACACACATGCATGGACGCAGACCTGCGTGCAGGCATGCAGATACACATGCACACGTGTCCAGAAAGACAGACAGCACGAAAGAAAGGAGAGAGAGAAAGAAAGGAACAACTACAGAAACAAGGGCAGAGCGAGAGAAAGAAACACAGAAACAACGAGTGAAGGATCGAAAGACAGAAAGAAATCATCGCATTAGTACTGTTTCACTCAACAGACCTCGAACCACACGACGGGATCGTCCGAGTGTGAGCGCCGAAAGCCTTTGCCAGCTGCGCTGTGATCTTTATCTTCCTCATTGCTTTGGATATGTTCCTGCTTCAGTCGTAGTAGCGAGGCACACACTGCTGAGGGCTGAGGGTATAGAACTTACTTTGGACTTCTTACTTTGTTCGGTTTCATTTCAACTGCTGTGCGATGCCAATCCCTCCGCCCTTATATCACGGTAGTAACGGTAGGAACCCGACCTTTCATGAAGCCGTGCCTGCGTCGAGCTAGTGTGCGAGTCGAAGGCCTTTGAGATTTGAACTCCACTCCTGTCGTCGTACCTTCTGTACAGCAGTGTATGGCAAACGTCTGACGTGACGAGTCCTCAGTACTTGCCTTGACTCGTTCTTGTCAAAGGGGAAAGAAGGGCTCGCTGTCCAGAAGGTACACTGGCCAGGAGTTCATATCTGTAAGGCTGTTGTGCAGTAAAGGAACCTGCGGAGCGTAAGGGGTTGTCGCGGTAGTGAGTGACCATGGATTGTAAGTTTGAGGTCAGAGGATTGCCCGAAAATTGCGTGCAAGACTCCGCGAAAGCTCAAGTGTGCCTTGAAGGCAGTAGGCCGCTACAGTTTCTCACAACAGCATAGCATGAGCTCTGTCAGAAGGAGTTCGGACTCAAAGACAGAACTTACAGAAACTCACGAGGCATAGTCCGGAAGCAGGTTTAGAACGACGCAGGAGGCTCGTATAGAGACCATGGCGATCGAAATAATGGCTTGTCTTCAAACCTGGTTGGTGAGTTGGTGCAGTGCGCTCCTGCTGTATATATATAATATATAATATATATATATATATATATTAATATATTAATATATTAATATATTAATATATGAGGATGTCTGTGCTAGTGCCCTGACCTGCCGAGTGCGGGCGTCGGAGAGGGTTGGAAAACATATATATATATATATATAATATAATATAATATAATATAATATAATATAATATGTAATATATAATTATAATATATAATATATAATATATAATATATAATATCTAATATATAATATATGATATATACTATACAATATATAATATATAATATATAATATATGATATATAATATACAATATATAATATATAATATATAATATATATATAGAGGTATGTACGTATGTATTTGTGTAAACTGTATGTATACTGCATGTGTGTACATATGTACATACATACGTGTGTGTTATATGTGTGTATATATGTATATGTATACAGCCGGAACCCTGTTACGCGAAAGTTCTCAGATACGTGCTACTTTGAACAGCCACCATGTCTGTAGGTATGTATGTACGTATGTATGTGCTTATGTAATCATGTATGTATGTATGTATGTATATGTGTGTGTATGTATGTATGTATGTATGTATGCATGCAGTATGTATGTAATATGTAAGTAAAAGCGACCTTGCCTGCCTGCCGAGTGCGAGTGACAAAAAAAGTAAAAGCAATAAATATCTGTAATTTGGATGTATTTGTATGTAATATGTATGTAATGTGTATGTGTATGCATATGCATGCATGCATGCATGCATGCATGTATGTATGTATGTATGTATTCAGCATGTAAAAGCAATGTGTATGTAATTTGGATGTATTTTGTATGTAATATGTATGAAACTGTATGTGTATACATGCATATGTATGCATGTATGTCTGTATGCATGTGTGTATGTAATATGTCAGAGCATTTCTAAGTTTGTTTTTGATTTGTATGTATGTCGCATGTACTACATATGCACGTATCTATGTATGTATGTATATGTATATATATATATATGTGTAGGTATGTAGCGTGTATGTGATGTATGTATGCATGCATGTATGCATGTACGCTCGTATGTATGTATGTTTGTATGTACGCTCGTATGCATGTATGTACCTATGCATGTACGTACGTGCGTGTACGGTTGATAGTTCAATCGTGTACTTGTAAAAGCACATGTCGTGAAGTATCCCCATGCAGGCAAGGCATCCAGGCTATGCGCCAGTGCAAGCCAGAGGCTCAGACGAGTTATATAAGTCGGTCTGTCGATTCACCGTCGATGCTTCAACCTCCTGCGTAGTTCAGCAGCACTACTGAGGTGCTGGGGCAGTGAGCTCCAGTCGCTGCGACTACCGCAAACCCTGTCCGGTTGTACTGAAGCACTGGCTATAATTTGGCGGCGGGTGGGTCAAGTCGCAGTGCACTGTGCTGTCGTGCTTCGAGAGCCAACCGGTGCCAAAGAGCCTTGACGAGATCGAATTTGCTAAGCTAACCTCACGGATATTATATGTCATCCTTACTCGCCCTTCAGAGAACGCTCCTTTGGTGTGATCCAGCTGGCCCGGGATTCTGGCTTGAGCCATGGACCCCATCGCTTCCAATCAAATTTCGTGTGCACACACAACATCCGCGATGTGTCCGGCTTCACGGCCGAGCTAGAATGTACCCCCTATTTCTCGCTGGATTCTGGCGCCGTTTTGGAACCCATGCCGAGCCCTGGGTCCGGAAAGAGCGGGCCTTGTGTGGCCTTGCAGATACTAAGACTGAGGAGCCAGCCCGTCTTTTTCCAACGCGTCCAACGGTTTATGGACATAAGACTCCGGATAGTCATTCTACTTCTGCGGCGCCAGAAAGCGCATTTCTGGCTTCGCCCACAACTTTTTGTTGAAGCTTTCTGAGGGTTTAACCCGCAATGAGACATCAAGGATTGTTCTCGGAGGGTCCCGGCAAAATGTGGACCAATTCGGAAAGCATAAGCAGCCATGAGAGAGGTCTGCATCTTGCCGGGTGACCGCCAACATCCTCAGAAAAAAGACAGGGAGAACTTGGTGCTTGAGGACAGTTGCACGAGGTTCAATCATGCAGAGGCCCCATGCTGCGCATACATACTGTTTGTCGGCTGAAGCGCCAAAGAATCTCTGCTGAAGATCTGGAGATCTCCATCCCTTAAATGGACATCGAGCAGATGGGAGTACACATACGGATTGGCCTGGCCACGCAGTCCTCTTAGCTCACCAGCACAAGCAGTTTCTAGCATGGTAGCTGGAACATGCCCATCCTGGCTCATCCCGAGTGGACAGGGGTCAATCCGGCCTGAACAGATTGCCACCTGTTCGTAACATGTTCTCGCAGGGAGGCTCTGCGCTTCGTGAGCTTTCCAATTTAGAAATGCTTCGAGCGCTTGCCGTGAGATCGCGCGATCGCTTGGGTCAGCCAAAACAGAATTTTTTGTCGATACTCTCGAGCACCACATCTCCGTGCCTAGTTGTTTACTTTTCAACACCGGCCGATCATTGTCTCGAGTTTCTGTGGGGTGCCTACTCCAAGGTCGACATCCTGAACTACAGGTTCGTGGGCGAACGGCGCGCTTGTCTAGGAAGCAAGCTGAGCTGTTTTGGGCATTTCCGGCCGTGCTCGACATGTCTCCATCATTGTCTTTGATCTTGCTGGTGATACTTTCGTAGTTGGAACAAACGAGCTTTATTTGCTGGATGACTCCTGTCCATGGACCAACAGGGTGGAAAGCCGGCAAGTCGCAAATTTGGTTTGTATGTGCCGTCCCTGCGTCCGGCTTCAGCTGTTCCACGGTGCGGTCTCAATGTGTGTACAATCATTATGCTAGAGTCTGTGGTCATGGCCTCCATGTTTTGTAATGGTCAGCCCATGGCAGAAGGCGACTAGGATGCAAAGAGAACTATTCAGTCTGTAGACATCAGCTATATGGGAAAATCGGAAGCGAGAGCCTCGGCATGAGATGGTGTCTGCTATGGCTGGCCCTACTGCCTGCTCTAGGAGCTGCCGCTGTTGAGGCGACCAGCACCGACTACCTCTGATGTGAACTCGATTCCACCTTTAGAAGTTCGTTCGGTATAGACGCCCAGGAGGAATGTCATGCTACCATCAACGTCTGTTCGGTGGGAAGTCCGACGTGGAAGCAAGCGTCCGCAGGGTTTCTCAGGGTTTCTCTAGGTGTACGGTCGTTTGCGGCGAACCACCTGGCTCGCCTAATCTTGTTTCTTGGCCTTTCTCGGTTCCGTGTCGCTCGTCGCGAGCACCTGAAGTGGAATCCACACATTCGAGAGTTTGCAGGGCGATCCCTGGTTTTCCGCCGACTACGAGCTACAGCCTGAGTGGACACTGACGCTTCGTCGGGAGATCTTTGGACACCAGCGGTTTTTAAGCAGCGCACTTTGAGCACGAAGTGCGGTTTGCTCCTCAGCATTCTGCATGACTCCAGCATGAAGGCCCGGAAACTGCTCAGAGTTGATATTGGGGGCCGGGACATGAGGTACAACTACATCGAGAGTTTAGCCTGGCCCTGAGACGTAACATGTGTGCCGCTTAGACAGCGGGTCTGCAGGAGCAGAAATTGGTGCAAACTACAGGTAAGTAGTTGTTATCGTCAAGGATGTCCACAGCAGGCCATTAGTGCTCGGGCCTTGAGGTCTTGATTGCTGTGGTGTTCTTGGAGTTGGTGTGGCCTGGATGAAAAGGGCTTACTGTATGGGGGGTGGCCAATGAACCAGGCAATGAGCAGCGACGAGTTCAGAGATTGCATTTGCGCTGGTGTGTAACAATGTAGCAAATCCCACTGTCCGGACTCAGTCCCAGATCCTAGCCTTCTTTCGGTGTGAGAGTTTGGCCTGGAATTCCAGGTTCGAGGTATCTTGGCATCTCCTTTCAGCTCCTGTCCCTTGGCAAATGCAATGCTCTGTGCTGTCGCGGATGCTCTTTTCAAGAGCTGCATGCATCTGATGATGGCCGTCGAAGCTGACCGGAGCAGTAAGGCCAGAAAGTCGTTCTACTATGGCCAGCTGCATGAAACCGCTTATGAGCCCGACCACCGAAACGATGATGAGCTGCCTGACTTGAGCCAGTCAGCCCATCCAACACACTTGGCACTGTTTGCCTTTAGGTGTCCTGTGACAGATTCCTACGTCTGCTGCCTGAGAGGTCCGGGAGAATATCACACGTGCGCCTGTACCAGGACTTTCTCAGTGCACACGTCAAGCGCAGAAACAAGACCTTGTCCAGCGCCAGATGGAACGAGGAGTTTGCCAATCGCATGAGCAGCGAGTTCATGTCCTTGGGCTTTTTGGCCTTTATGATCTTTTGCCAGGGCCTTAGACGAAGACCTTGGAGCTGCGGCCCTAGCCGCCCTAGGCTTGGTGCCCTGAGGTTCCAACCAGCTAGGCGGTTTCGATTTCATGGCATCGACGCTGCACTCCTGCAGCTACCACGAGTACAGCCTCCGGGTGGCAGTGGATCTGTTTTGCTCGGCCTCGGGGCCTTTGACGAGTACTGCTTCCTTCTTGGCTTTTGTCAAAAAAGGCGATGTCTTCGGTCACGGCCATGACCACGGCGGCAACTCCTCAGGCTCTTCGCAGCGATCATCGGCTGCTTTCAACGCTGCAGTAAGTAAGCGTACACTCCGCAGTCTCCCTCTGACTTTACAAGGCATGTTCTTGACCCGTGCGTAGGCCCGACCTTGCGGCGACTGGCTGGAGAAGACTGCACCCCTTTGCCCCCGACTCCACAGGCACGATGCGCATAGTTGCCCTGCAGGGAGCCTCTCGTTGCAAGCTGGTTCTAAGGAGTGGGTGCACTTGGTAGCGCCTTGAATGCAACCTGTGCCTTCTGGAGGATGTGTATGTAAGCCTTGGAACCGCAGATCCAAGAGCTAAATTGCAAAGCTTCTATGATGAAGGCTGTTGTTCTCACTCTGGGCTTGTCAACCAGAAACGCAAAATAAGGAGCTGGTGCACGTGCAGTTGTTCTGTGGACGCTTGTCTGCATTAACGATGCTGATACACGCGATCTGCAGCCGGTCGACACGTTTCGTCATTTATGAATGCCAGCGCTCCCGCAGGCATGATGATGTATTATTTGCTCGTCTTTGGGATTGTGCGTGGTGCTGTGGCTTGCCTGCAGGAATGAAAAAGTTGTAACAATACGAGCCTCCTCTGCGACTCAAGGCCAAGGAACTGCACAGTGTTGAACGGAAGCCTTTAAAAAAGGCTTGGGCTTGACTTTGACCGAGCGTCTCCCGACAGCGACACCTCTGAAAACGGGAAACCTCTGCAAAATGCCTCGAACCTTGATCTCCGATGCCGGCTCAGGTGCAGAAGCTCAAGAGCCTGGAGCGCTTGCGCCTTCGAAGGATCAGTAACAAGGCCGTGCACTTGGGCTTGCATTTACAGAAAGAATTTGAGAATAACGAAAGGAGACCTTGCTGGCCTGGCTTTTTTAGACGTGATTGCCATGGGTGGGCCGGAAACAGTGAATTTGACCCTTCCACACCCGCCCCGGAGTCTCAGGTATCGAAGTCCATCAACTGCGCTGCAAGCAACATCCAGAGATGAAGAGCTACGCGAGTATGTTCCTTGTTCCGACTGCAAGTGATGCATGTTGATGCGGCCAAGGCTCTGGCAGAAGCTGTGAGTGTAGTCATAGTCGCCTGGCCAAACTTTTGACAGCTAGAGATGCATCCGAGTTATGTCTTCGGGAGTACTTCATCCACAAAGTGCTGCTGTGGAGATACAGCCGCCACTGGTCATGCAGAGGGAGCAAGTCTGTAAGTGCTGCCGTAGCCTGACCTCTAGCTGAGGCCCCAGGATCTATGCCAACTTGAAAGCCAAGCTGGGCATTCCTCCTGATGCTCCGGAGGCATGCCTTCAATTGCTGCAGCCACAACAGCAGCAGCACGAAAAATCTTACAAGAGTGCTGTTTTCTGCAAGAAGATCCAAACGGTCAGGCGACCATAGAAGAGAAAGAGATGATCGACAAACAGATCAAAGAGATGATGGACGATTGCTTTGCCTTCAGCTCTTATTTGGCCACTTGCATGCCTTACTTAGGCTGCAGGCCGCAAGCAAGTGTCAGTGTCGCAGTACCAGTACGCACGGGTTACTGGTTTTGACAGCAAAAGAAGGCTTTGAACGTCGAGAAGGGGGTCAAGGACTCCATCGAGCTGCATGCTGGTCCAGTGGTTGCAACAAGCTGGAGACCGTTAATGCAGTCATAGCAGCATAGCGCACGTCAAATTTGCCGGTGGCGGCATCTTTCGAGAGTCTCTGGTGGAGTTTGCGCGAGTTGATGACAGATGATGACAGCCGATTGCTTGCGTTGCGTAAAGGCCCCACTGCCGCCTCTGAAAGACTAGACACACATAATGCAAAGAGTTAGGGAAAGGCTATTCCATCAGTTAAAATAAAGAAAATCACCTTCGGACGACCCAATGAGACACCAAACGCTCTTAGAACCTTAAGGTTAACGGATTGGGAACAAACTCGTAGAGTCGGCACGTCAGGAGCCAACTGGTTTGTTGAGACATGCAAAGATGTGCCTACGGTATGTGATCCCAACTCAGACGAACAAAACATCGCAGAAGCGATTGTTCTAGCAAACAACAGCGAAACTCCTGTCAACGAGGACTGGACCATGATTCATTATGCTAGCAGCACCGAATAGATCATCGAATACTTAAAAGCCTACAGCGCCAGCGGTGTGGTGCTGGCGACCTAGGCGGTTATGATTTCTTAATTTTGCGGATAGGATTCCGTTTTTTACGCGTAATTGGCATTGCTCAGCCTCGGACAGGCAGCGTGCAGACAGAGAGAGAGAGAGAGAGAGCTGTTACTGCACGTGTCTGCTGTTGAGCTGTTGGTTGGGGAAAGAAGGGGAGGAAGTTCCAGAGCAGCTCACCCACAGAAAATCCTGAACCATCATCCTGTGATGTCTTATGGCATGCTCCTCAGTTGTTGCTTGTATGCTAATTCGGGGAGCTGCTGCAACACGTAGGTCCTACGGGGGGGAAATCGCCTGGTGTAGGTACTAAGGACGTAGCCGTAGAGGGCGCGGAGATGAGGCCGGGACGCGGGATAAAGTACAGGGTTGACGGGGTTCATCACCAGGCGATCTCCACCTGCCAAACCGACCGGGGGGAAACAACCCCAAGCACTCGACCCCAAAGCCCTCTCCCACAAACTGAACGGGGAGGGGGGGGCCTTGGCCCGGGTCTTCGGACCTTGCCCCGGATGCGAGCGAGCGAGCGAGAGAGAGCCGTACTTTCTCGGGGGATACGCAAGTTTTCGCCGTGCCAGAACTGCCCCACCTGCGAAAAACTAAGCAGGGAGAAACCTGCCTTTTCTGTCCAGCCGAGCCCTCTGGGGAAATAACCCCTGGGGGGATTGCCTTCCCGCCAAGCGATGCGGGTGTGCGGACCGCACGGGAGAAGGGCCTGGATGCTGCCCTTCTCTCCTACCCGGAAGAGAGAGAGAGAGAGAGAGAGAGAGAGAGAGGGTTGGTTACATGCGCCAGCTGGGGGAGACTAGCGGAGTACGTCTACGAGACCATGATGATGCTCAAAGTGTTTGATGGGGCTGACATGAGGGAACAGATCATGAACCAGCTCACGGACAACCCGCTCCTCGCCAAGGACCTGCACACAGCATGCAAGCTCAGGTTCCAGCGAGAGTTGGGGGTGCCTCTCGCTGAAGTGAACCACGTACTCCAGAGCACTGGCCGGGGGAGAGGCGGAGGCGTACCGACAACGCCGCTGCCCTCTGCTGTGCACGCGCCGTGTGACAAAGGTGGGGAGACAGCTCCGCCAACTCAGGAGCGCTCGGAGCCAGTCGCCACCGGCGGGGGACAGTCGCCAGAGCCCGACTGGACTGACCCAGCGCTAGACGTGCCGCCAGTGACGCCAGAGCCTGACTGGAGTGACCCAGCGGGGGACCAAGCACCGTCTACGCCAGACTTGACGCTGCCTAGAGTGGACAACTCCGTGAGTCCAGCGGGGGACCTGCATGGATCCCTTGAAGACGAAGCTGCAGAAGAAGTGGGGGAGACGGTATGGCCAGCGCGGGTGGCCATTGAAGTTTCCATGACGGACCTCAAGAGGATATGTGGTGTCAGCGCAAGGGAACAAACGAAGAACGCTGGCGACAAAGCCAGTACGGCACCTGGGACCGGGGGAGCCGATGAGCAAGAGAACGCCGAGGAAGCTGCAGCAGAACAACTTTACTCCAGAGTTCTCCAAGACATCAGCGACGAGGCCGGGGTGACTACCGTGGTGGTGGAAGAGAACGTGCCGGACAACGCCGACAGCAACACGTCCAAGGCGGGGGAGAACTACGCGAAGAAGCTCCAAGAAGGCAAGAAGAACTGGCAGTTCGTTGTGCAGGGAAAGAGCCACTCACACCAAGCGCGCAGCCTGCGCGTAACCAAGCCGAAAGCTTCGGAACTTCGGGGAGATCTGCCTCCAGCTCTGCCCGGGGGACGTCTGACATGGCCCGCCACTTCTTACGAGTGGCCGTGGAAGCAGATGTAGTACAGCAAAAAGAGAAGGAGGGGACGGACAGACGTGTACACCCAGCTGGTGCTGCTCCTGACAAGCCGCCTCTGAAGCGCAAGAAGTACGGTGGCGTCTGAGAGGGCAGTTCTACCGCTCAAACGAGCCTCCAACTGGGGGAACCAGCCAGTGCAACAACGTTTTGTGGAGTTGTGAACTCTGCGTTGCCTGTCAGTTGCGCTTGGCCGGGACCTCAGCTTTCACTGTTTTCACGTGCTCACCTGTAACCCGAGCATAATTGGGGGAAGCTGCGTTTTCCTTTGTCGCTGCTTAGTTCGAACTGTTAGCCGTACTTTCTCGGGGATATGGCTCAAGTTTGGGCTCGAGACTCTATCGTAGCAGCGACAGACACCCAGAGACCGCTCGTCAGTCCTCCCGCGCCTTCCAGTCGCTTTCTACTGTTTCCCTCCCTCTCTCTCTCTCTCTCTCTCTGCACTGTTCCTCCTTGCACTGCCTGTCCCTTCCTTGCGCACTGACTGCCCTTCCCTTGCACTGACTGCCCTTTCCTTCTCCCTTTCTTCCAGGACCGCTCCTACGACGACATGTCTCGTAACGAACCAACTGAACAGAGCGAGCGAGGACGAGGGCGAGAGCGTAGCCGTGGGAACGATAAGATCGAGCGAGCCAATCGAGGTACCGATCGAACACAGCTGCCTAGAGTCGGCCCTGTCATCTCAAGCCACCATAATGTCCTCGAGAACCAACCTCGTCAGGAGTCTAATCGACCCCCCAGCTCTGATCCCGGGTCCCGACGTTCTCCTGACCTTAAGAAAATCAAAATCGAGGCCAAAGAACAGGCAGACACTCAACCTGACTCGGAAATGCCTGAAATCGCTGCCGCAGTAAGTCCTGCTCCTACCTCAGCACACCCCTTCCTCAGGCTCGATCATAGTGCAGCGTTCGGGCCCCACGAGGTCTATGACCTTACTTCAGGAGACAATCAACCCGACGACGACGAGCTCAACACCAGCAAGCTGCCGGAGCAACCACCAGGACAGGCAACAGGCCCAGGCAATGGTTCCGCGGAAGCAGGGAGACCCTTTGCCACTTTGACCGATAGTACCCCAGCACCTCCCCCTTGGCTTCAGGATATCACCGCGAGTCTTAAAGGGTTGCACATGAAGAGTGATCAAACACACCGTTACTGCCTGGATTTAGGTAGTGTTGTAGGTCAACATGACGTCAGAATCCAAACACTCGAGACAGCTACCAAGGAACACACCGGCCGCCATGACACTACCGACACCCGCCTTACCGCTCTTGAGAAAGCCATAAGTGACCTCGAACGCCGCGCAAGGTCCCTAACTCCCCCCCGGGGAGCTCCAGACACGCCACGAGGATCACGAGCAGGGAACATCAGCCCGCGCAGTCCCAGAGGAGGACCTCCTTCAGACATCATGCGGGACCCTGCCCAGGACCTAGGCCTTGTAATTGGAGGCTGGACCGACGCCAGGGTTGCAGAAGCTGAGAGAGAGGTTCAAAACATGTTTACAGAAGCAGGCTTCGAAGGGGCCATCCTGGACTTCTCGGGTCCTTCAGGTCGTACGAACTTTTTGCGAGTTGCTTTGGACTATCAAGGCTTGGGGATCACTGAACTGGGCAAAAAACGGGAATACCAAACCCGGATCCTCAACAAGCTCAAGTCCCTGAAAGCCAAAAGCGGTATCGTGGGACAGGAAGACAGCAACTTATGGATACAACGAGACCGCTCCATCGAAGAGAGGCTCAGAATCCGCGCCATCGTACTAGCAAAAAACTTCTATAATGCTATCCCTCTCCAGAGCGACAACATGCCGCGGTGGCCCGACCCGGAGATAGTCTGGAGAGGTCAACTTTTCGTAGGGCAGGTCAGAACCCTCAAGAACATGGATGACGGACACGAACCGGCAGCATACGACCAAATCATAGAAGACGTGAAGGGTAACCATACAGTATGGTTTCTGTGTGCAGAGGCATTTGCCAAGATTACAGGCCGTGACAAGGAATCGCTGCAGCAGCTCTGGCAGGACTTTGGGCCAGGCAGCTCCCCTGCAGGAGCTCGTGCTTGACTCAAGACCCCCCAATCGAAGAGGACAAGAGTGGATGTGCATGCTCTCTCTTGGAATTTGCGCGGGAAAGGTCTAGAGGACGTTGCCCGCACTTGGGATGTACTTGGTTTTCAAGGCACCCATGTAATTGGCTTGCAAGAGGTGGGGTCATTGCCGCAAAAATGCCCTACCCACGATTCAGTTTTGCACCATGAGGTTATGCTGGCAGGACAGTCCTACACGTTCTTCTTTTGCGACCCCTCGCACTCGTGGCGAGGGTCTGCCCTCGGCATACCTACTAGTTGGCTTGGCCAGGTCGAAAAGACGAAGGCCTTTTGCACAGGGATAGGGATCGTAATACGAGACCAAGGAACCCGAAAGTTTCTGGCATCAATTCACATGCCCCATTCGCTCCGGAAGGACCACTTGCCCGTTTGGCAACAACAAACAGAAGAAATCTTGCATTTTTGCGACAAGCGTCGATACCACGACACCATTTGCTTGTGTTGTGACCTTAATTATGACGTGCTAGACATTGTTAATGTGGACGAGAGAGGAGTGCCTCTTGGTCAGCTTCTACGCACCTTAGGACTCCAACATACCAGACCGTCAAGTCCCACCTGGCGAAATACCACAGGGTCTGCTTCGAGGATCGACTTCATCTTGTTTGCCATGCCATCTCTCGAGTATAGGGACGATCGTGTAGTTGTCGGATCGGACGACGTGCTTGGGTCAGACCACTGTGCTGTTAGTGTAGCCATGAACTCCCAAAGTAGCACAGGCCGAGCCTCCTTTAAGCCGTCTAAGTGTGGAAAGTGGTGGACAGATGGTCCCGCACTGCAAACACGAGCCGAAAAGCTTGCAGAGACCTTGGATCTGCAGATGAAGGACCTCAGCATGAAGGATCTTGAGGACCTCTGCGGGGCTACTTCGAGGCGAATCACCAGCTGTAGGTACAAGGACTCACCGGCCATCAAGGACATGATCAAGGCTCGCAAGAGCCTCCGAGGCAAAGAAGCTCAACAGATGGCCAAGTGCATTGCGGACAAACGCAAAACAGATAAGCGAGAATGGCTAACCGGCCTACTGGAACAGAGTGCAGCAGGGGACTTCAGAGCAGCAGCATACTTCCGCAAAAGACAATCTACCATGTTTGTGCAAGGGTCTTACTGCATGCGCGCAGGAGGAAAAGTCAAGGCAATCAGTGACCTGCGCTTCTTCTATCAGAAGAAGTACACCCCCATGGAACCCTCGCCCTCAGGCTTGCCCATGGCTATGTTCCATCACAGGGCAGGACCCATTATGGACCCGACCCCCTTTAGTCTGCAGGAGATCCAAGACGTTGCCTTCCAGTGCAAGCACAACAAGAGCACGGGAGCGGACGGGGTTTCATATGAGGCCCTCCAGATGTTGTTGCAATCCGACCTCAGTCACCACATTCTCGACATGTTCAACAGTGTGTTGCGGGGGCTTTGCCCCCCCCCTGCTAGCTGGTTGACTAGCCATGTCTGCTTCCTTCCGAAGACGTCAACTCCCTCGGCACCCAGTGACCTCAGGCCCATCGTTCTCTCCAGCACCACTGCCAAGGTATTTACGAAAGCATTGATGCTTCGCTTGCGTCCATGCTTACCTCGGATGCAGGCTTTTCAGGTTGGTGGCCTGCCTAAAAGGCAGACACTCGATGCCGCGTGTGCGGTTCAGCACGCGATCAGGCTTGCGGAGGAGTACGGGAAACCGCTCGTGATAGTAAAATTAGATGTGGCAGCGGCGTTTGACTCGCTGTCTCATGAAGCTGTCGCTACCCTCCTTGCCACTGCCCAAGGCTCTCGCGAGGCTGAGTTACTCCTTCAGATTGTTTGCGGTAGTCAAGTGGAACTTGGCCTTCAGGGCACCTCATGGATCCAAGCACTACGCCAGGGCATTTTGCAGGGCAGTAGCTATAGTGCAGAACTCTTCGCGCGATGTATTGACTACTTCCTAACACCGACTAACAGTAAGTGGCAGGACACCGAGGATTCTTGGCTGAAGGACCCCAGCGGGCGCAAGCTTTTTCTGACTCCTTTTGCTGACGATCTAGTCTTATTGGCTACTTCTCGAGCCCAGGCACAACGCCTCTTGGCCGATAGCGAAGCTACGCTTCAAGCGATTGGCCTCCGGTTCAACCCCAAAAAGTGCAAGTACCTGCAAACACCTGGCTTCCCAGAAGAACCTCTTCATCTCTCTGCAGGAGAGGTGCAGTATGAGTCGACTTTTCTGTTTCTTGGAATCTTGATGGGATTCCAACTCACCTGCCTCATGATCCTGCAGGCCCGCATGACCAAGGTTTCCAATGCCTTCTGGGCGTACTACAGCATCCTTCGACGTACCGAGGTTGGACTTACGAAGAGACTCAGAGTCTTCGATTGCTTCATTACGGCTCGCTGGAGGTGGCTCAGCCCAGCCATACGCCCCCTTAGCACCATCCACAGGTACCTGCGCACAATCCATACATCGTTTCTTACAGCGATGCTGCGGTTTACACGAGATCCGTTCCAGGGAGCGGTAGAGAGTTGGGTGGCAAGACGAAGGGCCGCCCGCTTGGCGGCCCAACAAGTCGGCCATCGCGCATGGCCAGGCGAGCATTCCCGCCAATTTTTCGGCTATTGGGGCCACGCGGCACGCTATGGGACTACCGAATGTATACCTATAGCACTGATGCTGCAAGTGCGGGGTCCCTCATGGTACTTCGCAAATTGTGATTGGCATAAACGCCTGCCAGGTAAGTGGGCGAACACGTCGAGGTTCTTGCAACTTGCATGGGAAAAGTTTCTCGCTAGACACCACAAATCCCCCCCGAACTCTTGGATAGATGGAGCATCTGATAGAGACGTTTGGAAAGCCTTCTCGCAGGACTGGGCATGTGTGCATGACGCCGACCCTTCTGTGTTCTACAAGGGACCTCCTGAACAGGTCGATCTTTTAGGATGTCAACTTGTCCAGAATGAAGACAGGTTCTCCCTGCTCCCTCCCCGACACGTTCCGGTCGAAGAACCCTACGCCACCTCGTTTTTCAGGATCAAAAGCCCCTTGGACGACCATCTCCAGGACACTGGGGGACAGGAACATGTCCTCAGAGTCTACACCGACGGCAGCGCGCAGCAGAACCGACGAGGACAGGCCCAGGCAGGTGGCAGCTCAGTTGTCGTCCTTGCACCGTACGGACTTGTTGAAGAAGCCACGGTTTGCTACTTCAAAGTCCCCCAACCTTGCACTAACATACAGGCTGAACTGCATGCAGCTGCGCAGGCTCTCCAGATGATCCGTAGGATTCGTCGACAGTTCCCACATGTGCCGATCCAACTTTTTACCGACTCGCAGTACGTCGTACAAGTGCTTGAAGGATCTTTTCTAGGGACGCATCATGCATCGGTAACAAACATGATCATACACTTGTGGAAGGAGCTGTGCTTGACAGTTGAAGTTCACCACGTCCGGGCTCACAAGGGGGTCATGCTCAATGAAGTAGCTGATCATTTTGCCAAGCTTGCCTGCACGCTTGGGCACCTCCGAAAGATCTTCTGCCGCCTCAATTTCAGTCAGGCGTTTGTGACGGACAGGTCAGACGTGGGAGGCTTCCTGCCGTGGCTCGCATGATCGTAGCGATCGTAGTTTCACCCAAACCTACCCGCACTTGAACTGTTCCTTCCTTTGCCCCTTCTTGCACTGTCCTTGTTGCACTGGTAGCACTGTCGTCTTTTTCAAAAAAAAAAAAAAAAACCTCTCGTCATTAGCCCCACCGAGAAGCCGAAACCTTCATGCCACAGCCCCTCTACTGAGTGCTTCCCTGACACACCCGAAACCTTCATGCCAACATCATCACAGCCTTATCTTTCGAGTACCTGCCCCAATTGTAATAGACAAGTTGACGTATCGAACGAACAGAAGCTTTCATGCCAAGATAACCTTGCTGTTGGTGTCACGAGCGAGCAACAAAAAAAAAAAAAAAAAAAAAAAAAAGCGCTTCCTTGACACACCCGAAACCTTCATGCCAACATCATCACAGCTTTTCTGAGTACCTGACCCGTGTGCAACAGGTTAACGTCTTGAACGAACAGAAACCTTCATGCCAACATCATCTTGCCTTTGATACCACGAGCAAGTAGAAACCCTCATGCCAACATCATCTGGGTTTTCTGCACAGCGAAACCTTCATGCCAACAGCTCCTCTCGCTTTTCTGTCACACATGCTGACCCCTCAGACCTCTGTACCAAACCCGACCCCCCCAAACCTTCATGCCAACATCATTGCCGTTTTTCTTTTATGCGTCCGCCCCAACAAACCTTCATGCCAACATCATCTGCTGCTTTTCCCTACATACGCCTCCCTCCCGACCGTGGCCACTTCGAGGAACTCCAGCAACCCAGTGTCGAACAGAGCCCATGACAAGGGGGGGGGGGGCAGGTCGGCCGGGAAATTGACGCAGCACGAAGTTCATGCTGACTCCATGAATCGTGACTTCCCTAACCTCAAAGCTAGCCAGTGTGTGTGTGCCCAGCATAAGCCTTCTGCTCCGTACATTAGCAGCGACTCAGGTCCAAGTGTCCCCAGCCTTCAGGTTCGTCCCTCTCCCTGCGACAGAGATGGACCCTCTCACGGACTTTCTGGACCGCGCCCAAGCAGTCCCGGTTGTCAGCCTCACCTCCCTGGTGTCGCCGTGGCACATGGCAGCCGGCGCTTTCGGAGTGATGTCCTTTGTCCTGCTATTCCTCTACTACACACGCTGGTCACTTCATCAGGTCATTGCTCAGGAGATGCAAAGACAGTTGGCCACCTTGGGACACACGCCCGATGGCGGAAGTACGATCCTGTCAGACATGAGAGCTTTGCTTCAGAACATGGATGATACGGTTCCCAATTGTCTGCAATCACTTCAGGAAACCCTGACTACAGTTGCTGGGGCTGTCACCAGCCACGACAAAGCACTTGACCAGATCCAGCAGGGCATGGTCGACCTCGGCAACGTCTCCGGCAACGAGATCTCTGCACTGCTTAAGGAACTTGGCTCCCTCATGGGGTCACTCCGGCAGCTGACCCCCGAGGAGACGACAAAGTTCCTGAAGGATGTCAAGGCGGCGATCGAAGCACGTATGCAGACACTCCATGAAACGATTCAGGAGCTTAGCACAGCAGCCACGACCCTGAAGACTCGCAAAGTCACAGTGGACATCGCGCCCTTCAAGGAACAGTTTGATGGAGTGCGAGACCAACTTGCGTCTCTTTTGGCCAAAGTGGACCAGAACAGCGGGTACATGCGCGATGATCATGCGTTGATCGTCCGCATCAAGGACAAGCTCGAGGAAACCAAAGCTGATGCCGAGAAACATAAGGCAGCAGTACAAGGAGACATCAAGAATGCCATCACGTTGATACGCAACTTGGAGAAGAAGTGCACGCAGGCCTCGGACTTCAGCGAGAAGACCCTCAACGTGATCGCCAAAGGTGCACCCAGCCCATGGGAGACAGAGCTCAAGAATGTGATCGACGAGTCCGAGAAGCTCCTACGCTGGGTCGCAAGCCAGGAAGAAGCCCTGGCAGATCGAGCACAGAAGATTGAGTCAATGTGCACGGGCATGATTGACCAGTTGGGAGATGTGTCGTCGGCCTTGGAGTCCCACAGCGCTACGATGGGACAGAGACTAAGGCTGCTGAACGAAGTCCAAGGAGGAGTGGAACGTGTCCTGAGTGCACTCCCGCCAAGGCCAGTTCATGAAGGACGCCAACCGCAGCAGCCTCCACCGATGCAAGCTGCACCTCCTCTTCCACAACAAGGCTGGATGCAGAGAGGACCACCGCCGGCTCCATCGCACACGCCCACAGTCTACACGGAGTGGAACGGGCCAGCACCGAGTACCAGGCCCTCACCGGTGATCGTGACAAGCATGGAGAACCTGGCTAATGCTCTTCAGCAACACCAGGGGCACATGTAAAGTTCCCACTAGCTCACAAGCCAAGGTGGAGCCCTGGCCTGAAATCGCAGTGCTTTTTTCAGCAGACTGCAACATGTGATAGGCAGACTCCGGGGCGTGCTGTCTTTCTGAAAGTGTGATAGCTCGTTGTGACTTATCGATGCCCCTAGGAGCCTTTCCTGTCACTGCCGCACTGCTGCTGCCTGTCACTGCCTTTGCACTGCCTTACTTTCCTTTGTACTTGCCTTGCACTGCCTGACCCTTCCTTGCCCACTCTGCACTGCTGCACCTTGCCAGCTCCTCGAGCACGTCAAAAAAGGCCTGACCGAGTGAGCGAGTGTATGCCACCATACGCAGGCATGTGCTGCACTACAGGTCGTAGCCTTGCTCGCGAGATGCATTCGGATCACAGGTAAGGGAGGCTTAGTTCAGTTCAGATGCCGCAGTCCATGCTGTTTACCTGCCTGCAACCTGCACCGGGAGAAACCCTGGACATTAGCACACCAACACTGCCTACAGTAGAGACTGAAGCACCTTCAAGCCCTTTGGTTCCTGGCTCTGACACCCGCTGTAAGTTGTCCTTGCCCTACCCGTCCCTGCACCCAGACCACAGTGACCATAGGATCCGACCGGTAGAAGAAGCCTGTTTGCGAATCTTACAGCTAGATCGACCCCCGTGCCAACTTGATATAATCAGGAAGTTCAACATGATCCCCGCCAGCTTCAAAAGACGTGCAGAGAACGGCCGAGGTTCTTACGTTGTAGGTGGGGCCAGCCCTCGATGTCATGACTCACTTCTGACCCACTCGTTTGATATGCCCCTGTTCAATCTTGTAGTTAACTCCCACCTTAAGTGGATTGCCCCGCTCCATAACTACACCACGTATGTTGTACGTCGTGGTTGTGTTGACAAAGTTCATCGTGACACCCGCAATGCCCCGATCCCTTCCCTTGTAATCGCACTTGATACCCCGGACTGGCGACAGGATGGCCTCTGGGTGCACGACCCCATGGGCCAAGTTAGGAAACATCACCAAGGTGAATCACTGCCGGGTCGTGTAGTCCCCCTCCGCAAGCCCTATATTTTCAATGCAAGGAAGACGCTTCACGCAGGACACCTTCAGGATCCCACCCGATACCAAGAACGGCTCATCCTTGTTGCTTTTTCAGTCCTTCAGGCCTCGGTGTTGACTTCAGGACTTCAGGAGGACCTTCGGAATGTGGGATTTCCCCTCCCCTCACCCCTGCAACTTCATGTGGCTCTTCATGGATCCCTACCTAGGCTGAAACAACTCAGCATTCACCAGTTCTTTGTACAACATAAACATATCGTCGATTTGCACGATGTTGTTGTAGTCGAAGACACGCAGCCTTCCGAAAGTCGCTAACTAGAAGCAGCAGGTCACTCGCGTGCAATATGCGACGACCCCCTCCAAAACAAAAAACCTCCCCAGGTCCGAAAGCGCCTTGGTTGCAAAAAAAAAAAAAAAAAAAAAAAGAGCACTGCCCTTCCTTGCGACCTGCCTTCTCCCTGTGTACTGCCCTCCTTGCCCTGCACTGCTCCTTCCTTCCTTTGTCTCACCTCCTCTGAGATTTCCTGTCCTTCTGTCGTCCAGTCGCGGCCTCTGGGATTCTAGACCCCGATGTTCATATACTTTCCCGGGCTTTGACCCCCCTAATCAAACCACGAACCTGCGTTTGTGCTGCCATGGCCCGCGAACTGGTGAGTCACCTCACTCTGGAGTCCCAATCGCGCTGTCGGCACAGTACACTGGGTTGCCCATGCTGAGACTGAAGACCGATTCTGCCGTGGATACAGATTCCTGAGACTCTGAGACGGAATGCAACACGCTGTTTTTGCTATATGTCTCTGCCGTCGTGGATACAGATTCCTGAGACTCTGGGACGGAATCAACACGCTGTTGTTGCTATATGTGGATCTGCCGGTGCTGCAATCGTACCTGACATGATCTGGTCTGACACACCATGCCGCCGCCAGTGGACTGGATACTGACTACCACCACTGGTACGGGTGCCGAAGCAAGGGACAGAACCTGGCTGAAGTCTGCGGTGTGAGACTCCACGCAACTTGGCCCGCGCAACTTGGCTCATGCTGGCATCACCAGGTTGTAGCCACTGCTTCAGTTTTGGTCGACACCGTTGCTGGACAGTCCTCTTGGTTGGATGGATTACTGGCATTCTCCCACGGCATGTGGCTGGCTAGAGCACTGTGACAACGGCCGGACATGGTCGACGATAATGGCTTCTGGGAGAGAGAGAGTCTGGTCCCTGGTCCCTGACTACGCCCGCCATGATGACACAATGTCCCGGACCAAACTGCCTTGGGGGATGCACTGCGCATTGCGCTTGCTCTCTGTGCTGGCCAAGCTGCCTCCCGAAAGAAGTACCCGTGCGACGGAAAGTGATGGACAGGCGAGTCTGACACCCTGAGTGGCGACACGCAGTAGAGTGGAGACCTTGCCAAAGTAACCGACAGTCAGCACCCACTTGCAGTGCTGAAACAGTGCAATGCGGTAGAGCTGGACCCGACTTTTAATAGCAGCGCATGCGTTATTTGTGTACGTGTTTGTTTGTGTGTTCAACAGCAGCCGTCACCCTGAAACCAAAGCCGGGCCAGGTCTTCTTGCATTGTGGCTGTAGGAGTTGCATTAGCTGTGTTGAACTAGTTGTATTGTGACCCTTGCCTGAGTGGGACTGGCTATAAATGTCTGGACTGCTGAGTGGCACCTTGTTTTTGCACTAGAACTGTGCGGAGAGTTTGTCCCCTTGAAGTACTGCCTTGAACTCGGGCTGAAGCAGCTGTTCCTTTAGCCCACAAGCACAGCATTGCAGAACCCCCTGTACATTTCGTTGGCAAGCTTGCTGCAAAGGTTACATCATGTCGTTGTGCATTTGTACGGGGAGTTTTGGAGTCCTGTGTAATCGTGAGAGACGTGTTGCCTGCCGTGCGGGATCGCAAGAGTCCGACAAGTGGGAGCCAAAAGATACGCAAGTTTTCGCCGTGATTGCAAGCAGGTGGCGAATAGCCGCAGACTGCCCCACCTGCGAAAAACTAAGCAGGGGGAAACCTGCCTTTTCTGTCCAGCCGAGCCCTCTGGGGAAATAACCCATGGGGGGATTGCCTTCCCGCCAAGCGATGCGGGTGTGCGGACCGCACGGGAGAAGGGCCTGGATGCTGCCCTTCTCTCCTACCCGGAAGAGAGAGAGAGAGAGAGAGAGAGATAGAGAGAGGGTTAAATAACACAGTATGTTTGCCGCGTGGGGGTACAGAACCCACAGCGAAGGCCTGGGGGCGGAACCTCCTAGAGCAGCGAAGGATGGGACGAATGAAGACTAGCTCAGTATGGTGTGCGAGTGGGGTGATAAGCTGTGGTGCCAGTACACTGTCCCGGCAACAGGCCACCTTCGCGTAGTTGTACCTGGAGAGACCTCGGACGACCCACCTGGTGCTTACAGGTCTGCAGTGGTAATGGTCTTAGGCGGGGAAGTTCTTGGGGCAAGGGTACGAAAGCACAGGTGGGGGAACGAGCCCATCTCTCATCCCAGGAAGGGGCCTGACAGACTTCGGACGGTTGCGAGCCGTGGGGGCGTTGGCCGTCGGGCCGGGGTGCTTGCACCCATACCCCTTCGCAAGCAAGCGCAAGCAAGAGAGAGAGAGAGAGAGAGACCGGTGCGCGCTTGCGCGCGGGCGCCACGGCGCCTTGTCCGAGTGCAAGCAAGAGAGAGATATTCCCAAGTGCAAGCAAGATAGGAATATGTAGGAACATATTACAGCAGCAGCAGCAGATATGCTTCGCCAGATTGTGCATCTGTCACCGTTCAGAAGGTCCTGTAGCTCCTCTCGCTTCTTGTCTCGCCCAGTATAGCCTGGACGGGTGATCGGGACACCTTCTCTCCTTTTTGGCAAACGTGATTCGACCAGTTGCCGAAATCCCAAGCAGGCAGGAACAACTAACAAGTGAGAGTTTCGGAACAGCAAAAAATGTGACGGGTTTCAAACCGTTCATATTGCTTTCAAAGAGATGTGGGGTCGAGGGTCCTGCACTTTGCCGTCGATGGTATCCCAGCAGGAAGACGTTTCACAGTCCATGCTTCTTCTCAGGCACGTGGGTTGCCATCATCATCCTTTTCAGCGAAGCTCGGCTTCGGCCAGTTTTGGTGGCCCTATGTTTGGTTTCGCATCTTCCTCGTAAGTTGGTGAAGTAGCAGTTCGTGTGCTCATACACATTGCATTGTGTGTCTAGGATTTGTCTCGACAAGGATGCAGAGTATACTTACCCGGTCTGCTGGCAGTGCACATCTGAGGTGCTCGCGCTGCTGTACAGGTTCGCACAAGTGAACATACTCGACATGATGCCCCCTGGCCGAAAGCCATGCCGCATCAATGCCGTTCCAGCATTCCAGTCCCGTAAACAAGAGTGTTCTAGACATGTTCGAAGATCACTCCAGAATCTGGCATGCGGGTTGCAGGAATCAGGAGGACCAAGGATTTCTTGCTTTAAGCCCTGAGCATGCCTAATCCCTGTGTTCTGCACCTGGACCTTCCGAGATGCCAGTTGTAAAATGCCTTCTGTGAAACGCCAAGCCCAACCTTCTGTGACAGATGGCCACGGCTGAAGGCTCAAGGTAGTCACCTGAAGTGGATCCTACATGAGTCTGTTCTTGATTCTTGAGTATGTAAGATACCTGTTTTCGAGTGTCAGGAACCATCATGGGTGGAGTGGGTTGACTAGTGGGCATTCTGATAGCCGGAGGAGAATCATTCGCAGGGCGCTTTCGTGACACTTGGGGGTCAACCCTCGCGATAGGAAAGATGAAACCATGCCCACTAGAACACTAGAAAGTTGCAATCAACTGGTACTTCCTTTCAGTTTGACCGTATCGTGTCCAGACTTGCAAACCCGCCCTGCTTGCTTGGGCTTTGCGATGTGCTACGGGTTGCCAATACAAACCTTGACTTTTGTCAAACCCGTAAGCCGCCTAGTGCGGACGCAAGAGTCGCAATCGGAGACCGCAACGGAATTAGAAATACAAACATTCTCCCAACACAATCGTTTACTACCCGATCTTTTTCGAAGTGTTGGAAGCCAATGTTTGAATCTCTCGCCACAAATAGATGTCGAACAAGGCCGAGGTAAACGTTTATGTTAGGGGAAATGTTTGACTCCATCGCTACATACAGATGTCGAACAAGATGGGGGTAAACGCTTGTGTTGGGAGCAAATGGTTGAATCTCTCGCTGCAGCTACACGTAGATGTCGAACAAGATCGGGGAAAACGCTTGTTTTGGGAGCAGTGTCTTGGTCCTGGCCGTTTCTTCGGTACATCCCCAAACGGAGGATCTTATACACTCCCCTCGAGGCCACTCTTCGTCGCGCTGGCACTGCTGCTGCTGTCGCTTGCGAGAAGCCACTGTAGTCAGCTCGTGCAAGGTATGTGCCGCAGGAGGTAGGGAGGGAGCGCATGAGCGCGCATGCTTTCACTGCTACGTAACACTTCGGTGGATCCCAGGTTACTCATGGTCTTGCTGACCAAGCACCTCCTTGCGCACTTAAGCAGATCTTGATACTGCCGAGTTTTTGTCGGAATCGCCCAGGTGGCGGCTCCGCGCCATCCAGGACCACAGCCAGAGTTGGTTGCAAGATGCTCTGAACTTCCCATCGGAGTCGACAGACGGTGCTCCGACGCAAGTCAACCCTGACCAGACTGCAGTATTCTTAGCCTGAAAGTCAGCCGTTAAAAGCATGCCTTGTTGGCCGTTGTTCTCGTCTGGGGATGCAACTCGTATGCAGCTTGTAGCTTGCTATGCCTTCGGGATGTGGCTTTAGATGTCCTTTCCGCTCAGGCCGCTCAGGCGCACATACTCGCCCTGTCATTCCCAGAGTGACAACAGCATCAGCATCAGCGTCAAACTTCGGCACTCCGGCAGCTTGGCTGCAAACTGCAAAGGTGGATGGATGAATCCGTGCAGCTCGGTGGAGGACCAAACTAGGCGCGACTTCAAGTGAAGTGACTTCTAGGCTCCAAACCTTTCGATTGCACTCCATGGTGAATGCATGTGCAGCTCTCAACCAAGCGAGAGCATGATTCGACGCATTATCCAACGACGGAAGCCTCACCCAGGCCGAGGAAAGTGTGATCGGCGCCACCCTGAAGGGACGGGGCCGATTTTCCCCTGAGATGTTTCTCGGCATTTAGCATGAATGCTAGCTGCTAGATGGTTGCAGCGGCAAGATGCTGTTTCGCCTGAGGTACATCAATCGTTTCCTGCAGATTTTCCTGCCCCTTGAAGAACTCTGGATGGCTTGTTGTTGGAGCGTTCAGGTCGGCTGATGCTCGGTGCACACCGAGGTTTGTGATCTCCTACACGTTCTCACGGTCTGTCGTCGAGTTCAACGCATGGACGAGGCAGTGGTGGCAACTGCCAAGACTTGCTGGAACCTCGAAACAATGAAAAGCATACCTTGAAAGCACTTTGTGAATGCGAGAACCTGAAAAGTGTAGTATAAGCAGGTCGAAAGACGAAACCGGTCGGCATTTTGACTCCTTGGCTTTGCTTGAACTGATCCGTTTCGGTGCCAGTGGCCATCTCCTCCACGTCATGCTGTCGGCTTCTGCCCCTTCGGCAGTATGCCACAGTATGCCAACTATCGAACTACAAGCTGCAACTCCAATATCTCAACCTTGACCTGGAAACTGAAGCTGTCTGGCATGTTGGAACACGGCAGCATCTTCCTGCAGGCACTTCGAGTTCACGCTTCTACTCGCTGCCGGATTTGTGATCCTCTACCTGCTACTTCTGCACTTTGGAAGCATCTTACTTTTTCTGGGGTCTTAAACGAATAGGAGCAGTAGTGCTTCTTGTCTGATTCTCACGGCCCGGCTTCTGTTAAATTTCAGGTATCTGCTGCCATCCTACGTGCCAGTGTTCTTGCAGCTCATGGCGCTACCCCCGTTTCTAGATGATGATCCGTGGCAGTGGCAAGAAGCGGTTAAATAGAGCATTGTGAAGATGCATGGGGACGGTTGTCATGACATCCCATGTCGTATTTCTTGGCATCCGCATCAAGGACAACTTGAAAGTGTTTCTGAGCGTATTGGACGATGATTTTGCAATGCGAGCTCGATCTGCAATTGCTTGGTTTTTCGCTCACGAGCATTCCAGACCATGGTTTCCTGTCATTGAGCTCCAGCCACAGTCTCAATGCAGTTCGGTCCCGGTCTGAAAGCCTCTGCCCGCTGGCTGGAAACTGTCATGCCAGTGCGCAACCTGCTAGGATATGTTGTGCATGATGACCATTCCAGCAGACGTCGAGCAAGCACCTCGTCCTCTCTGCAAGGACACCAAGGACTTGGACATAGGTTTGCTTCTTTTTGTGATAGACTCACTCACCGCCCTGAAAGTTGGCTCTTCGGTTTTTGAATCCGCAGGAGCTTCTCCACATGGTGTCAGACGTCGAGTGAGCAGCTCGTCTTCCTTGGCAGGACTCGGACTCGACATAGGCATGCCCAGCTAAGTGTGAGGCCTTGTGCCTCGAATGTGCACGCAGTCGAAGCCCTGCAAACTCGAGCTCGCGGGCAGCGGACCAGCCAAGTAGCATCAAGTAGCCAAGCAGAGCCTTCCGCAGCCTGACGCAGGAGTTTCATCTTCACTGACGGCATTTCGATTGCCCAGGGCCGGGGCATTGGCAAGCTTCATTCAGCGTTGCATGGAGATGCCCTTTGCGAGGGGGAGATGTAGCAGCAGATGTTGTTCAGGGCGCGCAACAGGTGATAAGGGCTGACGCGGGCTGCTTTGTTGACAGGCGGCTTCTGGTCACATGTCGGCGCGGAATGACACCCTGGTCGTCGTTTCAGCGCCTCAGCCCGTTGCTAGTGGGCTCGTCATATTGTGCTACCCAAATTATTTGGTATTTTGCGTTTCTTCGGGGTAATCCTTACGAAGCAGCTAAGCAGCCTGGCAGGGCACGGGAGTACTACAAAGGCCCAAGGGAGGTTGGGCTTTCTGGCTTTTAGTTGCTAGGCCACAGAGGTGCCGAACACACGCTCTGACCTGCCATTGTGGCCCTAAACCTGGAGGGGCAGTCAGTCGCACACGAGCGTATGGTCGCTGGACTGGTCACAGTCCGAACTCCGATTTCCGCAGTCATCAGTTGAGCTCTTCTGTAACACGCGGTCGCGAGTAAGTACGACTAGTTGATGCCCGCGAACCAGGAGGGTCCACATTTGCGTGGAATTCACGTGAATTCCGACATCCGCTGTCGCTCAAGCAGTCTCAGCTCTCTTCCTTTTTGCTCAGGAGCTTGTCAGCATCCTTGAGTCTTGTGACGATGTCCGCGATCTTCGAGCCTTTGTGGCAGCGTTGAGAGAGCTCGTGCCACCATTCGGCAAGTGGACTGCAGCGAGGCGGACTGCGCGAGATTCTGCGGCGCCAGCTGCCAGACGATGTCTCTTTGCCAGCACCGTCTCCGTCCCCGTCCCCACCGGCGGACGTGGACGTCCCAATTATTGTGGAGCCTTGGCCGGATGCTGACCAGAAAGGATTCGATGGTCTGCAAGCCACTCTTGCTGACCGCCTGCACCGCCATGGGCCTAGGAGAGCGCGTGACGGCGACTCAGGCAGTCATGGCGGGGCGAACCGGGCTGCACTATGAGTGTCAAGAGTTTCCGATGGCCAGGTCTGGTACGACGTGCTGAGGATTCCGGCCTCTTGGTTGGAGAGTGCTACAAGCTTGAATGTGTAAACTGAAGCATGGACACATCATGAAGCATGCGACTGTGGCATGGGCTCGTGGTCTCTTGAGATCGAGGTGTGCCAAGATGGCAATTCCGAAGTGGTTAATGGAACAGTGACGTACAGCCACAACTTGTACAGAATCAGATGCACAGACTAAAGCCGTGGCAACCCGTGCTACAGCTCACTCGATGCTTTAACAGTAAAGTAGCTGAATCAAGCTGCTGCTTCCTGGTTTAGAGATCCCTTGACATGAACTCTACGTGATGTCGCGTCTTGACGTAAATCGCTTCCGTTGTATTTTGGGCGGCAGATCACTCAGCTTCACCGAGTGCGAGAGCCACTTGCAAAGGCGACCCATCAGCCACTACCCAAGGCTTAAGGCCGTTGAGGTTGCGGCGCGCTGAAAGCGGCTCCTGTGTTGGTGACTCACCAGGACGACGTTACTTTCACAAAAGTTTCTCAACGTTCGCCATTGGGTGGCTGCTGTTGCGAGTTTTTAAGCATGGACCGCATCGTAGCCACCAGCGCAAGATAGCTTAGCACCCGCAGCTGCTCCATAATGGCAGCAGCTGGTGACAGCAAGGTGCTAAGTTTTTCCCAACACCAAGGACGCCGGCGACGCTGACGCGTTGCCGAGAGGACGCTCAAAGTGCTCGTCATGGTTGTCCAGGCAGCCTCGATTCGCTTGCTGACAGGCGAAAACGGCAGTCCTGTCTTGTGTCCTGGTCTTCGTTGTTCTTCTCGCGTATTCATATTGAGCAGACCGCTTTGTAGCGTGGCTCGATCTCTTGTATATCGAGTCGGCCGGCAATCAAAAAAGAACAGTGTTCACCATGGCGGCCATGGTTGCCACGGAGCTTCAACTGTGAAATGGGTAATACTGTACCATGCTGTCGGGGCACCTTTTGCTTATGCTAGTCACTTAGCGTTTTGTGGGTCTCGCTCAGGAAGTGAAGATTCAATGGTGCGGAGGCTGAGGATATGGCAAGCATGCCAAGGCAGTGACCGAATGTGCACATTCGCAGTTCGCCTTGAGTCACGCGGCAGGCAACTGAAGAGCTGATCCTGAGCTGGTTCCCAAAAGGCACCACTGTAGCAACTGGTGGATTCGGTATACGAAGTATAAGACGTACCTAGGCCCTAGGCTTGAAGACGGCTGACCGTCCAAGGTGTCAAGGTCGTGCAGGCCCGCGATCCAGGAACCACTGGCAATTTCGAAATCACTGCAACTTGTATGCATGGAGCATTGGCGAGCAATGCTGCGCTTTGAACCGATACAGATTACGTCGGAGTCGTGTCTAAAAGCTGATCGCAAAGGTGAATGGAAGGTTGGTCCATTCCAAGAAGACCCAAAGTCAGGGCTTCTTTGAAGCAGCTCCCCAGGCACTGCACCGAGACAGGACAAGGACCAGCTACCTTCGAGAAACAGTCTCACGCATGGAAAGTCGCTTGAAGGCTCGTCAAGATGCGGTGAAAGCCGAGATTGCCAAAGAAGTTGAGGTTGTTTTTTTTTTTTTGGAGGGGGGGCCTTGGCCTTGTTGTGCTTGAGATTGATCTCAACTGCGCATGAGCTCACCCTGCTGATGTTGTTGAAGGTCCTCGGGGACGCAGCACCCACATCGACGGGTGACTTCAAGGTGCCATGGCCGCTGAAGATCGCCAGTCAATCGACAAGTTGCTACGCTCACCACGAGCGGAACGGACTTGGGTGAGCATGCAACTAGCAACCAGGGGGACATTGTGCTTCGAAGTTCACCGTGTGCGGCCTTCTGTCGGTAGCCAAGGATGGAAAAGAGACTCCAAAAGGAGGATGCGCCATCCAATAAGGGAGAACTCGCAAGCCGCGAGATTTTTCGGCAATCTGTTGCCGGTATCGCACACCACTGTCGTTCAGTAGGCCCTGTTCAGAGAATGCTTGGCTCTCACGGCCTAAGGCCATGTCAGAAAAGGTCCGTGAATGATGCAAAGCTGCTGTGAGACAGCCGCTTTGCAGACAACGGACATGACATGGTCTATCGGAGCGACAAGTGACCTTTCCGACACTGACGCATCAGAGACAAACTGGCCTGCCAGTGCCAGCAAATTTTGGTTTGTATGTTACGAAGCGGCCTGATCCAAGTCAGCCCTCGCTGCAGCTGAGAGAAGCAGACACTTGTCTTGGTAGTTCAGGTTGTGTGTTTCGGGGTTCCTTCCTATTGCTGCCGGCTCAAGCTTCCCTCGAAGTCGGCGAGCGCAAACCTCCCCCCGCAAGCTCGTTAGTTCGTTAGTTAACCTTTAAGGATATGGTCTCTACAACATAGCTCTTGGCAAGAGGCCACCAACCACCACCTGCCCCACTCTACACCCAGTGACAGCTGCAACAACTCGACTGATTGCCCGAAACCTTGCCCCAGCCAGACGAGACAGTGAGACAGAACACCAGCACAAGAGCATCAAAGCTGATGGGAAGTGCACAGGAGCCTGTCGAGCAAGGCCTGGTTGTCAAGGTTTAGCGCCGGGACATGGCTGTGCTTAGTGTTCTCTGTCCCAGAGTGAGCGGAGTGCATTGCACCTCAGACCACGCCAGCCAGACGCCCAAGCGACCAGGCGAGGTTGTCACGGATCGTGCGCGATCTTTCGTGTTGCAAGCGGCGCTTGCAGACTGCGGAGGATCGCTGCGGAGCCGATCGGCGAAGACCTCGCCGGGTGCTTCTCCTACAGGCGACCGGCGACCGGAAATGTAGAACTGAATTTGGTAGTCATGACAGGCCAGCGGCCAGCAGATGAAACTTCATAGGTCTGCTGCATTCTCGTGGAAAGGCCTTTTCGTGGCCTCGGACATCATTGCCCGTTTGCCCGAAAGGCACAAACCGGACCTCCAGGTCAGTGGGACGAGGAGAACGTGCCACGAGCCCGTTAGGTGCTCCCCTGCAGGTGCAAATGCACCGCCAAGCAGACGAATCTGCGGAAATGCTGGCGCTGTCACGATGTTTGCTGTCGGACGATGGGCCGCCAGAGCCGCTGGGGATGATACTGATACCATACTGTGGACTTCTGCTGAACGTCTCGCCGCGCTGTCGGTGAGCTAAGTGCACCAAGGGTTTGGTCCGGGACGACCTGGATAAGCATTGTCCGAAAGGAGCTTGCGGAGCCTTGGGCTTTGCTTGAGGGCCAGTTCCGCTTCGCTCTTGGATATTTCCACGTGATGGTCTTTCGTTTCTGGATCTAGCTGAGGAGCTGGATGACCGTTTGTCACGGCAGCTGCAGCGCATCCAAAGCCAGAGCGATCGCGTAATGGAGGTCGTGCTGACCTCCCTTGTGACTTGCCTCGCTATGGATAACAGCCAGCGCCATCACTCTCTGTCTCTTTACTAGATTTACTAAATCACAGTGTCGTCTGCCATTTGGTCGAAACAGGAACCCACAGCCCACTGCTTCCCCAGGAGGAAAAGGTGGCACAGGTCATCTCCAATCAGCTTCTTGGCCAGCAGACATGCGTGTGCACAAGAGAGCAAGGTGGACCTTCCAGCTACAAGCGCGTGGCATCGCGTGGCTGTGAGGCCCATGATGGAGTGGCGTTTGGCCGAACTCGGCGCAAGCGTCAAAGGCCTGCAGGAGCAGCTGGAAACCCAGGTGGGCCGTGTGAATTCACGCGGCCTTTGCCGGCTTCTGAAAACAATGGCTTCCAGGCGTGTCGGACAGATGCTACAGAGGCACGGTTGCAGAGGCAAACGGGCCTGGGACGGCTGGTTTCGGCGGCCCGAGGACCTAGGAACTCTGCAACTGTGCTATGCTGCTCAGGTGGAAAACAACTATGGAGTCGGAGATGCAGAACTTGAACCTCACCGTGGGAGCTCGAGCTCCCGTCCAGGTGCAGGCCGGATGTCTCCGAGCTCTGAAAATCGCGCCTTAGACTGGCTGCTCGTTCACTCTTAGATCTTTCCGAGGCCGAACGGGTTCCACAGAGTGGCTTGGCAACTGGGGCTGCACATGGTGCACCTCACCGATCCCTCTGTCTTCGGGGCAGGAAATCTATCGCGTCAGATTCCAACCACCACATTGTCGTGCCAGGATGCCGAAGCTTGTCGTGCTGCCGTGGTGGCGGAACTGCGAGGGAGCACAGGCTCGGGGCCCCAGCAGCGCACCCTTCCCCTCGATCCTTGCGGTCCTTGCACCACACACTCTACACACTACACAAATCAAACATCAGCTCGACTTGTGCGGACGATCTCAAGCCTTTCAACAGCACGCGGCATGCCCCGTCAGGTGGCCCCAAGGCTGGCACGCAGTCAGGCTCGGCGGGGCTCGACCTCGAGGACATTGCCGCCGCGGCTACGCGCGTCTTCGGTGCCTTCACAAGAAGACGGTGTGAAGTGTGAAGTAGTCTCGATGTCTAGCAAAGCAGGTGTCCGGTTATGCTCAAGGACAGGCCTGTACCAGGAACTGAGCCCATGCCCTTCACAGTTGCTTCGCCCCGACGCCACAGGAAAGGATAGACACCTGTCAAAACATTTTCGGAATCTACGTGTTTCAAAGAATGGAGCATCATTTGCATTTTGACTGGATTGTTGCGAGGTCAGTTAAGCGACTGCATATAGACTATTTTCATGCTGTTAGGAGTGGCGAGTTCAAGCCGCTGCAAAAAGTACTTCCTTGTATTGAAAGCTGTGGCATTGCAGGATTAAGGATGTGCCCACGATCACTGTTTTTGCATGCGACATCGCAAGCTCGACACCGAGAGGCATGAGCACGCAGTTTGCTTGTCTTCTGGGGGGAGCGAATTCATGCTTGCATTGCAGCTGCACTGCAAGTATCTACGTAGCCACCGTGTGACTGTGCATTGGATGTTGGCGCTCCCCTCCGCCCTCCGCCGAGGAGCAGAAACTGCAATCGTGAAGGATCAGATCGCGGCGCTACAGGAGGTTCAGGACACCCTGAGGCAGAGTGCCGAGCCAAATTTTCCCAGATGTGAGAAGAGACTGCGGAGAGATGTCTTTGAGGTGTGAAGTCGCTCGACTGGTCGACCGACCGGGGATGCAGGCGTGTTTGTGTCAGGGATTTCACTTCACGTTAATTTGAGGTGAGGATGCCGGGTGTGCGTCCTCTACGTCCTCTACCATTTGGGGTTGGGGGGCTGGGGTTTGATGATGACGACACTGTCACGTGCACACCTCGAACAAGTTCTTTAAGTTCTCCATGTTACTCGGTTTTTACAGTACTTTCGTGAGTCGGGCCATCTTTTGTACGCAAATTCTACTTCTCGACTTTGTGTATGCATCGTTCTGCAAAGCTGCCAACAAGTGCTGCTGACAAAGTTTGCGCAACGCAGTGCTCGAAAAGGCGGTCTTGACTGCACCGCCAGCACCATATTCCCTAAAACGATGGACCTGTCACCGTCACAGGGATTGTGCGCCTTTGCCAGCACTGCTTTCTGGCCTAAATGCGTGTGTTGCCTGGATTTCAGCACATTGCATGTTTCAGGTATGCTATCAGACGCCGGTCACGTACCACGCGTCCTCACCTACTTTAACCCTCTACGTAGGATAACGAAACATACGAAACAATGACACGACATCAAGCCAGCGGCCGTGGAGGTGCCAGAAGAAAACTTGTATCTTGCTGTGTGCGAGCACGCGGAAATGACCCCTGCTACAACTCAGAGGTTCGTGCAGATCAGGCAGCCAGGCCCTGGCAGCTGTAGGAAAGTGGTTTTGGCCAGGCGTTGTCAAAACAGTTTTTGGTGTCAGGTCAATGCAATCAGCGCCCCTTTCGTGACTGACCGGGTGGAGATGGCGGAAGCGGCCCAAGCATCAAGCCAGCGACATCGGGAAGAGCTGGAGGCATCAGTTGCGGACGTCGACGCTTCAAAACTTGAGGCAGGGCCTGCAGAACACGGCGGGAAGGAAGCCCCGCGGCTGCCTGCCCCCACCCTAAAGGCGTCAGCTTCAGAGGAGGCACTCGCTCGACTGGAGCGGGTCCAGGCCCGCGTGGAGCAGCTCGAAGCTTCCGTGGAAGGCTTTCCGAAAGCAATACCAACGCTGGAATTCCAGCATTTGCAGGCCGAGGTTTGCAGCTCAAAGGGGCGGATCGACAGCATAGAAACGGCAGCTTCCTCAAGTTTGGCGCGGGTGCAAGAGCTCGTAGCTGCAATGGATGGCCTCAAGAACAAGATAGAGGACTTGAGAACGGCCACCACCGATCCTGCTGTTGACATGGTGGACATTCGAACATCGATGCTGCGTCTTAAGACACGGGTGGACCACTTTGAGTCTCAGCTTCAGCCCGCCAAAGTGCGAGCAGCCATCACTCGTGTTGACCGTTTGGACGCTGCTACCGCTGCTTGCCAAGCTCAACTGCAGGAGCTGTCAAGTTCACTCGAAGGTGCCAAGGAAGGCATGCAAGGGTTGAGAACAGCAGAAGAGACGCTGGTCGGACTTGGAAGCGAAGTGCAAGCCTTGCGAGATCAAGCGGAAACAACAGAGGCTGCAGCGGCCCACTCGGAGTCCCGCTTGGAGCTGCAGCTTGAAGCCGCCTTGGACAAAATGAAAGAGTCCCTACAGCAGCACGTGACGACGGAGTTCGCCGAAGACTGCCGAGCGGCATTCCAAAGCATTGGCCAACACACGGATGAAGTGCAAGCTATCAAGTCGCGGCTCGGAAGTTTGCAGAGCGAGATGGAGTCCAACAGGCTGCGCGTCGAGCACGTGGAAGGTGCAAGCGCAGCAGGTCATGCGCGGCTGCAGGAGCTTGCAGCATCGATTGGCGGCATTCAAGAGTCTGTGAAGCAGCTGGACGGTGTCGTGGCACCACTAGATGCGACGCTGCCGGAGACAGTTGAGGCCCTGAGGAAGCAGATCGACAAGGTGGAGTCGATGGAAGCGAACAGGCTGAATGACATCGACGGTCGCGTCGAGCAAGTGGAAGGTGCAAGCGCATCAGGTCGTGCGCAGCTGCAGGAGCTTGCAGCATCGATTGGCGGCATTCAAGAGTCTGTGAAGCAGCTGGAGGGTGTCGTGGCGCCACTAGATGCGACGCTGCCGGAGACAGTTGAGGCCTTGAGGAAGCAGATCGACAAGGTGGAGTCGATGGAAGCCAACAGGCTGAATGACATCGACGGTCGCGTGGAGCAAGTGGAAGTTGCAAGCGCATCAGGTCGTGCGCAGCTGCAGGAGCTTGCAGCATCGATTGGCGGCATTCAAGAGTCTGTGAAGCAGCTGGAGGGTGTCGTGGCGCCACTAGATGCGACGCTGCCGGAGACAGTTGAGGCCCTGAGGAAGCAGATCGACAAGGTGGAGTCGATGGAAGCGAACAGGCTGAATGACATCGACGGTCGCGTCGAGCAAGTGGAAGGTGCAAGCGCATCAGGTCGTGCGCAGCTGCAGGAGCTTGCAGCATCGATTGGCGGCATTCAAGAGTCTGTGAAGCAGCTGGAGGGTGTCGTGGCGCCACTAGATGCGACGCTGCCGGAGACAGTTGAGGCCTTGAGGAAGCAGATCGACAAGGTGGAGTCGATGGAAGCCAACAGGCTGAATGACATCGACGGTCGCGTGGAGCAAGTGGAAGGTGCAAGCGCATCAGGTCGTGCGCAGCTGCAGGAGCTTGCAGCATCGATTGGCGGCATTCAAGAGTCTGTGAAGCAGCTGGAGGGTGTCGTGGCGCCACTAGATGCGACGCTGCCGGAGACAGTTGAGGCCTTGAGGAAGCAGATCGACAAGGTGGAGTCGATGGAAGCCAACAGGCTGAATGACATCGACGGTCGCGTGGAGCAAGTGGAAGTTGCAAGCGGAGCAGGTCGTGCACAGCTGCAGGAGCTTGCAGCATCGATTGGCGGCATTCAAGAGTCTGTGAAGCAGCTGGAGGGTGTCGTGGCACCACTAGATGCGACGCTGCCGGAGACAGTTGAGGCCCTGAGGAAGCAGATCGACAAGGTGGAGTCGATGGAAGCCAGCAGGCTGAATGAAATCGACGGTCGCATCGAGCACGTGGAAGTTGCAAGCGCAGCAGGTCGTGCGCAGCAGCAGGAGCTTGCAGCATCGATTGGGGGCATTCAAGAGTCCGTGAAGCAGCTGGAGGGAGTCGTGGCGCCACTAGATGCGACGCTGCCGGAGACAGTTGAGGCCCTGAGGAAGCAGATCGACAAGGTGGAGTCGATGGAAGCCAGCAGGCTGAATGAAATCGACGGTCGCATCGAGCACGTGGAAGTTGCAAGCGCAGCAGGTCGTGCGCAGCAGCAGGAGCTTGCAGCATCGATTGGGGGCATTCAAGAGTCCGTGAAGCAGCTGGAGGGAGTCGTGGCGCCACTAGATGCGACGCTGCCGGAGACAGTTGAGGCCCTGAGGAAGCAGATCGACAAGGTGGAGTCGATGGAAGCCAACAGGCTGAATGACATCAACGGTCGCGTCGAGCACGTGGAAGGTGCAAGCGCAGCAGGTCGTGCGCAGCTGCAGGAGCTTGCATCATCGATTGGCGGCATTCAAGAGTCTGTGAAGCAGCTGGAGGGTGTCGTGGCGCCACTAGATGCGACGCTGCCGGAGACAGTTGAGGCCATGAAGAAGCAGATCGTCAATCTCCAGAACGATGTCGAGGCCACCAGTCATGATGACGCCAGTGGCCGTGTGGGGCATTTGGAGGCTGCAAGCGCCGCTGGCTGTACGCAGATGCAAGAACTTGCATCTTCGATCGATGGCATCAATGAGTCAGTAAGGCAGTTGCGGCAGCGTGTGGCAGAGTCAGAAGGGGAAATTCCGGCTGCGGTTGAGGCAATAAGGAGGCAGATAGACAATTTGCAACTGGCGATGGAGGCCAACAGCCTGAATGATGTCAGTGGTGCGGATGAGGCTACAAGCTCTGGGCATATGCAAGAGCTGCTTGCAGCTTCGATCGACGGCATCCGTGAGTCTGTCAGGCAGCTCCAATCCGCCACAGCTGAGCCAGAAGCCGTAGCTCTTGAGGCCATGAGAAAGCGGATAGATGACTTGCAGGCGGAGGTGGAGGCCAGCAAAAGCAGCGACTTCAGTGATCGTTTGGAGATGGTGGAGGCTGCAAGTGCAGCAGGCCAAGTGCAGGCGCAAGAGCTTACAGCATCGATTGAAACCATCGACAGATCACTGCAGCAGCTGCGACGCAGCATGGCGGAGCCAGACGCAGAGCTAACTGGTCGGGTTGAGGCAGGTGGGGCGGGTGGGCTTGCGCCAGGGTTCCGTCATCTTTGCCAGCTCCACTGCGAACTGCCGATGGCAGGTACAGCATGTGTGTCAGGTTCTGCTTTTAGTGGGTTGTGCAGGACGCTCTGTTAGAGATTCTTTCACATTCGCTGGACCTTCAATTCCTACCTCGATCGATGTTCATTATTGGGTGTGTGTGTGTGTGTGTGTGTGTGTATGTGTGCGGTGTTAGTTTCTTACAGGTTGTCGCTGGGTGACAAGTCTTAGTTTGTTTGCCTCGCCCTTTCTGCTTGTTTTCGTGCGAGTGAGCGAGTCGAAATCTGAGGCAAGCCCCCACTATCCCCTCATTGGGTTGATGCCATGCGTTTGTGGCTGTGTTGTTCGTCAGGCTGCCTTACTATCGTTCACGGCATGAACTGGAAAGCCCCGCAATCACCAGCCCGTCTTTTTTGGATGTGTCACTGTTGAGGCCGTGAAGAAGCAGATGGATAATCAACTGCTGGAGATGGAGGCCAACAGGCTGAAAGATGTCAACGGCAGCGTTCAGCAGCAAGAGCTTGCAGCAACGGTCGATGGCATCCAAGAGTCCATCAAGCAGCTGCGATCTGATGTGGGCTCTCCAGACACGGAGCTCTCGGCGACGGTTGAAGCCATCCGGAAGCAGATTGATATCGTGGAGTCGGTGGAAGCCAGCAGGCTAAATGACATCAGCGGCCGCGTCGAGTACGTGGAGGCTGCAAGCGCAGCAGGTCGTGCGCAGCTGGAGGAGCTCGCAGCATCGATTGGTGGCATTCAAGAGTCTGTAAAGCAGCTGGAAGGTGTCGTGGTGCCGCTAGATGCGACGCTGCCGGAGACAGTTGAGGCCATGAAGAAGCAGATCGTCAATCTCCAGAACGATGTCGAGGCCAACAGGAATGATGACGCCAGTGGCCGTGTGGGGCACTTGGAGGCTGCAAGCGCAGCTGGCCGTACGCAGATGCAAGAACTTGCATCTTCGATCGATGGCATCAATGAGTCAGTAAGGCAGTTGCGGCAGCGTGTGGCAGAGTCAGAAGGGGAAATTCCGGCTGCGGTTGAGGCAATAAGGAGGCAGATAGACAATTTGCAACTGGCGATGGAGGCCAACAGCCTGAATGATGTCAGTGGTGCGGATGAGGCTACAAGCTCTGGGCATATGCAAGAGCTGCTTGCAGCTTCGATCGACGGCATCCGTGAGTCTGTCAGGCAGCTCCAATCCGCCACAGCTGAGCCAGAAGCCGTTGCTCTTGAGGCCATGAGAAAGCGGATAGATGACTTGCAGGCGGAGGTGGAGGCCAGCAAAAGCACCCACTTCAGTGATCGTTTGGAGATGGTGGAGGCTGCAAGTGCAGCAGGCCAAGTGCAGGCGCAAGAGCTTACAGCATCGATTGAAACCATCGACAGATCACTGCAGCAGCTGCGACGCAGCATGGCGGAGCCAGACGCAGAGCTAACTGGTCGGGTTGAGGCAGGTGGGGCGGGTGGGCTTGCGCCAGGGTTCTGTTCAGGACTGTCTGGTTTAGAGTTTAGAGGATGTCCTCCGTCCTGCTTTGATTTTGCAAGTTCGCTGGACCTTCGGTTGCTACGGGGTGGTTGACCTAAGTCGTCTCCGCTTACTGAAAATCGATTCCGCATGCTGGTTTGGCAATTCTTTTCGTATGATCCATACATTGTTTGGGTGTGTCGCTTTTGCTGTTATTCGCTGTTTGTTGCGGTGTGCGCAGGCTTTGCGGCATCTCGATGTTACCTGATTTGGTTGTCCGCCGAGGGGTTTGTGCTCCGCTGTATGTGGAACGACGTCATGTCCCTGTGTTGCCGATGTGGAGGGTGGTGGGGTGGATTTGTTTTGGGAGGGCCATGATATCACACCGAAGGGTTCCGTTCAGCCTGATGCAACACTGGAAACCGGAGAGGGAGCGGGCGGTGCATCCCTCGTGCCGGGGGGTGCTTGTGAAATCGAGCGTGTGCATTGGGAATGGCCGGCGCCTTGGTGTGACTTCCCTCGTGACCATGCGGTGTCGCGACTTCACGCACCCTGGGGCGACATAAAGCCACCCCTTGTACGTGTGGTGGTTTACACAATTTCTGCAGTACTTGTCTCGATACTTTTGACACTCTATGTCCTTTCCTGCTAGTAAGCACCCCATCGCATCTGCCCAATAGTACTGGTAGCATCTTCCAGCACACTGATGTGGCTAAGGCCCCTAACTGTAGTATGACCGGTGTTACCAACGCCGTGCCGCTCGGTGTGCGCCAGTGAAACTTCTTGTCCATCGTCATCAAACCAACGCCCATCGTGATCAAACCTATGGTTTTTGCAGCAGAAACGTTGGGGATTCGTAGGTTCGGAATACAACGTCGGCTATCTCACGTGTGGTGTGCACTTGCGGAATGCTAAGTTTTCCAAGCTCTGGGGTCGACTTCCGGTGTGGGGTTGACTGAGGGTAAAACCCATGTGCAGGCAGCTGGGGTTGACTTACGGTCGCTGGGGTTGACTTGGGGCGGGCGCCAAGTATCTCGGGCTAGATGGGCAGGGGCCTGGTTTTCATCACCTAAATCCGTGGCATGCCCCCGCTCTCCCTGCTGCCCGTGATCTGGTGATGTGTCATTGTTGAGGCCGTGAAGAAGCAGATGGATAATCTGCTGCTGGAGATGGAGGCCAACAGGCTGAAAGATGTCAACGGCAGCGTTCAGCTGCAAGAGCTTGCAGGAGCGGTCCATGGCATCCAAGAGTCCGTAAAGCAGCTGCGATCTGATGTGGACACTCCAGACACAGAGCTCTCGGCGACGGTTGAAGCCATCCGGAAGCAGATTGATATCGTGGAGTCGATGGAAGCCAGCGGGCTAAATGACATCAACGGCCGCGTCGAGTACGTGGAGGCCGCAAGCGCAGCAGGTCGTGCGCAGCTGGAGGAGCTTGCAGCATCGATTGGTGGCATTCAAGAGTCTGTAAAGCAGCTGGAAGGTGTCGTGGTGCCGCTAGATGCGACGCTGCCGGAGACAGTTGAGGCCATGAAGAAGCAGATCGTCAATCTCCAGAACGATGTCGAGGCCAACAGGCATGATGACGCCAGTGGCCGCGTGGGGCACTTGGAGGCTGCAAGCGCAGCTGGCCGTACGCAGATTCAAAAACTTGCATCTTCGATCGATGGCATCAATGAGTCAGTAAGGCAGTTGCAGCAGCGTGTGGCAGAGTCAGAAGGGGAAATTCCGGCTGCGGTTGAGGCAATAAGGAGGCAGATAGACAATTTGCAACTGGCGATGGAGGCCAACAGCCTGAATGATGTCAGTGGTGCGGATGAGGCTACAAGCTCTGGACATATGCAAGAGCTGCTTGCAGCTTCGATCGACGGCATCCGTGAGTCTGTCAGGCAGCTCCAATCCGCCACAGCTGAACCAGAAGCCGTTGCTCTTGAGGCCATGAGAAAGCGGATAGATGACTTGCAGGCGGAGGTGGAGGCCAGCAAAAGCACCCACTTCAGTGATCGTTTGGAGATGGTGGAGGCTGCAAGTGCAGCAGGCCAAGTGCAGGCGCAAGAGCTTACAGCATCGATTGAAACCATCGACAGATCACTGCAGCAGCTGCGACGCAGCATGGCGGAGCCAGACGCAGAGCTAACTGGTCGGGTTGAGGCAGGTGGGGCGGGTGGGCTTGCGCCAGGGTTCTGTTCAGGACTGTCTGGTTTAGAGTTTAGAGGATGTCCTCCGTCCTGCTTTGATTTTGCAAGTTCGCTGGACCTTCGATTGCTATCTCGGGCTAGATGGGCAGGGGCCTGGTTTTCATCACCTAAATCCGTGGCAGCCCCCGCTCTCCCTGCTGCCCGTGATCTGGTGATGTGTCATTGTTGAGGCCGTGAAGAAGCAGATGGATAATCTGCTGCTGGAGATGGAGGCCAACAGGCTGAAAGATGTCAACGGCAGCGTTCAGCTGCAAGAGCTTGCAGGAGCGGTCCATGGCATCCAAGAGTCCGTAAAGCAGCTGCGATCTGATGTGGACACTCCAGACACAGAGCTCTCGGCGACGGTTGAAGCCATCCGGAAGCAGATTGATATCGTGGAGTCGATGGAAGCCAGCAGGCTAAATGACATCAGCGGCCGCGTCGAGTACGTGGAGGCTGCAAGCGCAGCAGGTCGTGCGCAGCTGGAGGAGCTTGCTGCATCGATTGGTGGCATTCAAGAGTCTGTAAAGCAGCTGGAAGGTGTCGTGGTGCCGCTAGATGCGACGCTGCCGGAGACAGTTGAGGCCATGAAGAAGCAGATCGTCAATCTCCAGAACGATGTCGAGGCCAACAGGCATGATGACGCCAGTGGCCGTGTGGGGCACTTGGAGGCTGCAAGCGCAGCTGGCCGTACGCAGATGCAAGAACTTGCATCTTCGATCGATGGCATCAATGAGTCAGTAAGGCAGTTGCAGCAGCGTGTGGCAGAGTCAGAAGGGGAAATTCCGGCTGCGGTTGAGGCAATAAGGAGGCAGATAGACAATTTGCAACTGGCGATGGAGGCCAACAGCCTGAATGATGTCAGTGGTGCGGATGAGGCTACAAGCTCTGGACACATGCAAGAGCTGCTTGCAGCTTCGATCGACGGCATCCGTGAGTCTGTCAGGCAGCTCCAATCCGCCACAGCTGAGCCAGAAGCGGTTGCTCTTGAGGCCATGAGAAAGCGGATAGATGACTTGCAGGCGGAGGTGGAGGCCAGCAAAAGCACCCACTTCAGTGATCGTTTGGAGATGGTGGAGGCTGCAAGTGCAGCAGGCCAAGTGCAGGCGCAAGAGCTTACAGCATCGATTGAAACCATCGACAGATCACTGCAGCAGCTGCGACACAGCATGGCGGAGCCAGACACAGAGCTAACTGGTCGGGTTGAGGCATATGGGACGGGTGGGCTTGCTCCAGGGTTCCGGCATCCTTGCCAGCTCCACTAGGGCTAGGGATTGCTGATGGCAGGCACAGTGTGGTATAGCATGGCTATCAGGTTCCACGTTCAGTGGGTTGTTCAGGTCCCTCTGTTTGAGAGGCTGTCTTGATAGTCGATGGGCAGTCCTGGCTGTGGCCTTTGTCAGCCTCCCTACGGCTAACAGCGTGAACTTGGAAAACCTGCATCTATGGATTTCCCGAACTTCCCCGTCGCCAGTAGTCAGCTGCCCGTGATCTGGGGATGTGTCGTTGTTGAGGCCGTGAAGAAGCAGATGGACAATCTGCTGATGGAGGTGGAGGCCAACAGGCTGAAAGATGTCAACGGCAGCATTCAGCTGCAAGAGCTTGCAGCAACGGTCGATGGCATCCAAGAGTCCGTAAAGCAGCTGCGATCTGTTGTGGGGGTCCTCGGAGAGCTCCCGGAAGCAAGTGCTCCTGGAGCTCAGGAGAATGCGCCTCTGCAGTCGTCTTCTCCGTGCCCAAACCTTTCTGCTGCTTTGCACGAGATTTCTGCCCGAGTTGATCACGTGGAGACTGCAGCATTGGCACGGCAAGATCGACTGGAGCAGCTGACAGGTGTGGCAGTGTGTCCGTGTGGTCAGAGGGGAGGTCACAGGGGCAAGTTGTACTGTAGTCACCGTCTTTGAAGAAACTACAGCAGACATGCTGAGTCTGATCGGTAACGATCGGTAAGTTGAGGACTGCAGGAATACCTGAGTTGTACGTATGATGTGAGCTTCAACCTGTCAGGTGACATGGAGAGCATTGCAGCAGAGGTGCAGCAGCTGGAAGCAATTACCGGCAAGCCCGGAAGCTCTGACGACAGGTGTGGTTCCCATGAGGCATCTGCACAGCCGTTGACGACGACTGTCGCGGATATCGTGTCGCGTGTGGATCAAGTTGAGCACGAGACTTCAACGAGGCGCATGCGAATGCAAGAGATCTATAGCTGCGTGCAAGAGCTTCAGGCTCAAATCGAGAAGCTTGAAGCTAATATCATGTCTCCTGCTTGTTTCAGAATCTTTTGCATGTATTGTTTAGTTTTTGATGTAAGGCCACGAAGCGGAAGCAAAGAATGACTCTGAAGGGCGATTATCCAACTCAGGCAGCCTGCGTGGAGGCCACAAACATCCTTTTCTGAGGTGGACTCTCTGCTGCTTTCGCCGTCCGTGGCACCTACAGTTGCTGCAGAGACAGTGCATGACTTGCAGACGCAACTGGCTTGGCCTGGCCTGTGTTTTCTTTCTCGTTTCAATTGAATTAGTTTTGGGATGTTTTTGGCCGTTTTGGGTTTGGAGCATAGACTGCAAATTTGACGAAGGCAGGTCGGCGAGCTTGAAGTGGCGAGCTCTTTCCGGCATCAGAGCATCTGAACTGAACAGTGCGAAGGTAGAACCCAGATCGCCAAACTCAGCTTTCAGCCAGCGTGAGTGCGTGTGGGTGTGTGTGTGTGTGTGCGCTTATTTTCGGAAGTCCAAGGAGTGCATGACCTCACTGCTGCCATGGATGAACTGCGCACACAGCTGCAGGAGGCACCCACCAGCTTGCGGCATGCTTGACTCGTCTTGTGGACGTCTTGCCTTGTACAAGTCTTACTCGTATCTAGTATCGTCAGACCGTCTCCACGGCTTGTACCTAAGGGATCCTCAGGACCAATCGTTTAAACGCACACCATGATCCATGCTCTGCTTTTGAAATCTGGAATTCTTACCTGTTTCGCGGGTGCTCGACAGGATTGGGAATTGACTAGTTTTCGTAAAAAGCAGGATGGAAAAAGCGTGCTCACTGCTTCGAGTTTCGGGTTCGTTCTGGAGGCCTGCATAAATCAGTCTCATGCAGTCAAAGAGAAACCAAGGTAGATTAGGTGTTCGTTGGAGCTTTTGGGCAGCCATTTCGCGGAGGTGATGAAAAACATCCAGAGAGCAGATGCGATTATTCCTGCACCAGGTTTGCGAGAAGGCTTCGGCTGTGGAGCAAGAAGGACGGAAGCTGACCTCGGAAGTAGAGACCGTCAGACTCTGCGCGGCTGGGCATAGACATCACATGGCAAGTTGGGTTAAGGGCTGCAAAATGTGAATGGAACCAAGGTGGACAGACTGGAGCGTCAAAGCCAGCAGGCCACAAGCAGCCAGAGCATCGAGGCTCGGCCACTAGTGCTGGACGCTGCTGCCAAATCCTGGATGGATCGTCAGGCGCCTGTGCAGGACTTGCGAGCAGTTATTGTTTTGGGAACGGTTGTCTATCTCAGTATACTAAGCCTGTCTCATGGACTTGAGAGCACCACGAGGATGAAAATACCCAAGGTCGCCCAGGTGCTAGACAGAGCCGCAGATAATTTCGTCGCTCTGCTGGAGCACCTCGGCATGCAGACACCAATGAAATACCGGAATGACTTGGAATGTCCGTGTCTGGGTTTCGCCTTGCTCTGAGACTCGAATAGAAGTAGTGGTAGATGGATGGCTCATGGCTGCTTTGGTAGGCTAGTTCGAATGACGAGCTAAGGACGACGAATCGCCGCCTGGACGCTGCCATCACCAAGCAAGAGAGCGTAAACGAGGATTGCCGGGCGAAGTGTGCGATAGCGACGATCTTGGGGAAGCTGGGGAGCTGGGAGACAGGAGCTTCAGCACAGCACATCGAAAGGCTCGACCTTAAGCCTCCTCCTGGGATGCGGTTTGGCACTGCCACAGTTGAGCAAGGTCCAGCAAATGCTGATGTGGTGCAGCTTCTCCACAGCCTGAGGCGCATTGCAGAGCCTTGCAACTAACCCCTGCAAGACTTTCGCAAGTGACATTTGCGACTTGCAGGCAAGAGCATCGCCTTGAAGCAGCTGCGCTCTGGGACGGCCGGGGGCCCGTTGAACTTCCGCTCAACGGAGGCGTTGTCACGGTTGACGGTGACCGGGTCCAACCGTCCAACCAAGGCTTGGCAGACCTTGCAGACCACCTCGGTGCAGATGCCGGACGCTTCTTGCAGGCAGGAGGGTCATGCTTGGCTTCTATAGTTGTCAGGGGCAGGGACAGTGACATCCGCTCAGCCAGAGTGCTGCATTGTCAGCAAAATAATGTCATCAGTGAACTCGAGCCTGCAGGTCTCATTTGTAAATCGCGCACACGCCCGCCCACAAACCTACGGACCCACGGATCATCACGGATCCACGAACCCTCCCACCCACCCGCCCATCCAAGCACTCACCCAATGCACGATACAAGCCTCAGAGGGTCTAGCCCACGAAATGCCATACACTTCTGACTAGCAGGAAGCAAGTTTAGGGCGCGCCCCGAGCCCCTGCGAAAGAACGAGCACAAGCTTCGGAGCTTGAATTGAACCATGCGGAACGCTGTTATGTTTCTCAATTCCGTGCTGTCATGTGGCCATCCGTCAAAACCTCCGTAAAGGCATTTGTGAGAGTGGGGCGCCGGATAAAACCTTCGGCACAAGCAATAGGACCACCTATGAATACCACAACTGCACGTGGTAATCACTCGTACTACTTTTCTTGATGTCACAAGAGTAAAGCGATACCTTTCATTAACGTTGCGCGAGACCCCTGATGATAGGACCCTCCCCAAATCATTCATGGTTAGGCCTGAAATAAGAAGTATTGACAAATGCTCGTGTGGGCTGGCGCCCGCACTACTTTCGAGCACGTCGGGATATGAGCTAACTCGTAGGGGCGCTTTCTCCTCGATCATGAGGCCGAGGACCAACTGCCCAAGAAGGGTGTTGTGCCAGGCCTCGTAGCAAACAGCGAGGACGCCGAAGTTAACGGTGTTTCCCCTGCAGCGTCTCCAGAGCATGTAGGTGTGACGGTGTGCCCCAGTGAGGAGGCGGCTGCAGATGTGGGCTTCAACGCCCACGATCCCACAGCACCCGTACCATCCGCCAGGGCTCCGCCGCAGGCGAGTCACTCTTCACGGAAGAGGGCGGCGGAGTGCTGCGGAGTGAGCATGCTTTTGACCAGGCTGCGTTCGAGGACGAGTTGGACAGCGCCGCGACGAGTCTCGGCTGCGTCTCGAATCTCTCCGGTTCTTTTCTTCGATTTCATCAGCGCCGCGACGCCCAGGCTCAGCCCACCCAGTCCTCGCACATTGACATGATGAACGCAGGGAAGATGCAACTTCCATGCCAAAGCTGCATGGGCACGTTGCTTTCCGCACAAAGGCTGCGGAAAATTGCGCTTGCAACTCTGACTGTGGCAAGCGAAATCGAAAGGCCAACGGGTAATCCATCTCTCCGATCGTAGGGGGCATGGCCAAGTCTAGTTCCTGGTAACTGCACTGCAGCCTGGCTCTACAGGGAAAACCCAATACCAAGAGTCGCATCCATACCGCCCCGGCAGGTCGTATCATCTCTCTGCTGGTGCATGCTAGTGCTTTGGATCTTTTTGGCTTGGCTGCCTGCAAACGGACAGGATTCATGCACTGAACCCGAACCTGCACCGTCGTCTCTCCAGCTTCTTCAGCAGAACTTGATTCTGGGACGAGGCTCGGTGAACAGCATCCTGGCTGACTCGCAGTCTCCGACGTCTCTGGCTGGTCTCAAGAAGCTCTTAGATGGGTGCTCTGGATGGGATTGCTTGAAACAGTACGTGGATCGGCCAGATGCAGCTTATAGCTGGAGGGATAGCCACATCAGGCTGCAAGGCTCTGTGGGCGGTGCGGAATGGACTGCAGCACTTCTGCAGATGACCAGCCAGACATGGTTGCCAGATGAAGTATCGCCAAGCTCTTGGAATCATTCATTAGTCGTCATCTCGCCCAAAAATGTCTCGCAGACTGGCTGGTGTTTTCTCTACGTTGCCATGGGTTTCTATGGCTCTTCTGGGGCGAACAAGGCCGTTGATGCCTCAAATCCCGATGTTCAAGCTGCTGCGGAGATTGCAGTGTCGGTGGGGATCCCGGCAGCCGTGTTGTTTAACGTGCCTGCAGAGCTACTAACCTTTAAGAGTTCTGCATCTCAAGGCCCTTTAGTAGAGGACCGGCCATCGGGGTGTTGCAAAGACGAAGGGGGGTATGGGGTACTGTAGTTGCAATACCCAAACAGCGCGAAACGTCACCTCAGTAGAGGACGGGATGCTTTCCCACTCTTGGGCACTCTTTGGCCGTCAGCCCTTCGGACTTGGACCCTGGCGTCCAGATCCTCGTCTGCTGCTGGAGCTGCCCATGACGAAGGCCACCTTCGCATGGTGTAAGAGTGTGACTCCCCCAAATGTCTGCTTCCCCAAGGCTGTCGTGCGCGCGATGGACGCGATAGGCTGGGCCTACTGTAATCCTTACTGTCAGGCACTTTGACTGCGTGCTCTAAGCTGCGTGTTGCCTCGAAGGTGACTTCGCAGATTACGGATCTGTTCCTGGCATCTCTGGCAAGCTGAAGTTTGCCGTGCTGGGAACCAGCGCCTCAGCAGATGTGTCAGGTCGACTTTGATGCTGCTGTTCTTGTCAGAGTACTGTGCATCACCGTCAGATTCATCCCACTCAGGCAAGCGAGGGCACCTGTGCTGGCATGCTGCATCTGTGGATGCTCGTGATACTTGGCTGATATCTTTTGTACTTGTGTAGTTATGTATTTCTTGTCCAACCTCGGTGCATGCATCACACTAGGCAAGGCTGCACAAGAACAAGCCAGCGGCTTTCGATGGCTTTCGTGTCTCGCGCCAGCCGAGGTCAAAGCAATTGTCCCGATCGCCAAGGCTTTGAACATGCAAGGGTTTCTCAACCTCTCGCAGAGTGAATTGGGTGGACTGCCCCAAGCCGCCAAAGATTATGCCCAAGCGGGAGTGTGCCTGGTCCTCTTCGGTATGTTGTCCATTGGACCTCTCGAGGAAGTCTCTTCTGTTTAAGGTCGGCTGTCCAAATCCAGGTTGGAACACCTTGAGGACACTCCGCAGGGGCGCTGGTTCATCAACATCACGGATGCCTATGCTTACAGGGAGCGGTTTGCCGGGTTGCCTAAGCTGGTAATCAACGCCGCGAACGACGAGTTCTTCGTCCCGGACCACACGCGGGTATGGTGGCCGGCACTTCCAGATCCGAAGTGGCTGCTTGGCATGAACGCGGAGAGTTTGGGGCTGGTGCTTGGCTGTGAACTGTTGTCTTAAGGCACCTCATGATCCCGAACAGTGGGCACATCGGTGGCGGCCAGCAGGTTCGAAGGCTGGCGGAACCTATCTCCGCATTTCTCTCTGGCCTCGTGCACAGCGAGGACGCAGGGTCTTAGGCCAACTTAGTTCGGATGCACCATCTTCCCTACTAGCTTCAGGACTCGAAGGACGCTTCCAAAGTCCCTCAGCTCTCGTGGAACATTCAGCAGACGGGAGCCCTCACGGCCAAGCTTGAAAAAACAAGCCCTGCACCATCGGAAGTTGTCTTTTGGCAGGCCACAACCTGCGACTCGCAAAGGCGAGATTTCCGATTGCACAATGCGGACCGTGGCGAAACCTGCCGTAAATGCGGTTACGAAGGATCGTATGGCTGCGTGAACGAAGCTGTGACTTGGAACAGTTCTACGCTGCAGGAGACAGAGCACCGCAGCTTTGTATGGGAAGCGAGTGTGTCCGCACCTGCCGACGGCCGCTGGACAGCCTTTTTCCTGACTTTCCATTGGCCGACCGGGTTGAGGCTTTCGACAGAGGTGTCTGTTGTTCCTGTAACATTTCCCTTTCCAAACTGTCCGCAAAGCTGTGCACATACAGTTTGATTGGCATGTTGCGCAAAACACCGTGATGACTCCAGGGCCGCGAGAGTTGAGTCTGATTGGCCTTGCATGATGTCGACGTTCGTTTCGCAGACCTGCATTTGCCATCTGTAGCCATTTTGCCAAAAATGGCGACGATTAAGCGCAGGCCTGTTAGCCCTCATGGGCTTCCGACAGAGCCTCAACCGCACGATGCTCTAGATCGCTCGTGTTGAGGTGCTTTGCTGATCAGCTGATTAGCGTCGCGAGTTGAGGAGCTCGTTCGGTTATTAGTACATGGTCAGCTTGATGGAACCAGAATAGCTCTAGAACCAACTTTAATAGCCGATGTTTTGCAGCTCTGTCCGCCTGGGTGTGAACCGATGCAACATCTGAGTCCGAATCGGCTGCCGAGCGGCGATGTGTCCTCGCAGCTGCGACCGTGGTTGGCTTGGTTGATGAGCTGCTAAGCCTCGGATTATGGAGCCTTTGGTAACATTCCTGCCTGATCCTTCGTCACAGAGCCGCTGCTCATGACTGGCTTTCACTTCTCCAGCCCATTCTGAGGCCGTAACTGGGGAGAGGTGCGGTAAGTTGAGGTCCTCAAGGCTTGAGGGTAGAGGCGCAAGCTGATTCAAGGATCGACATCGGCCTGCTCGCCGCTTCCTTTATGCAGCCCCTGGCTCAATTGTGTTGTTTGCAACTGGACGTTCGGTTGTTCCTCACAGCCACCGTTTCAGGGCCACGGCTGCACTGCATGATAGCAAACTCGCGCGCTCTTGGCAACCACGATTGTGAGCCGTTGTAGGCTCGCTACAGAAGCCAAGACGATGCATGTTCGCAGTGCTTTTCATACAGGATTTGTCCGTAGGCGACTCGCCCTTTGCAATCCTAGGCTGGAGAAAGAGTTCGGGTTCGCTCCCGATGTTCTCGGAAAGCTGCTGATGGCCAGAGGTCTTGCAAACAGCCTGTCAGGCTCGACCTACATGCCGTTTTCCCTGAGCAATGAAGTGCGGTTGGAAGGCATAGTCAATTGACGTGGTCCATGTCAGCATCAGGCGTCCTTTGGGGGTCCCTCGCAGATCGCATGGACAGGAGCTATGTCGGCACATGGCGATGTTTTCTGCACGGTCATCTGTCTGTGATGTTTGGACTGCTTGAAGCCCTGTGCCAGCACGTCACTTCAGCTCACACAGGAAACGAATCATGGTCTCGTCGATGATGCTGGCCGGCATCTTCACCATGCGTCTTGTTGATATAGACATGGGCAAGGCATCAGCCATGGCTTTTCCGAATTAAGGCTGACGCCGCAGCTGACCACGCTAAAAGGCGCTTCTTGCAAGCTCATGGAAGCTGCGATATGCTGAGTTTGGCGGAATCATTGTCCCAGGCTTCTTTGCGACACAGATGTCCATCGCATTTTTTGCGGCAGCGGCAGTTCCAGTCACGCAGAGCCTAGTCAGCGAGAAAGTCGAGGCGGTGTTGGCGTGTTTTTGGACACGGGGAAATGTTGTCTAACAATTCATGGATAGGAAGTTGGAGCGGTGCTGTTCTGTGATCCAACTGTGCCATCGCAAAGACTCGGAAAGTAGCACGTCAAGCTCAACTCCAGCGGCCCAGTGGAAACAACCTAGGATTTCGACAACGGCAATCTTTGCAGTGGGAGGGAGTGTGACCAAACTAGCCTTGGGGCATTCTGCTCGAGCATGCGAGGCAACCAACAGAGGTGTGGCCTTCGCATCCCTGGCCATGTGCTCAGGCAAATGGCGGGAGATGGATTGGGCTCGGCGTACGCAGACAATGCGTCTAACACTGTTTGAACGGAAGGCTTCTCCTGCTCGGCGGCGGCCCTCCTTGCCGGGGTCCTCTCCTGGCGGGAAGCGTACAGGATCATGGGCGCTGCCACGATGTCGTCAGCGACCAAGTCCATCTCGCCATCGTCGGGCAGAAAATCCTAAGAGGGAGTCCAGCTGAAATCACTCTTTTGCCGCTCATCTCGGGCCGATAAGAGGAGAGAAGCTGGGCAGGCTCAGGACAAGCTCCAAGAAAGGCCAGCCGAAGGCACAAGAAACTAAGGAACCCATGGAATGTGCAGTGGAGTCTCAGTGGAGTAGCAGAGTACATGCTTACTCGAGTAGTCGGAGGTTGGGAGGAGAGACAGTGTGGGTTGGTTAAAATGATGATGCACAGGAATGGTTGGTTGGGTAGGGACCTGTGCACACGTAATCATGTAGACATTGGCATTTGCAGCCTGTGGCTCAATGCCTTGTCCAGAGACTTTTAGTAGGTGGGGCTCATGGCCCTTTCGCCTGCGATTCTGGAAGCATTGAGCCCTTCGGCTTGTGCGCTCCTGGCTTCTCTGGGGATTGAGGATGATTCAGATTTTGCCAATTACTTCACTGATCATTTCTCTGTCCTGGAGATTACTGCTGATCCGGAATTGATACGGCAGTTAACCAACGCCTGGAATCTTGCCCGAGTTCAAGAGCGGGTCCGCGAGGAGCGGCATTTGATGACTGAGCCACCATTGAAGAAGCCTCGTGAGGATATAGCTCGACAACCCTTGTTGATTGGGGCGAGGCCCAAGGCCAGGCTTTTCCCGCCGGCGGCTCTCCGAGCCAGAAGTTACACTCAGGTTGTGGCACGCACAACTGCTTCCGATGTGGCACACAAATCTGATCGTCGAGCTTCGTGTCTGCAGGCCATGTTTCAGATTGCTATTCTGTGTGGGTCCGCCAATCTTGTATTCGGTACGGACCTGCTGCTGCAGCAGGATGAGGCAAGGCCACTCTTCGATCGAAAATTCCAGTCGTTGAACGATGATCGTTTGCAGAGCCACCGGGCGGCTATGAGGCGGTGGGTCGATTGGCATGCTAAGCATGCCCCGGTCGATCAACCTTTTTGGCGACCTTCCGCCGTCACTTTGTCTTCATATTTTCAGGAGATCAGTCGGAATGGGCCTACGGCTGCTCCGGGTGCGTTTGCAGCACTTACTTGGTGGCGTAGGCATGTTGGAGTGCCGCTCCCCTTACAGGATGCGTTGGTGAGCCACTGGGCTTCACCGACCCAGGGTCATGTATCCCAACCTCGTGAGCCGTTGCCATTACGGATCATGCTTGCCTTGTGTAGGGCTGGCAGTTCGGCTTCTGGCGCCGTTAAATCCTTCATCTGTCACGCATTGCTTGCACTTGTTGCATGCTTGAGGTTCCGACATCTGCAACGATCACACAACCTGCGGCTTTGCTTCAGCTTTCTTAGGGGTACTTGTCGCAAGGGTAAGCGTAGAGTGCAACAGACGCAGCCCCCATTTGACTGGGCCTGCCCCGCTGTCTTGCCTTTCGGATTGCACTTGGCTGAACAAATCATGCTGGACCTTTCGGAGGTCACACGGGCCCTTGGGCGTGAGCCTGATTTCTTGGTTCACGATTATGATGTACCGAAAGGATCCCCACTTGCTGCAGAGTCTAAGCGCCGATTGACTAGTATGGAACTGCCGAGATTTTCTGATTTTCTTCGTGCTATCCTGCTTGGCTTAGGCATCACGTCGGCGGAAGTTCGGGCATTCTCTTCCTACAGCTTGCGTAGGTTCTTGCCTACGGCGGCCGATGTGTTGAGGCTGCCTGAAGAGCACAGATTGGCCATCGGTAATTGGCAGGAACGCCCCACAGCGGGCCCGGAACGCAATCAGCCTAAGGCCGTGCATCACATGGCTCAGCATTATGCCAACGATAAGGTTTTCACTGCTGCCCGCATAAAGCAAGAGGTCCTTGTTGCCATCTTCCTGGTGGCGAGCAAAGTTTCCTTTAAGCTTACATGGGACGATTTCCGTCAGCATGCTCCTGCCCAGGATGCGATTGCTCAGGAGTTGCGGCGAGATGTGTGGCACCCGACTGCGGCGGCATCGAGCTCAGCCGATCCGAGGATGGACTCCGAGGACTCGCCGAATGCATCCGCTAGCACCTCATCCGGTGAGTCTGAGAGTAGTGACGATCAGGGCTTAGTCGCTTGGTTCCAGCAGTCTCAGAAAGGGGCCTGCCACATTGTACAAGGAATGGCAGGCACTCGATTTGTGCCTTACTGCCAAGACCTGCCTTTCGATGCCCCGCATTGTGCTAGGGGCGCGGGCATTGACGAGGGGCAGAAGGTTTGCCGCAAATGCTTGGCGAGGGCCCCACAGCCAGTGCAGATGCAGATCCAACAACCGTGAAAACAGATGCCTGTCGTCTTATGCATTGGGGCATGCATGCGGTCGCAGTGCAGGTCCATCTGTCTGCTAGCATTCGCATGCCTGTGCAAATGGTCACATGAGAGTTATGACTTATTGGGTCATGCTCCCGCTGTGGTGGTGGTTCTGTGTGCCCCCCCCACGCATTCCTGCCTTCGGCTTGCGCTTCGGAGTGTACTTGTACGCTCTGGCGTCCTGGCTTGGGCTGCGTTCATTCCTTGCCGCCATAAGCTGTCGTGATCATGGGACAAGCTCAAGGCAGTCCTCCTACCAGCGAGGCTTTGGCAAGTGCACTTTCTCAGCTGCCGCCACAGTGGCTGCGGGCCCTTCGCCAAGCATTGGACCACGTGGAACAGGACCGTGGTGACAATTGGTCGAGTCCGGCGCCCTCGGGTGCTGACGGCTCTTGGGCGTCTTCGGCCTACGCAGCTCCGCATCCGGCACCTGCCCCAGCCGCTTCTTCTTCTGAGCAGCAGGTAGATAACCGTGCCAGGCGCTGGGATGTACCATGTGGGATCCCGTGTACCACGTGTCTCACGGGGTATTGCACCCGAGGGAAACGGGGTCATTCTCATCATAACTGTACAGCCTGTGAGCGACAGCGCACAGGTCACTGAGTGCAGTGGTGAGCGGACTGCATTCCTCGGGCGGAGCCCCGAGATCGGATATGAACCCATAGGCTGAAACGACCTTGGAGCCGCGCCAGTCCGGAACCTTCACATAATCTGCAGTTTTGCTACTCGAGTAGAGGTGAGAGTGCAGCAGCCTTCTGCCATGGCTAGGCTAAAGGTGGACGAGC